TAAAAGCTCCCTTTTCAAAGAAAAATCTGATCTTATCTCCACTTGTCATAAAATAATCATCTCTAAACTGTTGGTAAATCAAACAAATCAACCTTAAAAAGTAGCACTGTAAAAAAACCATAACTTAAAGATTTTTCACTTAAACCAACATAACTGTTAAAAACTTTACAGTCAAGCCAGGTCAAGCGTACCACCCACCCCGCCCCCTTCCCCGAGATTCCATTAATGAATTTATTATGCGAAAATTGAATCCGTTGGTAGTTGTAGATTTCAGATTCATCTCTGCATTCTTGCATGTGTAATGAGCCGTGAATTCATACGCAAGGCAGTTATGAAATTTTCACCAGCTCAGTTTCCCAGAATTTGAAAGGCTAGAGATTTCAGGAGTTGAGGTATATGAAAGAGTGGGGAAATCTGCCATTTTGGTCTGTAAAAAGGCCCAAAGGGGACTGGTAGATGCATTTTATGGCTGTGAAAAAGTTGAGAAAATATCTAAGTTTGTGATTTATCCATTTCAAAAGTCAATGCATTAACTGCAGTTGAAAGGGATGCAAAGTTCTAAACTAGGTATATGACAGGGGTACCATTTGTCAATGGAAGGTATACAAAATGGGCTACCATTTCTGTCAAAAATGGTATATAAAGGGGTAAAGGGTTGGACCTAAGGGCGGAGTCTCCCCGTATAGAGGGTGGTAAAGGGCATTTTCGTAACTTGTGATCAGCTCTTTTTGCTTTTCATAAAATGTGAAATCGCTAATTTTTTTCCTCGCGAATCAAGATTTTCATAGTAGCTGTGAAATTGTTTTTCGTGAAAAGAGAAATAAACGTTTAATTGGTCATGAACCATGATTTTCTTTGAGTCTGAACTGCCTTTTTTATTTTTCATAAATTTCTTGAGTACCCCCAAGAAGTGATGCCAACTCTCCCGCTTTTGGCGGGAGACTTATGCACCTATCAATGTAAATCCCGTGAGGGGGGAGTGCGGGCAAGGGGCGGGGATTTGATGCCTAAGACTATCCCCCTGTCGGGCTTTTGATCGTGCAAAGCAACCCCAGGGTCGGGACATTTGACTTTGACCAATAGAAGCCTGGTATCAATTCAGACGCGGTAACCAAGACCCTCCCTCGAGGCTTTCTGAAAGTCACACTGTTGGAGAAAGTTATAAAGTTTTCATTTGTTTTAATCGCCATAATCCGATACTTTACATGTACACTGTCATCTAAACAGATAATGTCTATTTTCAGAAAGTTTTTATCTTCAAGTTCCCATCTGATTGTAAACCTCGATTGAAATCGAATTCTACCATGAAAGTCAGAGGATTTCTTACAGGCCACTGATCTGACCTGTTCTGACATGTTGAGCCGATGTTATAAAGCATTTTACATTTCATTAATATAATAGCATGGTCAATCTTCCTGGAGTGACTATGTTGTTCAAAATAAGAGATGCTAGTGGAGAGAGAAAATACTTAATTACAGCGAGTAATTTAACGGAGCTTACGTTAACCTTAAATAAAAGTAGTAAGAGCGTACTTTTGAAATGTTCTTTCATTCGTTTTATATAGTATTATAGTATTGTTTGTTTAGATTTTTCCCCTGGGGTGGGAGCTTTTTTGACACTTTTGATTGTCCTTTCGTTTCCCACCCTGGAGAATTTGATAAAAAAATTTTAAAATTTGTCAAATCCCCACCCCTTGCCCCCCCCCCACGGGGTTTACATTGATAGGTGCATTACGCTTTTTTGCCTCATCTCCTGCTCTCCCGCTTTGGTACATAAATCTTCCGCTTTTTATGTCCACTGTAAATATTGAATACCTAGTAAAAAATAAAACAGACTTAGTTTGAGATTTAGCCCATTTTTAGCTCAAAACTTGAATTTTTCTTATTCGCAGTATGGTTTCTGGGGCATTTTTGCATGTATGTAGTCACTGAGCATCAAAACGATGATTTCGAATTTTGATAGTATGTACATCATGTAAGACGTCATATAATGTCCTAAGTCATTCCCATTGGGGGCTGGGTCAATTTTTTGGGGAGGGGGTGTCGTTGAAATTCCGGGGGGGTAGTGAAAAAAAAAGACAGTCTCCCGGATTTAGGTCTCCAGAGGTTGGCATCTCTGCCCAAGGGATATCCCACACCCTAATGATGCAAATACCTTATCTGTAGGAAAAAACATTGTACAGTCAGCTTTCTCCTAAGCGACATCTCCACAAAAATGCAACCTTAAGGGTCCCTGCCTCTCCCTTGTCATTTTTTCTAATTCGCTTTAAGGTAGAAATCTCCTTAAAATGGACACTTAACATTGGCTGTCGCAAACATGAGTTAACTGTATGAATGATAGCTTTATATCGACAAAAAGCAAATCAAATTGGAGAACAATGAGGTCAAATTACGACCACAGGCTTCTGAACTGGGTAAAGATAATAATAATTTCTCACCTTCGTCTGTGAAACATCAGTTGTAAAAATACTTTTGGGATGCTCATCTAGGTTCATTTCTTGCACAATTTTGTGCATCTCTTGTTTCATTTCCTCCACCTCATCAAGTGAGAAGAAGCCTTCGATGACAAGGAAGCCATCTGTTTTGTACTAGAGAAGATTCAATTGCTATGAAACATACGCTTAAGAATGCATACAAAAAATTATTACCCCAAAAATTTACCTTTTCAACTTGAGCCGAAGAAAGTCCCGGACAATCCTCCATTTTTATTAAGTTCAATCTAAATTCCGCGCGAGAAACTGGGATCTAACCGAACCAAAAGCATTGAGGATGGAGGGGTGGGTAGTCAAAATGAAGTCGCAAACGTGACAGCTTTAGTTTTTATCGTTTCCACTCGGTTTCCATTAAAAATGAAAAATTGAAACAAAAATTCTCCTGATTCTGGTCTTTTTCTGGACAATTTTATGCCTCTTTGGAAAATATATGTAGATTGTGTACAATGTATTTCAACTCCCCACCGCCACTCCCTCAACCTGTTGGTAAGAGCCCAGTCTCTTTGGAGGCTGGTCCTGGCTGGCTGCATCTCGAAGTTCATCGAAAATGCTTTCTCGGGGTTGTCTGAGTTTTATGTCCGTGAAAAAGCTCTTTCCTGTAGTTCTTGCAGGAGTAGCTAGAGCTAAGCACACTCTTCCAGAGTTGCCTTACGATTACAACGCCTTGGAACCAACAATCAGCGCGGAAATCATGCAACTTCACCACCAAAAGCACCATGCTACGTACGTAAATAACTTAAATGTGGCAGAAGAGAAGCTTGCTGAGGCACAAGCTAAAGGTGGGACGAAACTAAAAATAATCTCTTAAAAACAGCGTAAAAAGACTTAAGTTTTGGTATCGGTGGAATATGATGCTTCATTTACGCTTCCTTTATGTAATTCATGATGGTCAAGTCAAGCCTTCGGATAATCTTCGTAAATATTCTTAAGCCATCGGATAAACTTCGGAATCCAGATTTGGTACGGTCGAATTCAGAAATCATGTCTTGCTAAAACCGATGATGGAATTCAATGCCCTCCAGATTTAGTGTATCTTTTCTTTGACTTACAGTTTTTTAAGGCGAAGATATTAAACGAGGAAGAATAGGTTTGAGGGTCTCCCGGGGGTCCTTGTTCCCTTGTTCCCTTCCAAAATTGCCCTATGTTCCCTTGTTCCCACATTTTTTCATTATTTGTTCCCTTTAAATAAATTTGCGTACCACTTGTCACCACCATCAATTCCCTCCCGCAAAAAAAAAAGAAAGAAAAAATACACCAAAAACAAATCTTACAAAAGAAGAAAATAGATTGTATGTGAATGTTCAATTTGTGTGACACATCATCTCAAGCATTTGAGCGAAATTTACAATCCATCAGAGTGGGATGAGCATTAGAACTAACCTTAACTGGTTAAAAATAACTAGTGGGCATGACTTGACTCCTGCACTTAGTCGTATTTGAAGTTATATGGCCTTCAGAGCTTTGCTCCAGCTAAAAGGTTCTGAATTAAGAGATTTTCCCCTTCGGTAAGAAATGAGGAGAGGCTCCTTAAAGATTTTCCTTAGCCGTTTGGCTTTGTATAAGGTGCCATTTCCTATTAATATTTTCTTCAGGTTAGGTAAAGCTGGGTCGCATTGTGTAACAAAAGGTAGAAGTTTTTTACGTGCAGATTTGTTTCTCTGTGGTAGGGCTGTTTTCTTGTCGGCAAATTTTACTTCAGAGAGGTACTTTCTTAAAATAGCAGCAGGGTAGCCCCTTTCTAACAGGTGGTTTTGAAAATTTCTGATATTCCTCAAATGTGATCTGCAAGGAATTGGTCCTTAGTCCTTCTCCTTTAATGAAGCCTTTCTTCACTCCTGGTGGGTGACACGAGTAGAAGTCCATGTACTGGAGTGTTTCTGTTGGCATGTTTAGTTGGCTACACCAATCTGCGATTCCAAATCCTTATCCAACTCAACAAATAAAATCAAACAACATCTTGTCACTTTCGCCCCCGATTTCCCATTTCAAAGGAACAATGCACTGCTGGTTTTTCTTCGCCATTTCTAGAAATCGAAGCAGTGACAGGTAGCACATCACGATTGTTAAATGATCTATCCGCCATCTTGGTCATCTGTGACAACAGATCCCGAGTTTTTGTGAGAGTGCCAGGATTTTAATAGAGGACCCAATCATATCAGGGCCAGAAGATTTCCAAAGTTCTCAAGAAAATGACTGTGCTTCATTGATCCATTTTCTTTGACTTCTCTCACACTGGTTCTTGTTTATCGGTTGTCACGCTAATCATGTGATTCAGTTTTTGTTTCTTGCCAAACAGTGCAACAGTGTCTGTGAAGTAGTGCCCTTTGCCAGTTGAAAAAAATTGTGAGGTATATTGACTACAGTGCATTAAGTTCAGGAAGAGTTTTTCTCTTTCTCCTTCTTTTTTTTTGTAAGATTTTTGTTATGGTTGTGATTAAAGTGCTGCTGCATTGTTGTGTGGCAGACAAATGGCATTCAGTGTGTGAGAAAATGTGTATCTTATTTAAGATTTTAATAGTTCAGCTTTTTTGGTAGACATAAAAAAAATGGTCAATGGTCTACAGGCTTAGGGCATGATAGTAAAGTTACCTATCAGCAGGTGTGACTCATGCTTTAGGAATGAGAAGTAGTAGGTATAAGTGAAGCCATGATGATTGGATTCCTTGGAAAGGTCTCTTTTCTTAGTGATCCATTGAAAGACTTTTAAGATGTCATTCCAGGGACATACTATAATACTAAGTATTGTCAACTGAGCTCAATAAATGTTACAAGTTGTAAAATGGGTGGCCAAACGAAACACCATCATCACTTTTTGAGATTTTGCTGGGGACATTATCTTGTGTTATTATGTACAGTACTTTTTTGAATTGTGTGATTTCTCTCTAGGTGATATCAGTTCCATAATATCTCTACAACCAGCACTTAAATTCAATGGTGGAGGGCACATCAATCACAGTATATTTTGGACTAATCTTTCTCCTGATGGTGGTGGAGAACCAACAGGTGCATATTTATACAAAAAGAAATGAAAAGAAAGACACTGAGGATAATTGTCCATGGGCAAGTTTCAAGCCATAAGCTGAAAACCAGATTTCATATAAGGCTTTCTCTCCGTATTTTTTATGAGGAATTCACAGTTAAATGAACTGTTCACCCAGAAAGTTGCATAATTTTACTTAAAATTGTTTGTATATAAGTCAGGTTTTGACAAGACACAGTCAGGACCACAAGTTAAAAGTAGTGAGATAGAATAATAGCAGAGTTTGGGAAGAAATTTCATTGAAAACTTGCTTTATAAAGATAGCATGTGTTTTAAAGTTGAATCAGCCCCTTGCTTTATAAAGATAGCATGTGTTTTAAAGTTGAATCAGCCCCAGGATAGAACGTTTGGACAAACTGGATATACAGTACGTATTTCTGGCATTGAGGCCACAAAGTCACTCTTAAGAGGTGGTGAAGAAGGAACTTAAATTGATATGCAGCAGAAAAAATGCAAACCTAAGTAACCACGAAAGACTAGTCACCTGCTAGAACGATTCTCATAAATAACCAGAGCTCTCTAATTCTGACCTCTTTAATTGATTCTGAAGGTGGTCCTTTACAAGAGCTGTGAATTTAATAGGTTTGTGGTGAACCTTCACAGAAAACTGTGTAAAATGTTTTCTACACCAGGTGACCTGCTGGAAGCTATCAAGCGAGACTTTGGCTCCTTTGAGAATTTCAAAGAAAGATTCAACACAGCATCAGTGGCAGTGCAGGGTTCAGGTTGGGGTTGGTTGGTAAGTCATGGATTTTTGTTAGAAACTTGTAATAACCAATTTCATGTGTAATCATTTCCCTTGCCCAGGTAACCAATGCACAATTTACTAATTAGTCTTTCTCTGCAAGGCACAGGTAGCCCAACCTTGATATCTGGGCTCTGAATAATTCAATACTGTTTGTGAACTGCAAATGACACTCAGTCATTGGATGTTGCTTAACCAAAATAGCACTTTTCACTGATGACATCACAAATTTCTGATCCCTGCTGTGACTCAGACATTGAACCTGATCCTTTTAAGAGGATAATTTGTATGGGAGAATCATGCGCGCCTACAATATTAACATCATCTTTAAAGATTTTTATTGTTGGAAAAAAAAATCAGGCTGGTTTTGATAATGTATATCCTGAATAAAAATTAGTGTGTGCCAACACTTTCTTAACAAATGAAATAACTGTATGGATGAATGATTTTATTCTGAATGCAGTTTCATTACCCTGGCTAAAATATGTTATCACATTTCACTTAGAAATGTACAAAGGGCAAGGTAGCAAAGCTGTTCATAAAAAGGTGCATTTGGGGCAAAGGATGCTTTTTTTTCTGAGTGCAAAGGCAATGCTCAATATGCTACTATGAGATATAAAATACTGCATGGTGCTTACCTGGTTTCAAAACCAAAGGTAACAAACTTATACAATTTCCGGTTTGTGCTCATGTAAGGGTGCTTTAACGCTGGTTTTCACTAGCGAGGGAGTCGGAGTGGAAGCTATTCATAAGAATGCTTATGACTCAGTGAAAATCAAAAATTTATTGGAGTTTTAAGCAGAGTTGTGAGTGCGACGGAATCAGAGTTGGAAGAATCAGAACGTTTCCATTTTCTTCCGACTTCGCTTATGACTCCATTGCTAACAATCTAGTGAAAAGCAGATTGTCAGCGTCAGAAGCAGAAGTGCAAGGATAAACCAATCACAATGCACATTCTCATGCTTTGTGATTGGTTAAGTTCTTCCGCTTCTGCTTGCGACTCTGATGACCTAGTTTTCACTTGATCGTAAACAATGGAGTCATAAGCATAATCAGAGTGCTGTTTTCACTAGATCACAAAGTTCTATGCTTCTGATTATGGCTCCGACTCCAACTCTGTTACTAGTGAAAACCAGCCCTTGGAGTTTAGAAATTCTGCCACAGGCTTGCAAAAGCACATACAAACTCAATTTTCACTTCAGCATGTTTGCTTTTGGAGTATTACACAGCCAGAAATGTTATGTCATGTTTCAGTTTTATGACTAAGATAGAGCTATGGATCTGATTTTAGTAGCCTTACTTTGACCAGGTTGCTTTACTTTCTAATTTTGAACATTTAATTGAGTTACTTGGGCAGTAATGTCTTTTATATATTAGAATAAAGCTCAAAAAACATTTTAAAAACATTGATTGCGAATTTTATGAACAATTTTTTTATGCTGGAAAAGCATGTTGCTCATGGAGTTAGATAGATACATAGATACATAGTTTATTTATAATCACATCACAAGGGAGAGGTTGAATTAGGCGATTATTACAAATACTTAAATTAATTACTTAATTAATTACTTAATTAATTACTTAAAAATACTAATTACTTAAAAATACTACCACTAATAAGCTAATTTATAAAAAAAAAATTAAAGAAAAGAATAACAGAAACAATACATGATTACATTACAGTAAAATTTAGATTTGTTAAAAAAATAAAAAACAGAATCGACATGATAAAAAGCAATCGAAACTTCTAGAGCTATGGATCAGGAACACAGTTTAAGCTTTGGGGGCGTTGGACGTAATAAAACTATTACGGAATCTGTTCTTCTTGAAAATGGGCCTAAATTTCCGTTGCCTTTGAGTAGAATGCAAAGTTTGCATGCGTCATGTGAAGTGGGTCTATTGTTACAAAACCTATTTTTAGTGATAGCGCAAAGTGCTATTTATACTTGTGTGTGACAAATCCTACTGAGATGGACATAATGACTGGACAGATCAAACACTTTTGAGTATCATTTTTTAGCTGAAAATTTGCACAGTAATTAAAGAAATTAAAATTCAGCATTGTAACATATTTTAAGAAATAATGCCTGAGGGGCCGGGACTCCCTTCATGAAGAGATAGGGATGCTTGATGTCTCGCTTTGTTGTGTAAATTGGAGATATTCATTTCACCAGTTATGTTACCATGGAAAAGCTAATATTCTTGCCCAAATAGATGTCCCATGCGATTAGGGGCAAAGAATTTAATATATACAAAGACATCAAATGTCAGTCATAATATTCCTACAATAATAAAATTTTATGTAGCTCTTGGTTTTGGGAAGCAGCCTGTCTTTTATTACTTTAGTCTCTGTTAGAAGCCTAATTCTATGCTTCTGATTGAGCATCCCCATATCTGTCATATGGGAATCACCACCCCAGACCAACAATTTTTCTAGTTTTTCTGACAGAAACAGTGACCTGTGTGAACACGTGTCCTTCTAAAATGAATTTTTTTTCAGGCCTGATACTGTATGCTTTTATTATGTTGTACAGTAAATGATTCGTAGACTACATATTGCATTTATGGGAAATTCACTTCACTTACCTCTATATGGGCTTGTTGTGGCATTGTTTTATGTAAGAGCTTTGTAGTTTGCTGTTTGGTTTAGTGCTGCTGTTTGCTTGTCCTTAGGGTGGGGAAGGTGGTGTCTTGTAGACTATGGCATGTCAAAAGGAAACTTGCCCACAAAAAAGGGAATGAGAATAATGTGTTCTAAAGAAGGCTAGTATTGGCTGGTATTTATATTGAACCCTTATTGAATGTTGAAAATGGTATTATAAGTTAATGGATCCACTGCATGTTTTTTGTAGGGGTACAACAAGGTAGATAAACATCTTGTGATTGCTACCTGTGCCAACCAAGATCCACTTCAAGCCACAACAGGTAATTTTTCGGTCATCCATAAAGTTGCAGAGACTCTAAACTACACTGACTTTGGTGTGGATCTAACTCAATGCTGTTAACGTGGATAATATATGATCATATCAAAGGCAGTTCAATTTCATCCGGAACTGTAACACGTCACCAACGGTTTCCCCGCAAATGACATACAGATCATATGTCACTACATGATCTTGGTCATGTGCTTCTGAAAGGTTGAAGCGAATTTTCATCCATTCAGAAGCACAACCCAGTTCAAGGTAGTAACACATCATCACTATGGAATTTCTGCAGGTCATTCCACAGATGTCCTTTGGTGGGAAGTAGTAGTGTCACAAAATGTCAGACTGCTGTTTTCCCAGGCTCTACACCTGTACATACTTTCTCCTTAAATTTTCTTAGCAAAGCAGCTTTGGAACTCCTGTAGCTTTTTCACTTTTTTTTTGTTAAACTGGGGTGATCCGTCCAAACAAAGTCTGCATAATCAACACAACTGTGAAGGTACATGTATATCAACACATTTTGCAATTTTTTCTAACGTTATGATATGTTTTATTCACAGGTCTTGTTCCCCTTCTTGGAATTGATATGTGGGAACATGCATACTACCTTCAGTATAAGAACCTGCGTCCTGATTACATGAAGGCTATTTATAATGTTATCAACTGGGCCAATGTGGCTGAAAGATATGATGCAGCTAAATCATAACCTTCAACCTTTCTTGTTGAACACTGAAGTTTGCTGTTTGTCTCATACGCTCATGACAAAATCAAATTTTTATTTTCACTTCTGATGAAAGAGAAGTTCTGTTTTGAGCTTTTTTGTGAGTCTCAAAAAAAAAGTTGTATGTACCTTTCACAGCTCTGGGATAAAATCTTTTAAAACTTAACTCAGTATAACTGTGAGACTGTGGAAGGTGTGGACACAGGATTCATTTCATAATTAGGTTGAGCATGATCGTCCAGGCTATGAAGACTCGGAAATGCCATTGCTGCATTTCGATTAGCCTATTATCACAGTTTATCAGTCGATTATTGTATCAGTATAATATTGTCAGTATACTGTCCTTGTGAGTTATTGCAAATAATTTTGGCACAAGTAATCATATGGAGAAAACTATGATGAACCCAGTCTAGTGAGATATGTTTCAATGAAGTTGAATGTGATAGTCCAGGAGCCAGATTCGTAATGTACTATGTAGCCTGTAAAGAGGCTGTTGGAGCCGAGAGGGTGGAGAGACCCATCAGAGTTTAACTTTCCTTGGTACACCAAAGTCCTTTTTCAGGACTGCGCATGCGTGGATGATAACACTTTACCTGCTTCAGATAATTGTGTAGTGTTGTGATTTATAAGCTACGTGGGGTATTAAAGAGCTCCAAAAAAATCTCGATGTTGTCTTGAGAGTTAGAAACACTCAGAAAATTATTTTAAAAGTTTAAAAACTTTGTAGACGGACAGCAAACAAAGATGTGTTGCTTCAAAGAAAAATAAGTTGTTTAGTTATAACGGAAAAGTGTTGTGTAAAACTGTGTTTTCAGTTTTTACAGTTTTAATAGTGTGAACTGTGGAAGTTTCAAAGCATGAATAAGAATAAACAGAGTTAAGGTGTTTCGACGGATACAGTTTTTGGGAGACCATACCGATGTTTTTCAATCACCTTAAAGTGATTTTATCCTTGTCCGATCGCTACAAATTTTTCACCAGTGATTGACTATGAATTGAAGTTTGTCAGAATGCAGTTTTTAGTAAAATCGATATCACTATGACAACAATAAACAAAAAAGTATGAAATCGATGAAATCCGAATTTTGAGCGGTCTAGACCTGCTACTGAAAGTCCGACACCAGGAACTCAGTTTGAGTGTGGTGTTTAGCAAATAACCTCTGTGAGAAGTAAAAAATTCTGCATGTTTGAATTCAAATAAAACACAAATGTATTTCAAACCTTATATTTTCAATAGCCTGATAAAATGTTTAATAAAAAAAGTTCTAAATAACTCACATTAATCTTCAGTAGCGTCAATATCATGTTTTGATGCTAGGAAATTTTGGCGTATTTTCTTTCTTGCGATTCTGAGAATTAACGTGACTTCAGCACCTGTCTAAGTGCAGCTTTATTCTAAGATTTGACTTTTAGCGCTTTTCTGTATTATCTCTAAAACGGCTCGACAGAATTTTTTTTAAACTCATCACATAATCTTCATGATGTTTATAACAATGTCTGAAAGTTTCATTAAGATTGATTTACTGCAACCTGGCCTATTATCCTTGCATTTCCCTCCAATAAAATGCTTCACCTTCATTCTCCAATCAGCGTCCAATGTAAGTGCCTGTCCTCCCAAAATAGTCACTGAAATGCTCGTAAGATGCTCATCATACAGAGGCTATTTTATTCATTCTAAGCGTCTTAATCATTCAAGCGGCACACGTAAAAACATAATCCTGTGACTGTAGGGAGTAGGGTCTGAGTGTATTTGGGTGACACTTGAGCATTTTTTTAAAGTCTTTTTATCTTAAAAGATAAACTCATCATATTATCTCAAAACATTTTTATTTTCTTTGAAAAGAAATTGTTTCCCAGAAAAATGCCACCAAAATGCTTTAATAATGCTTAATGCGTTTGCCTCACTAAAATGAACAAAAACAAAAAGGCAGGCATAAATTCAACAAGTCTTTTACATATTGGTCAACACTCTTCTTGTAGAAGTTTTTCCGAGCATGGTGATAAGTTGCTCCGACCGGCTCTCTCAGTCCCTTGCGGCTGTTTCCTCCAAGGACATCTACCACAAGGTTAGTCTTGATTAATCTTAAAATCTGGAGGTCTCTCTCTAAGTTACTGAGTTCGGTTCTCACGGCATTGGTTGTGTATTTCAGATTTTGTCGCTGAACCTGTGACATTTCCTGCATGGTTTTTCTGTCGCATAGCCCATCATTGCCCAGCTCCTGTACCCTTGTCCCAGTGAATTGCTGATATATTTCGTTTAGTGTCCAGATCGTGTAGGTTTCTGTTTGTTGCTGCAAATAAAGCACTCTGATAGTTCAGCTGTTTCATCATAGAGTCTACGGGACACAATATTCCCCCGCCAAACGCTTTCTTTTATCTCCATTTTTTTCTTGTCCAAGATCCTTTGGCCAGCACCTTTTTGGCGCTGTTTAGGTCTGAGGCAGTGTAAGCACCCCCTTTTGTTGTTTTCGAATAAAAGTTTGGGATCATCGGTCAGCTCTGAGTTCATCCTTATGTTCATAGCGCTTTTCTTAGCATCTTTAAGAATTGATCTTTTACCTCCTTAGCATGTTGGAATTGCGGTAACAGCCTGCAATTTCGAATAGCTTCAGCTGTCGTTCTTTCTTTCTTTCCCTCGTGCATTTCAGCCTTTCTACTTCAGCCGCTTTTGCAAATTTCAGGGCAATCAATAACCTATATCAGTGTAAATCATGTCAGATGATCTCACTTGATGTTGCAAGTGCAGGTATATGTGGGTAGCCATAGAAACAAGACCATAAACACTGTACGAGATGTTACCGGATGTTACACTATAGTACAGGAAAATGGTGCAACATTGTTTAAATTAGTGTCAAAAGCACGAAATTTTGCAGAGGTATAGAGGTTCATTCCCTGAGTAATTCTGGATAGGACGTCACCCCTTAAATTCAATACTTCCAGTTTTATAGCCATGGAATTAATTATCATTTAAACAGCAAAAACACAGCCTTTATTTTAAAGAATGGGTCCGAAATTTATAAGAGCAGTAAGATACAGTGTAGTGCACAGTGTTATCTATAGAACCACGCCCTCTGATGGATACTTCCAGAAATAAAGACGAGGAATAATTATAATAAAAATACGTAAATTATACACTGTTTAAGCTTGTATATACTCAAACTCTTGTATATCAATAAATATTAATGTTTCAAATGATTCTAGATAGGACGTCACGCCCCAAATTGGATACGTCCAGTTTTATAGCCATGGAATTAATTATCCTTTAAAACACAGCCTTAAAGGTAAAGAATGGGTCCCACATTTATAAGAGCAATAACATACAGACTAGTGCACAGTGACAGCCAAAGGCCACGCCCTCTGATTGATACTTTCAGAAATGAAGACGAGAAATACATTATAAAAAATACGTAAATTGTGCACTGTTTAAGCTTGTACATACTTAAACTCTTGTTTATGGATAGATGTTACCGTTATAATTACTCTAGATAGGAAGTCACGACCCTTTTCAAGTACTTCCAGTTAAACAGCTATGGAATGGATTATATAATAAAACGCTGGAAAACATCATTTCTAGGGTGGAATCAAAATATTAAAAAAGTCACCGTGATTGGCTACATTGTTGTTTGTATATCCATGGATAGAATCACGCCTTTTGATGAATTCTTACGGAGAAATAGATGTTACATTGTAAACAATATAGAGCAACAAAAATGCCTACACGCGTCATAGTTCTATACTTTCTTCTCATCGATAATATTTCCATGCAATTATTATGACTTAAAATAATTCTACGTCTTTATTAAGTACTTTCAGTTGTGCAGTCATCGAATTAACTTTCACAAAATGAAATGAAAGTAACCTAAAACTTTTCCTGAGCTAAGGCTCTGAATGACTTTTCATGAGAAACGCAACCCCTTCTCATTTTTTCCTGGCTGTGGCATCAGGTTCCTGACCGTTCCTCTATTAATGGAATCAAAGCTCCATCTTAAAATCCGGTGAGCAAAACTTATGCCAATTCCTAAACACCAAAGGCATAGTGTATGTTAAATACTCCTAATATGATCCGCGATCTGCACTTTTGCCTGATCCAATTTACTTTGCTTTTTGACTCGGCGCCAGTTGGTAAGAGAAAATAAAATATGACTCCAAAGTTTGCGTTGCAAACGTTAGATAATCTTATTTAGACAGCAGCGGTTCAACCTGTTTTTTACTTACCTACAGACGAGTCGAAGAATGGTCATTACTGCTCACATTGTCCTCTGCACTTGCACAGGGCAGTAACATGAGAGATGTGACTTAACAGATTTGCATCGCCCTTTACATCCCTTCTCAGGCTGACAGCTACATTTCAGCAACAGTCCAGACAGGCTCCCACTGGCCGCTTGAAGACTGCTACCACGCCCATTCTGATGGAGACGGGAAATTTGGACTGGCTATGAGGGCCTGACCCCAGCAATGGCCTACCATGTTCCTTTCTAGGGTAACTTGTGAGCCCTTGAGCCCTTTATTCAGCGGTCGCTGTGCTTCCAAATAATGGCGCTCGAGAAACGGTGAGCGAAAGGCGCGATCGAAAGGAATGCTTAGCTGTGAACGGCCATCACAAATGACTTCACAACTGGTGTTCTTACAAATGCAACTGCCACTGATTTTTAAAACACTATTTCTAACTTAAGATATCAGCTCCCAACGTTAGTTATAACCCGTGACCTGTAATCTGTGACCTGCAGACGACCTGCAGAAAAAACCTACCGCACGTTTTGAAAACGATAACTTACCCGACTGCGCATGCTTGACGCATACGTGTTCGTTATTATTTCACCTTTAATTATGAGCCCGCGAAATGATAAATTGGCGCCATCTTGTCAAAACCAGGGCAAAAACAAAGTCAAACTAAAGGGAGATCCAACCCTCCGCCTCTTGACACCGGTAGCGAAAGTCACCTGATAATGTTCTGCCGCCTCCTGAAATAATCAGCTTGAAGAATTAACAAAGCTAAATTCGCTTGAAAACAAGCAATTAGGTTAGAAATAAGCTCAAGTATTAAAGACAATAAAGGAAAGCGCCCGTCCGCCATCTTAAATAAGTTTCTAATATTGCGCGGAGTGGATTGGAACTGATAGTGTGTCCTCAGCGTTTTCGAAAAACTCTTGAGACCTAACTAGCCTCGCTTTCGCGCAACTCGGCCTGGGCAGGCCGAGAGGTCCGCCATATTTGTATTCGGTGTATATGTAGGTGCACTAGAAAATTATACAAAAAGTAACAATATAACAAAGTTGTTAACAGAACTGTAATAGGCAATAGAGGTCGTGGAAAGAACGAACGTAACTGTTATCTTTGCTAATATTAGAACATCAAAGTCAGCATACTACTTGCTTTACGATAAACCTTACTCTAAAAGACATACAACTATAATTCCATTTTCAATTTTGTTACACAGCTAAAAAAAAGGAAAATGGGAGGTTTTAGTTTAAAAATAGGAGAAAATAGGAATATGCTAAAAAAAAAAAAACAGGAAAAAATATGAACTGGACACTTTGCACTTCTTTGGTGCTCTAGCCGCTTCCTGCGTGCTTTACAACAGAACAGAGCGCAGGCACGGCTTCTTTATTTGTTAAATGGCGAGATTTAAACTGGTAACTGAGTGCACTAGGTCTGCTGCTCGCGTCACACCTTCAGACGTCGTTAGAGACGGCACCTCACGCCATTTAAAAGCAAGATAAATTTTATTCAGTTCTTTTCATGTGGCACGTATACTAGGTATACTACAGGAAATACGAAGAGTTGAGGATCAACCTCACTGTCTTGTTCTCTTTTCATTCATATGCAAAAACCACAGCACCAACAGGCGCAGGTCAATTTTTCATAAGCTATACGAAAATCCAGTTTCATGAAATTTTTAGAGTATTATAAAACAAGTTCTCTATCTCCTAATGTTTCAAAGTAGTGTTCCACTTTTTCCTGTGTTACTGCGTTCAAAGTACCAGGGTTCCACTTGGGACTGTTATCTTTGTCTATCAAAACTACAAGACAAAATGAGAAGAATAAAGATTGAAATGGCCGAAAATTAAAGTGGAGTCTAAGGCGTTGATTTAAAAAAATGGTATATAACTTCGCACAGTTATCGGGACTGATATACAAGATTAAATTGTGCTAAAATTATAAGTCAATTTGTCAACAGAACATTAAATCCTGCCATCATCGACGGCGATTATTACTGAAATAGGGTTGCCATAGTGCAATGAAGGCGTAAGATCGGCTTGTTTACCTTACTGATTAATTTATGTGTAACCACATGTTACCACGGTAATTTAAATTTACTGCGCCTTTTTTTACCGTGGGAAATGCCTTTTACCATGATGTGTGTAACCGCACCTACTGTCTGTACATTCACACTATCAATAGGGACTCATTACATTGTAGATTATTCTTATTCTTACAAGCTAAATCGTCAAGCTAATCAAACTATTACCTGCTCTAATTCCTTCATAAAAATCGTTATCCTCCTGAAAAAGAATAGAGATCAAAAAGGAGAGAAAAATACATCAAATCTTAACAGATAGTTTGACCGCAGGATAGAACAGGGTACAATAGAAACAGATGGCGTTATTATTCAACGCAAATTTTTCTTCTTTTTCATTGGCCGAGAGCCCACCATGTGACCTGCAAATAACTGCCGACAAATAATGGTCTGCTCATGGGCAATGTCGTCCAACTGTGTTTGGCTAAGTGTTCGGCTGGCTTAGTGTTTGGCTGAAATAATATTCTGCTCACGCGTAAATGAAACTATGCTTTTCTCCTTCTTTTTTAATACGATCGCTCTTGCGTGAAAAAAAAAAAAAAAGATCTCCCCGCTTCCCGAAGATATTCATTAAACTATTAGTGAGTGGTAGTCGTAAGGAGGGGGGGGGGCAAAACGTGATGAGCTTGTAAGATTGAGAAATCAAAATCAAACACTCTGAATATCAGCAGCTGTCTTCATCAGTGTTAGGGACTGTGCAATAATTATCAGGAGGGGGGGCCTAAAACCAAAGGGGGGGGCTCTACATTAGATTTCTCAAGTACGTTGAGGGGGGGTCTTAATTAAATTTCACAAATTCGATAATGAATAAATAAACACTTTCCGAATAGACAGATGCCACTCCTTTGACTATCCATAATGTCTAAATATTGCATCAACATAAACACATGCTTTAACTTATTTAGAATGTCAACATATGATAGATTGAAACAATCGTCAATGCACAGAAGTCACAAACCACGTTGTGAGCTTTGCCAATAAAACATTTGGCATTTAAGAGGTCCCGCAGACATGCCAGGTCTGTTCTCGATTTAAACAGCGAGAGGGTTTCTAGGTCTACAGTTTCTAGCTGAGGAATGCCACATGCTTCTGTTTCATAGTTGTCATCACTTCATAGAGCACCAAAATGACGATTATGAAGAACAAAGTTTCGAGGTGCTCTTCATCCCTGACGACGCAGTGGAATGCGTTGCAGTACAGTGAAGGTACGGGCTAGAGAGGGGGGGGGGCACATCATAATTTTGAGAGAACGTGAGGGGGGGTCAGAGCTAATCTTGACGCTGCTGGAGGGGGGACCTATCTAATTTTTCCTTTGGTGAAGCTCATTTTAGGACCCCCCCTTCCTGATAATTATTGCACAGTCCCTTATTGTTTGTCCGCCCACTTAACCATTCGTTACTATTTCATTTTCCTCAAAAATGCAAGAGCGTCTTGCACTTTTTACATTTACTTGGCTTAACCTCTAGGTAAAGTACATGTAAGTAACAGCAGGTCAAACACTATGATCCACAAGGTATTCTTTTGCACTGTAGGATTGTCCATACAATTGGCTAAAAATTGGGCTACAGAAAATTAAAGTAATCTGAAAAGTTCATTGATTAAGGTGTCAAAGCGTCGCGTACGACTTCAAACCCTTGTTGTGTGACACTGCGCTGACACGACTCATCTATTCATTTCACATACAAAGCACCCGGAATTGGTAAGATAACAAGGTCAACGTTTCACCGTTCAACTTCTTGTATATTTCTAAAAACTGGTGACAAACAAAAGCGAATACAACGCAGTAAATAGGTTTTGAAAGCGAAAAGATTTGTAATAAAATTAAATATGGTCGTAAACTGATCTTGCTAGAATCCATAAAAACAAATACAGTGAGCAGAATACATTGTTAACATAACATCTGCATATCCGATTATCTTAAAATAGAGTTTTTCCCACATAAAAAATATATATACTTAATTCAAAACTGCGAGAAAACAGTTTGTTTACCGGTAAACAAACCTGTAGCAAACAGAAAATCGCCAATGTTCAACTGTGAACGAGTGTCACAAAATAGATACCAGTTACCGGGCGAGAAAAACTGAACACATGGGATCGAAATGTGACCAGCCGGTCCAGGATGGCGTCCACATGGCATACAGAACGGTTACTACCTCATGTACGGTACATGAACAGTAAGCGTTCTCCTCCGTCGAACGCAAAAACAAACTCGGTGATCGAATGATAAAAGAATTATTGAACTTGGATCAAGCACTTGCCTCAGCCTTTGGCAAATACTTGATCTGCTCGCCAGTAACAAATCACGATATTTTGCTCAACCTCGTACTTAAATTTCTAATTACTTGCTAGGAATATACAGTAGCTCTATAATATTTTTATTTTTTCTTACCATGCATCGCTGAGTTAATCTGTATTCCATCTTCAAACAGTCTGCAAGGTTTAGCTTAGCTCCTTCTTGTAACTGTCTTAATGTAATTTTTAAAGAAGTGGGAGACTAAAAAACAAGGAAATGGAAAAAATGAGACCTAAGCGAAAGGTACAAATAATTATTTATTCTGCAACGAGGATGCCTCTTCCTTAATAAATTCGGTAAACCCGCCTCCCCCCAAAATATCATAGTTAATAATAATAATAATAATAACAATAAGAAGAAGAAGAAAAAGAAGAGGAAATGGTAACAAGACTAGGGCTTTCCACAAGTCGCTCGAGTTTTTCCAAAAAGTTTCCCGTAATTTCTCAAAACGTTGCTCAAAAGTTGCCCTAAAAACAATCAAAAATTGCTTTTTGTAAGGAAAGTGGCCCAAAAGTTGCTCGAAACAAACAAAAACTTTTTTGACCTGATGCTAAAATATGCAAATTATACAACAAAAGTAAGATTTGTACGCATTTCAATGCAATTTTGCGGCGTAACCAGCGTTGCTAAATAATTTTCTCTTCAAACTGTTGACGTAGCAACCCTGCTAATTTTATCTTGCGCCCATGATCTGCCCTAACGTGGGGGGATTTGGCTCCTTTTTTTACAGGAAATTCATAAATTGCCTACTAAAACATTGTGAGGCCAATTTAAGCACTAAGCTGCTCCAATATCTCAGATAACAAAAGAATAGTGTTAGCCATTGAAATGAGCTGTCCTTGGTTGGATAACCGCGGTGTGAAAGAGATGGAGAAGACACAGAAATATGGTCCACTAATGTGGGAATTGAGAGAGAGAAATCCTGGCTACCAAGTGAAACAGTATAACATCATTTTGATGTTCTGGGAGGATATTCAGCTGATGTGAGTCATGCATTAAAGGAACTTGTTTGAGAGAAGAGTGCTACCATCTATTTTAAGACGTTTATACAAGGAAATTAAGTGAAAATAAATTCTAAAACCTAATATCTATACAGTTAGGTAATACTTAAAAACTAAAAAAAAAAGCTATTTTTAACACGTTCAGTATTAACACTGGGTCTTATAATTGATTTATTTCTAAGTCACTCTGATGAGTCAGGGTTGTCACTAAGGGCCGGGGGCCGGGGATTTCCCCCGGCTACTCAGAGCATGGTCCCCGGCTACTTTCGTCGTTAAATTAAACCAAAAGAGCACACCTTTGACACACAAAGACTATCCATCCAACTAAATGCAAGTTTCATCTGTAGGAGGTTTAAGTAATTTTGTAATACTCGCGTGCAAAAACTAAGAAATGTCAGAAAAAGACATCTGACCTAGATTTGGTACTAGTACACACGTACCTAAACTCTCCGTTCACGAAATGTCAATAGGAAGTTTTAGCAACGACGACAGCGACGGCAACGAGAACGTCAAAAAAGCAATTGGTTTATTGAGCAAAACAACTAGTTTGCGCTAACGTGCATCACTCTTTTTTGTCCATTTCTTTGCCGTTACTGCACGACTGCGACGTGAAAATGCCTAGTTTCACGTTTTAAGGAGGACGTAAACAAGCTACGACAAACTTTTCTTTCTCTTTCTAAACTTGAGCGCGGTCCCAAAGAAATCAACTCCAGGGAAATTGGCCTACAATAGCTATTTTCAGCGACGGAATTGAAATAAACGCGACAAGGTTGGAAAAAACGCCAATTCATTATAAAAGTGACGTTTTCGCTGCCGTCACCTTTGTCGATGCTAAAAGTCCAGCTAGTTTCAACCATTGTGTCGGCCTTGTGTTGAACATGTTGAAGAAGTGGCAAAGGAATCTGCACTCTTTGTTCACGATGAAAGACCTGAGCAGATCTCTGTTGACATCACAGAAGAAGTTAAGGCTTCATCCGAGCGTTAAATCTCCCTGATGCTGATGTTGATGATAATGAGGATTATGATGAAGGCTTTGAAGACGAAGACTCTGACTGATTGCTATGTTTAATAAATTGATATTTAAGTGACCAGGTCTACATTTAGCTTTAGGTATTGAGTATATAAAATAACGCACGGTCAACGGGAAATGTTTGATCACTGTCAGCAGGACATGATCACATCCTCTCAGTTCTACTTCGAAGAAGTTATATAAAAGGGAAGTTAAGCATTAGCATTGCTTTTTGCATTCTTCTCCTTGAGTCTCGTTTTGACATCTCAGCGTTGTTTATAAAGTATTAGCCGTCTTTTAAACGCTTTTCCGCAGGTCAGTTTCTTCGTATGTTATTAAAGTGATGTTTCGTTCCTAAATTCGAGACCGCTAATGTCACCAGTTGTGCAGTTGATTTTTGCCAGGGTATTTTATCCCGCGATTTTTCGCACGTTACGCTTGTTTTAACCTTATCACACTTTTATTTTTCAACAAACCATGGTAACCTTATGTTTATGATGCTTTTTCGTACATTCATTGGCCGTTTTTCTTCTTTCCGCTTCTCTTTAGGTAAATTAGGTTTACTTTTGTTTTCCGTCAGTTGTTTCGTTGTTACGTATAACTAAATGAGGATTTACAATTGATTTTACAGCGCATGTTAATTCATTTGCAGTAAAAACTTATTATTTTAGTGTCTCAGAATGTTGTAGTTTTCTTTAATAAAGACGTCATCATCATAGTAGCTGTATGATAGCTGAACTCTTGATGAAGATTGCTTTTTGGGGGCGGTAACGCCTTTTGGAAAACGGTAAAAGTTGCACTTCAAAAACTTCTTGCGGGGGGGGGGACTCCATGACTGCTTGCGACTTCTCCGGCTACTAACAACAAGTACCCGGCAACTTGAAATCTTAGTGACAACCCTGTGAGTAGTTACAGTTTACAAACAAGATGCCAATACTCAAGAAATATTAATCATTGAACAATTTATTATTGATTGTGGATAGTTGTACTTAACTTACTCTTCAGATGATGCACGTACTAGAATCTTCAAGTAGTCTAAAACTCACAGATTCCACAAAAATAAAGCGACAGTAAAGTTGTTTTTCTAATTCATTTATATAACGTGACATTAAATCTGAGTTGTTACCATTAAACACTGTAAGGAGTGGGTGTACTTACCATTTTATTTAAGATCTAAAAACAGTAAACGAGAGTAACAATTAATATTTTGCAGTCTTAACAGTAGTGAACTTGTTTAATGGTTAAGCAGACATTTGGCGTGTTACAATGAAACAGTATTCGTTCAAAAGAATTTGCCGCCATACAAAGAAGTTCATGTCTGCACTATTTTGTCCAGCAGGATATATTTCTTTTCAAACTGTACTTTTAAGAGTATATATGTCTGCTGAAAATAGGCTAGAGTTTGTTTCAAAGTCAAAGAAAGGTTCTCTTTCAGTATAAGTAAAAATGTTAGGCAATGAACTGAATGAACTCAGTAAATGAAGGTGTTATGAAAATAATGTGGGTACTACATTAGCTGGTGCACAGCAAGTGACATCTTGCCTTCAGTGTCAGCTGATTGTTCACCATCTGTTACAATCAGGCCCCAGCTGCTTAAACGCTGAATAGCGCTCTCCACTGGATAAATACCCATCCACTGAAGACAATTGCAAGTATTAGGGAAACCATTCATTGTGTTGCTCCGTACTAGATGATGCTTTATCCAGTTGAAAGCATTATAATCCAGCTTCTGAACAACTGGGCCCTTATAATTTATTTTACTGTAACTATAGAGACCGATGCAACATACGTTACATGTACTTTACTAGGAAAAGAATTAGATTTATAAAACTTGTTAGCTTCACCAGCAAACAAATACAGTGGAACCGTGTTAATATGGTCACCAATGGGCCAAATAAATTTGGCCGTATTAACCAGGTGGCCATACAGTTTATTAATGAGGGTTTTTTACAAGAAAATGTATGGCGGTTTTTGCCAGGCAGCCAAAAAAAGTGGCCATAATAATGAGGTGGTCATATTAATGAGATAGCCGTAAGTCGGGATTTCACTGTTATTATTATATTCAGACCTCTAATAATGGCCACTTTAGACATTCCCCAGGATACATCGACTCCACTCCTTATTTTTAACCTTTTCAAAAAGTCACTTTCCATTGTCCCCAAGGTGGCCCTGTGGGAAGTTTCGACTGTAATACCGTAAACGATCTAATAAACGCCCACTCTCAAATAAACGCCTCTTATCTAATAAACGCCCTCCTTACGCTGGTAAGTTAGTATTAAATGCTCCTCTCTAATAAACGCCCCCCTTGAGAATTGCCCCCAAATACTAGGAAATGGCGAAATAGAGCAAAATCAATCAATTTATTAATTTCATTGCTTGATCAACATCAGTTTGTGTATTATGTCATGTTCAATTTCTAGATAAGGCGTCAGCCCGCAGTCGAGATTCTGTTAACACAAAAACGTTTTTAGCCGAAAGCATACTGTATACAGTTATGTTGAGTTCGTTAAAATGAGTTACGAGAATAAACGCCTCTCTCTTTTAAACGCCTCCCATCTATTTGGACCCCTAAAATTAAATAAACGCCCCGCGCATTTATAAGATCATTTACGATATGAATTAAAGTCACCTCAATTTGTTTTAATGCCCACTCTGTGTCATCTTTCTCTAATGCCTTAATAATGCCTTCCATAGATGATTGATCAAAGCAGCTATTAAGCAGAAAAATAAAACGATAATTATTATTAGCCACAATTATTGATCAGTGGTTCAGATCGTCACACAACAGAAACAAAACTTAAGCATTTACGTGTAAAGAGTAAAGTGATTTAACCTGTTTATCTGGTTGGTAAACTTCTCAAGAGCAAATTCTTTGCTATGTCCCTCAGAGCACTGCAGAAAGATGTATACAATTTAAAGATAAAAAAACTAGGGGTAGGTTTGATAGTTTTATTCCAGTTTGCAATGTATTAAAATTAAATTTGTTATTTGAACAAATTAAGTGTGGAATTGAGCAATCCATTCTGCATTGACCACAGCAGGTTAGAGCACTTGACTGCAGAGTGGGAGGTTGTGGGTTCTATTCCCAGGGCTGGACCAATACTCAGGGTCTTAAAATAACTGAGAAATAAAGGTACTGCCTTGAACATGTAAAAGGCAAGAACTTTGTGTGGCTCGGATGACCACGTAAAACGGCGGTGCTGTCTCCAGTAGGACACGTAAAAATAGAGTCCTCAATTAGTACTTTCATGCTAAATACATTGACACTCAAATAGCATGCTTCTTCAAAATTTTTTTATTTATAATTATTTTTATTATTTATAGGCTAGTGAAACGAAAGTTATAGCATTTGTGACAACTTTACGTCTCTTTTAATCATGTGAATTCTGAAATATTGAGAAATTAAAAAGTACCGGTATCTATTTAGTAAAGCAAGTTGAGTCAGTACTCACCCCAAAGCTAAAAAAAAATCACCTACCTATAATAGCAACTTACAGCTGTAGGTGTATTAAATATGCCACATTTTTACATTGAATAGACTAAGTTGCTTTTATACTCTAGGTGAGCACTTAATCCTCAGAACACCTTAAGTAACAGTTGATGAGGTGTTGATATAGTTTGATCCCATTCAGGTTTTATTAATAAATTATATTAATATGCTAATATTTGACATTTTCCACCCCTGGCTCCCTTTTTTCAGACTATAATTATTACAAATGAAAAATGTTTAGTATTCCTACCTTTTTGTCATAATCATTTAGAACCTCTTGTATACTGTTTGCATGTGGATCCACAAGATTAAGTAAACTGGACTCCAGTTCTGTTAGCTTCCAGATTGATATGAATAAAATAAAACATAACATTGATATTCACAGACAAAAAAGATTGGTGTTCAATGTTATTTTGCATGCAATGACTAGCACAGCATTTATTTCTGAGGTCAATACTAAGATCATGACCTTGTTAAACAACACAACAACGTGATTTCTGATCGATACACAAAAAATTATTACCTTTTCACTTGTGACAAAATGAGTAGCTACTCCAGCATGTTTCACATCATAACCTTTTAACCTATGGCCTAAAGTAAAGATGCATACTGATAAATACAATTTGTTGGTTTACCATACCTAACTGCAAAATTTTAGAGACAATTCAGCAAAAAAGAGCATGCATAAGTTGCAGTTGTGATCATTAATACACAGTAATTTTTTTGTTTTGTGAAGAGAGAGAAGATGAACGGGACCTGTAAATTGTGAAAGAATGGCACATGTTAACATCTTGTACAATACCAGGGGGGATTCCCTTGTGAAAAGATCAAACAGCCCTCAGGATGTTTGTCAGAGCAATCCTCTGGCATAGCTGAGGACTATTTGACCTCTAAAAAGGTAAAACAGACCCCGAATAAGAGCGTTTAGTGACTGCAATAATATTGTGCTGAGATGCTGAAATAAAAAAATGCTGTCTTCAACACAAGTATGAATATATTTTTTAAAAAGTTAAGAAATTTCTCTACATGAAAACCCAAAGCAATAATGTTATGGGGGAAAAACAGTGGCTTTTGTTTCTGAACACCCTAAGTGAGACCAGAATTTGTAATTCAGACCCCTAAGCATCCACATCACTTTGGTTAGGGATTCCTTCTACTGTAGTCCCTGTTGCAGCCATTATAAGAGACATCACGTAGTGTTCCAGGGCATTGCATGAGGATCTCTCTGGGGTATAGTCAATTATAGTTGCAGTCAGTTAGTGCAGCAGAGAGATGTCTGCAAGGCCATGTTGTTTTCAGATTCTATTATATAGTTTAGGGTAGATTAAGTTTCATATGAATTTATAAGAATTATTTTTTTCACAGCCGGAAAATGATGTGAGACAAACACATTATAGTTGATTACATGTAAAGTAGTTGATGATCTTCTTACCTGTCAAAGCCAAGTAGATACCTAATTTACCCTTCATTCTGGGTAAGACATATCCACCACCTACATCAGGAAACAGACCTAACAAGAAAAGAAAAAAATTTTCAAGTAACTGTTTGACAAGACTTTACTGTAAATGCATACTTTTAGTAGCACTGTTGCATGCTGCTGCCATGAATAGACAGTTCAAGTCAATTTACATGCTTGGGGAAATTGAACTTGAAAATTTCATCCCTTGCAAAAAAATTGAAATTTCTGCCAGCACATACTTAACCAAATAGAAAAAAGGAAGGTTCTTAAATATGGGTTTTAATGATTGTATTTTTAAAGTAATTTTATATGTACATCTAAATGAAATACAAAATGAAATACAGATGCTAAATAATGTTAAAACATACCTATAGCAGTTTCTGGCATGGCAAATAAAGTGCTTTCTGTGGCAACTCGGAATCTGCCATGGACTGATAAACCAACTCCCTGCAAGATTATCATAACTATTAAAGATAGTATCATCATCACAGGATACGTGTAGGCTAGCCGGCAGATTGTAATCAAGATCTCCTTGTTCTGCCCTAGGAAGTAATAAAGTACTACTAAGTACTTGTACTGCTTTCTACACTACACCAAACAATATTAAGCATATTTAGTAACAGGATCACAAAATGCAAATGAATGGCTGTTGAATGCAAACGTGTCATGAAGTTTTAGTCCTTAAAAATGAGGTTTCCAGCATTTCTGAAGTGTACATCACAGTGTTTTAGTCATGAAAATTTAGTCAGTTTTTCACCATTTTTAAGATCTTCATACCTCGGCAGGGTTCAGTGTTTATGGCTATACTTCATTGACATTTGTATTTATTGTAAGCTATTAATAATTATGTAGCAGAATTTTACTTGCATTGAATTTTACCCTAGCAGTCTTGCATAGACATTTGGAATCCATACTGGGTCATGATATTAATAGCAGTTTTCAGTGGGTTGTCAAACAAAACTTTTTTGACCCACCAATGAAAAAACATTCTGCCTGTTCTCGCCTCATGGGGTAACCAATTCCATTTACCCTTTAGGAACTGATTCTGGTAATTAGTGCATAAGGTAAATGTTGAGCTCAGTGCAGAGCTATCTCCTTACTCACCCCTCCCATAGTTATTCCATTGATCAGTGCCACATATGGAGTTTGTAATGATCCTAAGCAAATTATCAAAATATTAGTAACAATATGGATTTTAATACCACTGCAACCAACACAAACAATAAAAATCAGTCAACCATTTAATACATAATTATACAGCCGGTGGTTAATTTGATATTGTCAGCAAACTGTCCAGTTAGGGATTAATTTGGACAGTTTCAGATTGGACTTTCCTTTAGAAATTATAGGCAAACTCTCCTGTTTAAGAAGAAAAGGGACAGTTGGTCTGAGCCAATCAAATTCCAGAAAATACAAAAGGCTATACAAACTAGCCAATCTGTGCAAAGTCCCTTTGACAAGATGCCAAAAAGTCTAGTTTGCTGATTGTGGTTCACTGGCCAATGCTCTTGGCTTCTCATTGCTTTGAGTGTCATTTTATGACAGCAAATGCTGCTTTTTTGTTTTGGTTTCTTGTCTAGGCTACAAGGAAAATGTATGACCAAACTGGTGAAAGTTTGTATTGGAAACAATCCTGCATTCACGATAATGGTCCTGGAAAATGTGCAAGAACTGCAACAATGGTAATTGTGTTTAGATGTTTGGTACTCAAATGTCCAGTTGCAGACAAAGTCTGTAAAAATCATTTGAGGTGATGAATGAAATGTTTATTTTCAATTATTTTTGTGTTTAAATTAAGTATTTGCATTTTTGTTTTATCTTCTTTGTAATCAAAATGTAGGTTTTCCCCTGTAGCACCGTATCATTGAATGCTCTTTTTTTAAAATTTAAAGTTGACTACAAAATGCGAAAAAGAAAGGCTAGTACTAGGTTTTATGCCTTGTAAAGGATAAGTTGGCACTATAAGAAAAATGCATTTTAAAAATCGTTCACTGTGTTTTTGTTTTAACTACAAACAGTCTGAGTGTGCAATATTATTTCTGTAACATGCTGACAAATCTGGATTAACTAACCAGCTATATAATTAATAAGTAAGAGGACTATATGCTTGTCCAATTTGTAAATAATAAAATTTGATTAAAAAAATTCCTCTGACAGCCATATTGGAATTTCCTTCATCCAATAATATTTCCAGATTGGACAGAATGTAGTCCTATTACATACACTAACACTTTATTCAAGATGCAGACATTAATTTAAAATAAAGAAGTTACAAAAGTCATGTTGGCATGTTTTATAGAACTGTTATCAAGAGCAATATCATGTTCCTTTTATCACCTGCATTATTCAACCTTATTCTAATGGCCCAGGGGCCCCACTCACATTTATTATTTTAATGACGGGGGGGTCCGACAGAGGTTCATATTTTATACCCAAAAAAATCCCAACTTCAGAATTTGTCTACCCAAAAAAATCCCTCCTTTTTTTTAGCATACCCAAAAAAATCCCTCAGTGTTTTTGCATCAGCAAATTTTATTATTTAACTTTTGGAAAGCTAAAACATGCCAACTTCAACTTTGGTTTTGGTCAAAAACAAAACTATAAATTGCACTTATGTTATTTTTGATTTGAGCTGATGAAAAATACAATACCCCAAAAAAATCCCTGTGTTGTTTTCGCGACCCAAAAAAATCCCTTTTGGCCAAAATGTCAGACCCAAAAAAATCCTTCGGACCCCCCTGTTATTAAAATATGTGAGTGGGGCCCCTGGGTCTAATGGTCTCTTATCTCCCCACCCCACAGGAAGCGACAGAACAACAACCTGGAAAGACTCAATATATAAACTACACACAAGCCACAATCCCCTCATTCATTCTGACAAAGGTTAGCAATTAAAATGTCAGCTTCCGTATCCCTCTATGGTGGCCAATCTACATGATCAACTCTGTTGATAAAACCAAATGTTTGTCTTTTATTCCACCAATGACCCAACACTACAGTTTCTTTAGAGGCTAACCCATTTTACCCTGGGAATAATGTTAGTTTCTTTACTGAAACTGTCTAAACTGTGAATTAATTGTTTTCACTTCAAACTTTAACTCACCAATGGCATAGTTTAGCATATACTCCTCTTTGAAGAACAATTTACTAAGGTCACCTCCCCTTTTTCCAGCTTCTGCAACTTCTGTAAATTTCATCAATTTAACAGTAAATTTATTTAAAATAATATCAAAACTCCAAAGGTAAAAGGACAACCATTGTAAATGCATGAGATTTTACCTCTTACATCACCACCTGCACAAAAAGCACGATCCCCAGTTCCTTTAATCAGCACTAAACTTACAGCTGGATCAGCATCCCATTTCTGTCAAACGAAACAAACAAATTACCACATGTCTGATAAAAACTTTGAATTTCTTAAGTCACTGCAGCTTCTAACAGAATTTTCAAGCTTTTACTACCTTCTTGCAATGTTTTATTGCTTCTCATTACACAAAAAGGCTTTAGCATGGACTTATTAATCCAAGTGCTGCAAAAAACAGAATGTGGTTTATACCAATAAACCTATATGTTGTAGTTTAATTTCCTTTGTGGTGCAATTTTCCATTGTGGAAAAAACAACAGCAAACCTATGAAGAGCTGACTGATTTGAAAATATTTAGACTGAAAAAAAGTCTCACCAACAACTTTCATTGTTTTAATACATCCTATCATGCCACAATTTTGGTTTTACCCAACTTAGGTGAAAAATTTCTATTTTGCTCAAAATGTACATGAACCATATGCCCCAGCTGAAACAAATTAGGCTTTTTTTGTGTGTTTTTTGGTGTTGCATAAGCCATTGTTGGTTCTCTTTGTGCTGAGGGCATTATTTAGTGTCACCTTTTCAATCTTTTGTATTACAAACATGTACATGTCATTATTTTGGTGATTGTAACCAGCAGCAACATCACGAAACTACAACTTTTTTTATCCCACTTGGGCAGAAATTTCCAGTTTCATCAAGGGTGCACTACACTTGTTAGTTTTGTTGTTTTACATAAGACATCTAGGGAAGAATTAAATGGTTTGTGGTGTTACATAGTCATGATGCAATCTGCACTAGCTTTCTTGTTTGGAAGAACAATTTTATTTTTAGCAAACATGAGTGACGCACTTTGGCACTTTCAATAATATTCAGCCCAAAAATCCAGAAATTTTGGTTAGAAATTAAATGGAATGGACCAGTTTGGTTCGTTTTGAAGGTGGTCCACTTTGACTGGTCCCACTAGACAGTCTAGTTGAAAAAAAATGTCCCTCAATTTCGATTTGAAAAATTTGTCGTCCCTGTAATAAAATGGTGCCCTTCTGTATCTTGCTAATACATGTATGATAATCAAACAAGACTAGTAGTGGTTTGGATTGGTTTTGTGCAACAAATATAAAGTTCTATTTCACATGTGGAACTTCTGAAATTTCAAACCAGAAGCACCCCTTGTCTTACCTTTAATACTGGGTAGATTTGTCTGATCATATTCAAGTTCAGGGCATTCAGTGCCTTTGGACGATTCAGTGTAATTACTCCAACTTTATTTTTTACTTCAAGTAATACCTCTGCATCCTGCAATGTTGATATTCAAGAGAACAGATTATAGAAAACAAATTACTGTGATAAATGTGTCAATAGTAAATTAACAGGAAGATTTTAAAGCCATCAATAAAAAGAAAAAGTCCATTTCAGTAAAAATCTAGCCATGAATTGAACACATGTTAGCTGATCGCTGGATTTTAATTTTTGCACAAGAATTATTGTTTCGCAAAATCGTAGTTTTAGGAATTGAAATAGTAACCAGCATCTAACAGTCAAAAATGTATAAAACAAAATGTTATAGAACCTAAATTTCAAAATTACCGCTTTTGCACTTGTAGATGACATTCTCTGAAAGCAAAATAATGGCAATAAAAATATGAGCACAAATTTATTACGTTAATATTATTGTAGTACAAGAAACAACAATCAACAGTTTATTACTGCAAAACTTAATCACTGCAGGTCTGATTCTATTTCCTCTCATGAAGCAACTTTGCACACATGTATTTGACGAGACAATTCTCATTCGTCGGCGGACAACATAAAGAACCTTTTTTACGTACAGTAAAACATTTCTTGGAAGATAGAGAGGCAAATTAAATTAACTTGATATTTGGATCACTGAAGATTCAGATATGCCACTTATAGTGGTGGTAACAAAATTATGGAATACACATTTTGTGGTTAAAGTTTATTTTTCTTTTGCTTTTGGGTGTGTTGACGTGTTTTACTTTAACACTTAGGATATGAAACAAAGGAAAATATAATTTAAAGTAAGGATAAAATTGAACCACAAATGTATCCACAAACAAGTTGACCTCCACAAATGTTAACAAACATCCATTCTTGTTTGTAAAAAGCAATCTGCTGGAGGAACAGTCAGTTACATGTTTAGATTTAGTATAATTTTTATTATTGTTAGCATAACATTTACCAGATGTCGACATAAGATTCTGAGCTTTTGACAAGAAACAGATGTTGACCTAAAAGACAAAAAAATTATCAATGGTCAACAACAAACTAAAAGAGTTTGAAAAAATATTTCATAAGTTAGTTAATTTGAAAACCTAACAGTTCTATTCTAGGGCATAATTAAATACAATAATTAAGAGTCAACAAATGAAAGGAATTATCATGAACATTTAAACTTGCAAGGATGAGACTCAGTCTTGTGATGGGTGAATTGGCAGATGTTAAAAAAGCACGAACAAAAAAGAAAAAGTCAAATTAAGGGGTAGTCAAAAGAGGAAAGCAACAAGATGGTCTTAAAGACAACTGAGGGAAATTGGGAAGACATCTTACAGGGTTAGAAAGGACTATTAACAAAGCAATGATGTGCTTGTTCTAAGGACCAAACTGAGCAGTAAGTTTCCCGGAGTATAAGCTAACACTGGTTAGACCCATGATTTCTCATAATGGTTGATGAAAGAGGTCAAAAAAATTTTTGTATCTGCAAACATAGAGTATACAACCACTTTTATAAGGGACAGATCTGGACTGTCCCTTATATAAGTGAGTCTCTGTTAACACACTGCTATGCACTATTGTTGACCAGACCAATCAGATCAGATGTTACCATTTTAACCAGCATAACTAATGCTATGAATTATATAAATAATAACTACACTGCAGTCAGACCCCTGATGATTAATTTTATCCTCAAACCCACTTTCCCTTGGACCAGTCTGAAAAATGATCTGCTGGACTGGAACTCACAAAACCATGTGAGCCTCCCATGGGGCAGAGTGAGTTATTTGGAGAGCATTAATTTGAAGTTACCCCCCACGCAGACGATCTCAGGGGTTCATCATGCATTCCTGCCCCATTCCTGCTCATAAAGGAGTTCTTTTGGTGAGGCAATGGCAAGATGGTATGGTGTAACTAAACAAAAAGCAGAATTGTTTTTTGCACTCTATTGTTTTGTAGTAAAGCCAACTCCAAGGTAATTGTTTCAATGAATAACTGAGAAGTTTGTTCTAAAGGTGTAAGCAGCCGGTCTTCCGAACCTTTTTATGAGACCTTTCTGACCGTTTTGAGTCTCTCGCAAAATTCCTCAAGGTTAAAAGTGCACTACCCTGATCTGGAAGTGTACTGTGATTGGTCTCTGTTTTTAACTGCTTGTTTCAGCAGATATTTGTTGGGGAGTATTGCGTGACAAGCCAAAAGAACATCTGGATGGGAAGTTACACCTGATGCCTTCAACAGGCATTCAGGAAGCTGAAGCTGACAGTTCTTGACTCACTCGCTACTAGAGAAGACTTATTTTTGAAGGTTTTACAGGGGGCCCTAAGCTCTGAATCTAGACTGTATATATATGAATTTTGAACAAAAAGTAAGGGCGTTACCATTATCAAGAACTTGCTGGCCAGACCAGTCCATTCATAAAGAGAATTACCCTTTATTCAGAGCTGTCCAAACAAATCAGTCTTTCCCTAAAAAAACTAGTATGTAGATGAAAGTAATGAGTTTTTAGAAAGAAATCTGGATGAAAACCTATTAATTTTCATTTTCAAGATGACTGGATTAGCCAGCAAGTTCTGACTTTTAGTGAGGTGTCTTTTGCTAGTTCTCCAAGGGCAAAAGCAAGTTGCCATGCACAATGTTTTTTTCTTATAAAAAAAACTTGTGTGTCCACTTGTCATTACAATTTGCACATTGGCCCAAGGGTAAACTGCCTTTCCCAGCTTATGTATAATGATGGCAGCTACCTCTTGAACTGCAAAGCTATTAATTTTCACAATCGAGCAGAATAACAGGAGACTGAGAAGTTGCCGTGTTTCTTGAGAGTCCATACATCTAACCCACTCTTAACTGACAAACTGAGAGTACTGGTGTGTTCTGTGTGGTTATTAGAGGTCAAAATTATATCCAGGTTAAATTTTTTTAACCTAGGTTGATTCTCGATTTCCTTTGTCTTCTAACCCTGATTCTTGTAACATATGTAGTCAACTTACAGGTCCATAAGATTAATCTTCTCAAGACTAAGGAAGGCATTAACTGTCTCTAATAATGAAAATCGCTAGATGCCAGTTTTTACATTGCTTCACTAAGAAGGATATCAAAAATAAGCCAACATTTGAAGGTCAATCCAAAAGTTACATTTTAAAAATAGCGAAGTTAGACAAGCTGTCCATACTGTACAAACCGGCCTAGGGTACAAACCTACCCATTTTTTTCTGTTAGCTTAACAACCTAAATAATGCGTAATCATGCAACGCGCTAATTTGTCATAACGCTAATTATTACAGCGATATAATTCACCTGCTTACACAATGTGTTGGATACATTGATGAAAGCTGTTTCCTGGAAAAATCGCTGGAAAAATCAAAGCTGAGGGAAAGAATAAGCGCCTGCGTTTGTAGACCTTGGTCAGCGTTTTCACCAATTCATTAAGTACCTCATGTATAGTATGGCAAACGGTAGACGAAAACAATTAACAATAATTAAGAATGAATGACGAAGAACAATAAGAACAATGATTAAAAATATGGACTGTGAATAAACCCAAGGCTGGAAAGGATATAATTTTGAGTGTTGAAAATCTAGTAAATATAATACAATTATTCCGAGCGAAGTGAGGCGCGAGGCACCTTGCGAAAGCGAATTCATAATTTTGTCGCGCGGAATGTCGCGCTCAACGCGCGGGGATCGTATGCAGTATGGAAATTTGCGTTTCAAAAATCGATTGGACCAGCCTTATAGTTGGAAGTAAATTTACCGTTTTTGCTTTGTTTTACTTTGTATTTGAGGGCAATTTTCCAAGTACAAGGCCTTGGGGGGTTTATATTTGGAGGGGCGATTTAACGGAGGGTTTTTTGCGTTACCGGTTTGGGGGGCTTATTTTTTCTTGTTAATATACATGGAGGGGCTTATTTTCAGAATTTTAAGGTGATCGTCTTGTCTTGTCCATGGGAAAATACAGTGCAACTTCAGTCAGCCACGACCCATTCTCGTCCCCAGAGCCACTCGGCTTAATTTGTAACCGACCAGTTTCCAACCACGTGACCAAGAAACGACGGGCTCTGGGGAAGAGAATGGCCACGACCCATAATGCAGTACCTTGAGTAACAGCTGTTTCTGGGGCGGGGGCGGGGACCGGGAAATCGGAGAAAAGGGAAGCGGAGGACAATAAAAACTCTTTCCCTCTTATTCCTAAGGAAGGGCTGATACTCCTAGTGATCCCTGACCCAGTGACATAGGGGTGATTGCTTTTTACTGGGGTCGAACCACAAGAAGTCAAGAAAAGCCGTCTGTTTACAACCACCTACTCGTTCGAAGAGAATTAACCTCAAACAATTTATAATAAATTCTAGTCTCTTATATTCTGAGTTGCACATTACTTGCCATGAACACAAGAGTTTACATTCCAGGGGAGTGCCTAGTAAGCGGGTACGCTTGACCTAGCTTGTCTGTAAAATAATATGGCACTGTGGTCCCTATAAGCACTCACAAACCTCAACCCTGGAGGTATGTCGTGACTATTTAGGCTAGCACTGACAATAGCTTGCTGATCCACTTAATTGGGTCTATTGTTTTCAAATTCCTAGAGCTCTCTTTTACTTGAGAGGAATAGTTACAGGCGTAATAGACCTTTACAGCATTCCGCTCCAGAAAGCAAACATAAAGAAATGGGGTCAAGCAGTCAAGGCTTGGGTGGATACAAGTTCATACAAATCACTGGTTTTTGTCCATCCAAGCCTTGAGTTGGTGGCTTTGTTGACAAGAATGCAAGAAGGGTCTGTAGTGTACACTGATTACACAAGGAAAATCAAGTCCAAGACAACCTTTTATTATAAAATAATCTTATTTAAGCAACTCAAAGAGTTCATGTACATTTTGTATTCTAAGTCTTTTGAATTCTACTTAATGGGGACAGTTAAGCTTAACTTCTCTGTAAATATCAAGGTCGTGAGCTACCCTTGCTATAATAAAAATATGTACAATATCTCTTCAAGTACTATCACTTTTCACTAAAATTAATACAAAATATAACCAACCTAAATTAACTCGCATTTGCATTCAACAGAAAAATAAAGTAAAAACATAATGACATAACAACCTGCTAAAAAGAATTTACAAAATCAAAATAAAAAGTTATTTACAACTCAAACGCTGCACAACCACCAACCAAGTGTTTTGAAATGTATAAATAAGAATATCGAAAAAAACTGTTTAGGAACATATACAACATAAAATGTACAGAAAAATTATTCATTTACAATATTTTTGGACAATATTTGTTGAGTCACCAATAAAAACATTGTTTTACCACTTTCTTGTTTATAAGCATTGTTATACCCTATTAATGTCCCTGACAGTTTCGAAAGCATTTACAGGACGTATAAGCCGTGGGTGTGATTTTGGCCACTTCAAAAAAAAAAACAACAAACAAAACACTAAAACAAATGCAAAACAAAACAAAACAAAAAACAAACCGGGTCTGGGTAGGGTGTCATGTATGTATGTTAATAATCTCCCAAAACGCTTCATCTCAGAGTGGCCAATTCTCCGCTTCTGTGTCAAAAAAGAGTCGAAAAACCATTTTACACTTTGATGCTTTCTCAGCTAGTAAGAATGAAAAGTCAGTTTCTTCTCCAACCCAGTGAACAGGCTAATCTGTACCAGAAGTTTGATTCCTCTTCTCTGATATAATCAAGATAAGTAAGATGCTGTATTGTCAGTGGAATTTTGAATCGATATGCATCTTCAATCAGGATGGGGATGAAGCGTCGCTCTTGTGCCCCTACAAGAGAGAGGACAATGGTTATATCACATTGTTACCTTGAAACTGCTAACTCTAAATTAACTTAATCAAGAAATGATGTGGTTTATGGTCGAACAATATCACTTGACTTTTCGTTGTTTTTTGTACATCAGATAGTTTGCACGGTTTTGATTCAAGAGTGGCAATGAGTTATCTCATAGACTACATGTAGTTGTCTTAAGAGGCTCAACCTTTGTTTTCGGCATTAGATCAATGAAAACTATAACACAAAAAGTCTTATAAATATTAAAATATTGCCAGTTAATGCTGTCTGCAAAGAAAATCGTGTCTGATAGCCTGGGGCTAGTGGATTTTGCTATTGGGCTAGTGATATTTGTTCTTAACTTGCCTGATAGGCCAGTGCTGTTTTTTTAGGGAAATTCAAATTACAGAAGGATTGTAATCAATACTGCTGATCAAAAAGGGTTTTGGGGCTAGTTAAAATGACTTGTGGGCTAGTGCATGCTAGCTACAACTTGCCCGAATGGCAGGCTGTAAAACTGACTTTCTTTACACCCTGTAATATTGCAAAAAAAAAAAATTGGAAAGAAAAAAAAAAGAAAAGAAGAAAGAAAAAGACTGCTGCTAATATAAACCCTGCCTACCCCTCCATTGTCTCCCAAGCTGCCATTTTTATCTAACCTGGTGAGAGACTCATAGCAATGTGAGATTCATAGATTGCTCCTTCACTGTCATCAAAATTGCTTGACAGCACAGCTACAAACTTTCGGCATCGTTTCTCGATGGCTACTGCAGCAGTTTGAAGGTAACAACCACCACCAAGGAAGTCACGCTCACTAAAACATAGCCGTAAGTTATAAGGTGGGCTCTCCATTTTTTTAAGCAGTTCTTCCACGAATTCACTGTCCTTTTTGGCAGTATTTGCAAAGCAAAGAAATGCATCGTATGAATCATGAACTGCAAGCAAAGAATAAATATTAATGCTTCAGACAACTTTTATGACCACGGCAAGACAAGCTTAAACTAAAACAAAAAACATGTAGGATGGTGATCCTCATGAGCTGCCTGAGACAAGCTGCAAAAAACGTTAACTAGGAATGATTGCTTTGTGAAATCCCAATAATCCAACAGTTATTTAAGCAAAAACTGTGTCATTCATGACAGGGCTGTAAAAAACATCAGACATTTTGAAGAGGTGAAGCAGGGATGTCACAAAGAGACAAATGCCTGCTAATTTCACCAGCTGAAAAAGAGCTCACCACCAGCACAAATTGCTCTTTGGTGTTATTACAGATAACTAATTACATGTATAGCCCTTGAAAAAGGTAAAAAAGAATGCGATATTGCACAGGGAACCCGAACGCTGTATTTGCTAATAAAATAATCAAAGATATTTACCTTTGTTCCTTTGTCTTTATGAGTCGTTTTGGAAGGGATTTGAATCCGATCAGAGACAGGTAACATTGCTGGGAATGCATTGGCATGTCTGGCATGTTGTAAAATAATAAGACACGCAAGTTTCGTCTCACGTTTCTAATATTGTCATGTTAAAACCGTAAAATTCCGAAAATAAGCCCCGGAGCTTATATTTTTCAAAGGCCCTTTTTGAGGGGCTTATTTTTGGAGGGGCTTATCTACGGAGGGAAATTTGCGTTTGAAAATCGATTGGGGTAGCTTGCAGTGGGAAGGAAATTTACCATTTTTGCTTTGTTCTACTTTGTATTCGAGGGCAAATTCCAAGAACAAGCCCCCCGGGGGGCTTATATTCGGAGGGGCGATTTAACGGAGGGTTTTTTGAGTTACGATTTTGGGGGGCTTATATAATTTTGGAGGGGCTTACTTTCAGAATTTTACGGTAACTATTAACTCTCGATCTCCGTGGGAGATGATCTCGGGTTTCAATTTAACAGCCACGAGAAGAGAAAAGAGACAAGGGATGAAACTCTGCAGTGGTCTTCGTATGATCTGTGACTCCAGTTGACCTGACCAGTCTCGTGCGTGGAAATGCGCGAGGAAACTCGATCCGATGCACAGCAGCCTTTGTCTGCGATTTCTGCAACAGGCGACGTGAATGAATCTCCTGTTCGTGGTAATTTCAATGCTGTTTTCCAGTGAGTCGAATTATATTTTTTCCTCAGTTGCTTTCCAGATACAAAACAATAGAATTATTATTAAAATCAAAGCAATTTTTTACAAAGAGATTGCTCAGTTTACGATCCTCATCACTATCATTGGAAATAAAAGCAGTAAATATTTTTAACTTATCATCTACATCAAATTGATTTCTAACTTTAAAATATAAATTTCCACTCTAACAGCCGTTCAAAGATACTCCAAAATGGGTGTCGCATAACTTTTATCCTGCGTGATTCAGCGTGGTATAATGATATGTTTTCGTTTTCCGACACATCCAGCTGTCGCATAAAAGCAAGAGACCATCGCGAGAACAATATAATCATCTTAACAAAACACATGTCTGATCTGGCAAACTTACTTCCGGTCACGTCAAGTGTAGTCACATATCGGACCAAAAGTAGCCTCTAAAAACAACGCAAATCTAAGCAGAAGAACAGGCATCAAAACATACGAAACCAACAACCCTGTATAATTATTGAACCTTTAATCAATTGAGGTGTGTGATTTATTAACAAGGTAATTACACCTCAAAATAAAAGTGCCCTCATTTAAGTTTCATCCGTTGTCTCTTCTCATGGCCGTTAGTGGAGAGTTAATAGTTAACAACATTAGAAACGTGAGACAAAACTTGAGCGCCTTATTTACAACATGCCACACAAGGAAACGCATTCCCAGCAATGTTAACCATCTCTGATCGGATTCAAAGCCCTTCCAAAACGACTCATAAAGACAAAGGACCAAAAGTAAATACCTTTTATTATTTTGTTAGCAAAATTAATACAGCATTCGGGTTCCCCATGCAATATCGCATTCTTTTTAACATTTTGCAAGGGCTATAAATGTAACTAGTTGTCTGTAATAACACCAAAGAAAATTTCTTATGAGAGCCCGAGAAAATAAATGTCAATTTTCACAAGATGACACCTTACACACGAAATTTTCAGAATTTTACCTCTGTTTTCACATTATTCTTCTATTTTCTCGGGCTCCCATGAGAAAATGGTGTTATTACAGGTAATTAATTATTATATCTACAGCCCATAAAAATTGCACAACACAATGCGATATTGTTTAAATATTCTGCTACAAGGTTTTTGTCCACTAAAAATTGAAATTGCCTGTCTTTCCGTCTTAATACTCTGAGTTGTCTAGCTGTAACAATTTCATCACAAAAAAATAACTGCAAAAGATGTTAAATATACTTACTTGTTTGTAACCCCTCAATCTCCTCTGCAAGAAAAATGAAACAAAAGGCTTGTGAGTAGTTTGCAACATTTTAATTCAAGAAATATAATGTATTATAACTTAGAGTAAAAGTAGAAACAAGACAATGACAATGACATACTGTGTGATACATTGTATCACACAGTATGTATCAGGAAAAAATTTTATGTATTCTTAGCATACGTTATGTAAAACTACAGATTTCAGAAACCATCAGTGTGACTTGATATCAGATCTACAACGTGTGTAATATGACCAGTCTTAAAAATAAACAATTACAGAGCAGTCTTTGCTGTTTGGAAATCTATTTCAGTTTATACAATGATGTGAATGCTAGGTGTGCTGTGATTGGTCGTTACTCATGATCTATTGGAGTACAGATACATGCATGACATCACAGGAAACTTGTTTTCTTTGTTTTGTTCAACATATCATGCGGTTTCGGATTAAGGGCAAGTGAAAGCCTCGAAAAAACTTTGCAAGAGCTATTTACAAAGAAGAAAAATGGAGAAAAGGAGAGAAAAAGAGCTCTTCACAACTTAAGAATGCCTAAAATTGAAGAAATCTTTACAACAGTTGCCATCGTGTGTCATTGCTATGAGAGATGAGTTCGCTGTCTTGCCTAAACTAGCACAAATCTATGAACAGTCAAGCGGTATGAGGCAGGTATGTGTATCAGTCTTATTTTTCCTGATCATTGTATAAAACAAAATTAATAAATTCCATGTTGCCGTGGGTCTCTTCAGTAATAGATCACAGAGGATGTAAAAAATGTGGTAAAAACATCAGTGACACACTTGCCTGCGGCTTGTCCGCCACTTCTTTGTTTTCATCACATTATGACGTCATCTGTGATCTATTACTGAACAGACACACGGCAACGTGGAATCTATCATTTCGTTAAGTACATAAATTTTACTGTAAAATAAATTCTGCATTTGCCACTATAAAAAGAGACCTCCGCAAACAAAATATAGCTCATTTCCGAATCATTATTATTGTTCTGAACCTCTTTAAAAATGAGGCCTTTCACCCAGTCATTCTTAAGAAAATGAGTTATATTTGTTCATGGATAAAAACTCATTTCCGTATGAAAGGATAAGCAAAACAGACTGAATGAAATTCAAAATGCCTTATTATTTGACAATGCAGGTAGGTACTGGAATGTAATAAAAGTTAGAAAAAATATTATACAAACCCCGTCTTTGCTGACGTTTCTCTCTTTGACATTTTGTAGGGGTTGCATCTGAATGAACATAACAAAATAACAACAAAAATGACTATGCAGTTTGCACACGACTACACTCACCAAAGGATAATTGACTGAACACAACATTTTTCAACCTACTTAATATGGGCACTGGTTAATATAAACAAAGAACACTATTCTACGTCCTGTGTCACATACATGTACTCCCATATATCAACAACCTTGCTTAACAGCAGTGTCTATGACTAAATAACTTACCACTTAAAGAAAAAAAAATAGCAGAAACAGCAAATGAATTTTCAAACATTCTGTCTAATGTCAAGTCCATTTGGCTGAGCCACAAACTAAAAGCGTTGGTGCAAAGTCAAGTCACAGATTCCATTGTTGTGTTTCAAGAGACATGCACCACACAATGTACTTGAAAGGCAGTTTTTACGATAAATTATCATGAGGTTTCTTTGGGATGAACTTGTTAAAGTTTCAGATAAGAAATAAGGCAGTGTTTCCTTGCAAAAATTTCTACCTTCTGTAACATTTTTTCTGAGAGCCTGCTTAATATGAACACTCGGATAATAAGGACACTAAGGCATGTCCCCTTGGTTTCCGTGTTAACTGGGTTCCACTGTAATTTTATCACAAGTACATGTCTAAAAATGGTTTTCCTACAAATCTATGTCAAAGCAGGAGTGCATTGTAGAGATGCAGGGACCTCCAGTTAAACAAACAATAACCCCAACCTTTTAAGCTGCATTTTAACACTAACCTACATACGGCTGAAGGTCCTCTAGCACATCATTTCGTTCCATCTCTTTTAGCAAAGATGTCATCTCTGAAATTTTCCGGTCATTTTCCCGGAATTTTCTTAATAAGTTCATAACAGGATTATCAGTACTTCCAAGCCACTGAATGTACTGATTTGAGTATCCCATTTTGTCTGCTAATGACCTGTAGTCTCTTCCAGTGGCTGATAATGGTTGTAAATGTTCTACTAGTTTTTGGTAACCTTCAGAGGGCAAATCTTTCAATAGCTTCTCATCACCAGCTGCTGTTTCACCAACTAGCAAGGAAATTACAAAAAATCCATTATTAAACCCTTGAGACAAATCAAAGCTACAATGGGTCAAAATGTTTTGTTTTCTTTGATGTTTCTCCTTATTATAAACTGTAATGAACATGTAGACTTCTGATCTCAACAACTGTACACAAGACAAAATTAAGAAGTAATGATACTCAAGGTTCCTGTAGACACAATCATTCTGTACTCGCTCTTTTTTTAAATTTTTTTTTACAGGAGTATAATATTTAATGTAAATGTTTCAATTAGCACTCATAGCATTTTTTAATGTAGATGGGGATGCTTATCATTTTATTTATCATTTGTGACCATGCTGTTGTCAACACAATAAATTGTTATGATCTTGAAACCAAGAGAACTTTTAAGAAAGTTTGAATCAACTTAGATGTATGCTTTTCAATGAGCAAGTCAAATTTTGGCATTTGTCAAATGTAAAGCAGACATCGATATTCACTTAATTTAAAACAGAAAAGTTAAAATATTTAGCACTGATAGCACAAAACTAGCAACAATAAACAATGATAAAGCAAGGTAGTTTTAGCTTTGATTTACAGCTGCAGCTACTTTCGCTTAAAACAATATTTTCTGATACTTATGGAAAGACTTTTAGTGTCAATTTTATAACGGCAACAACAAAAAGCACATACAGGAGGGGTGATATGATCAGTATTGATTCAATTGTTTATTGACCAACCAAAAGGCTTTGTTCATTTCTTCTTTTCTGTACTTTTTACTGCATTGGCTAATTGCCTTTTTTGAGAATTTTTCTCATGTTTATTCATTATTATTAGTGTAGTGAGGAAACAGCTGACATTTGGTGATGCTACCACTGGTTTCCCCACCAAATGACGTCTAAGAGACGAGCGCAGAAATTCCATACTGATGACGCATCACTTGAATCAATTTCCCGCACGGCACGACCAATCAAAAGCACTACCCAGATCTGGGTAGTGACGCGTCATCAGTATGGAATTTCTGCACTTGTTTCTCAGACATCATTTGGTGGGGAAACCAGTAGTAGTGTCGCCAAATGTTGGCTGTTTTCGCAGGCTGTTGTAGTGATTAAACAAATCCGGTTAACACAGTTAATGGAGACAGTTCTGTAAAAGTACTAAGCAATGTGCATATTAAAAATAAGTTTCTGAGCCTATTTGTTTTCAATATTTTCTGCTGTAGAGTTCTTACCTTTGTCCTTTTCTGAATCTTTTTCTTCAGGGGAGATTGTGTCATGGTGTTGCTTATCAGTACCATCAAGTACCACGCTTAGCATCAACTCATCACCTTCACTGTTTTCTTTTGATGGCTGAGTGTCAGTGATTGCACTTTCTCTATTCCTTGCATTTTGTGTTGAATATCGCTTTCTTTTCTTGAGCAGTGATGTCACATTACGCTTTAGTCTAACAGTAAATTTCTCTTTTCCCGGTTTCTCCTTCTCCATACTTGATATTAAAAACAAAACAAATTAAATGTAAGGCAGGTCAGCGTACTGACAGACACAACTTTCATGCTTGTATGAGATTGGAACTCTTGACCTCCATGTTACCTGTGCAATTACAGATTGAGAAAAGGGCCTATGCTAAACAGCTTTGTCCATACATAGGCCCAGCTGATGAACCCCAATAAGGGCGAAACAGCTGTCCATGGCTGCCACTGCCTGGGTGATATGGCTGTGTGCATGCGTGAAGTACTAGCCAGGCTGTGGGTTGGTTCATGAGTGCCCCTTGCTTTAAGTTTATGTTGTTAATGCAAATATTTACTTTTGTCAATAAAATGTCGCATTCAAGTCTAATTTGTAAAAATACCGGGGGAAACCAATTTTGCAGAACGATTTGCACTCACTAAGACTAAAGACTAAGACTCAAAATCTGCAGGAAAATCTATCTAAAAATAAACTGCACTGTGAAAAAGCTATGGCATGGGCACAAGGGAGTTCCTTACTCAAGCTTATAGACTCCTGCTATTGCTTAGCTTTTTTTTATTATAATCAACCTGATATGTACATAGTGCGTGCCTATGTTTTTCCGAGAAGGTTTTGTTATGACTATCCATGACTATCGCTCTTGCTTTCTTCAGCGAAACAATTTGCCGATCTTGTTTGAAAATAAGCGAAAAGTTGTATGTTTAAGGCACTACAAAGAAAAAACAACTTCCACTATTATTGCTCCCTCGAATCTAAAGCTGTCTTATCACAAGTCATTTGCTCGAGTCTGTAGCACTACACTCGCTGGTCAACGTGAAGTTTGTAGCATGTAAAGCGTTACGTGTGAGGCTTGAATGACAACCTTTTCGTGATAAGAAGAAGTACTCCTAAAAATATGAATCACTTACCTGGTGGGCGCAAGGCCCGAATAAACACACAGAACCGAACAGCGTAAAGGTGTATTGCAACAATCAAACTTCGATTGAAATGAAAGATCGCGGGCGGGTTGCGGCGAGGGCGTCGTTTTACGTCATAACCGAAGTCACATGGTCACCAATCGACGTATTAGTGCCTTATAAGTAGGTCTAAGTTGGCTTAAGTACCATGTAAGTATGTTCGAAAGTCGTTTTTCCGGAACTGATTTCGTAACTTGTTGAGCATTTATAGAACTGAGAGACATGTAAAAATAAACGAGTTAACATAATCGGAACGGTTAATTTTGGCTAACATGGCCACTGTGGCAAATGAAACAAACGGCAAGCCATACGGGGTGAGACGGTAGGCGAGGAATTTGAAAAGTGTTTTGTGCTAGAACTCAACGCAAAAAGTGCAACTTCTATGCAGTCTCGCTAAAATGACGTAATGTAGTATTTGCTGTTTTCTCTGCTGATACGAAACCGTAAAAAACTGACAGCTGATTGAAATCACAATTAGAAACATGAAATAAAAGCAAGATAAATGAGTCAAACAAAAATCAAACAGTACACAAAAACACAAACCATTATTTTTAACGAATTCTTCATTAGTTGTGAAATCCCCTTAACTTTTCAGAGCCGCAGCTAACGGGGGGGGGGGGACAAGGGGGAAGATACCCCCCTCCCCCTGGACCTGTTGAGCTAGACACATCAAATCTGTGGATGGAGTTGTTTTCTTTAGACTCAGTTATTTTGGTTATAGTGACTTGCAATTGTTTTCCATTTACATATTCGAGGTCGATTTTTCGGAGACATATTTCATGAAAAATGCTGAAAAGAGCGTTTCAGAGCCTCCAAATTTGAAAATTTTCTTGGGGAGGATACCCCCAGCTCCCCCCCACCAGATTCGTGCCTTCGGCACTTGAGATAGTGCCCCCGGTAACAAAAAACTTAGCTACGGCTCTGCTTTTACCAGGTCATAAAACTCTTACAAATCTCTTCCCAATGCGCATTGAGCCAAGCTCTACTGGGAAAATTCTTCGTACGTTGAGTACCAGGCCAATACTAGAATGTAAAGGACCGCAAACGAATATACTGTTAGACGTAGGATTCCTCAGGGGAACTGATCAGCAAAAATCTACTCCAAGTGTTCACGTAATGGGGATGTGTATCGCTGGGTGAGGTCGTATTTTACGACTAGATGGGTTGCTTCAAAAGTTACTATTATAAGGTCGCACAATTTTCTGGATTTCGGAAAACTGGCACTTTCGCTAGAATTAGAAAAGAGATAACAAAATTAAAACTGTTCCAATCTCAAAATCATGTTCATGATGGTAAAATAGCTTCCACCTCGGCCAACGAGTTGCGCCTCGATCAATTATAATTACTATTGTCACATTCGCTATGTTCTACTTTCCTCTGGGCCTAGACTAGACTACGAGTCTCTCTCTTTTTTCTTGGTACGTCGAGCAAAACGAGCGAGACACGCAAATGACCACACGCGTGACTGAAGGCGGAGACAGGAAAGGCGCGAAAAAAAGAGCTCTTTTTTTCTTCTCGGGCGGCCGCTCTACGCTCGCGCGCGCATGAACATCCCTCGCTTAATCTGAAGAAAAAGAGAGACTGGTTGCAGTCTAGCCCTAGACGTGAGTGTGCTACCAGATTAGCAACTCGACAAAGGCAGTTCATCCCTCGCCACTTTATAAACTAAATCTTACCGCTGTGAGGCAGCAGTTGGCGTTGGAGTTATCGAGATGCTTCTATAGTTAGGGATGAAAGTGTTACACGAAGAAAATCAACTACAACAAGAAAATAAAAAAGGCGGTCTTTATTACAAAACTTAAACCAGCCCAACGATAAGGCAGTAATTAAGGAATACAAAATGTACACACTATATAGACAGTATTTAGATAGATTAAGCATCACTTTAATAGTAACCTACGTTTGTCTCTTGCTGCGAGTCTTTTTATGCTCAGGAAAAACGCGGATTGAAACCGCATTTTTAATAGTTTTGTTGGATATACTGACAGAGGCGGACCTAACAGAAAGGCAAAGGGAACCACAGCTTATTTTTAGATCATAACCGGGGCTGCCGATATATAATCTGCACTAAGCAGACGTCTCCTACTGCTTTGTTGCACGCAGGCTAGCCACCGATATAATTCTTTTTAGTAAGGGGCTTTTCACACTTGGTGCCTGGATACAGCGGGCACAAAATGGTGTTGTGTTCACACCTTCAGAACCTGATATGAAGCTCTATTTCACACTGTCAGACGTCATCTTGGAACGTGGGCTTCACACGGAGTACAAAGCAGTGGATTGCTTCCGAACTAAAATAAATGGTGTGCACGCAGCGACTCAGTGGTCAATTTAATGCCCGAAAGTTGGCGTGGGTACTTAAAAAAAGGTGTGTTCACAACAGTGCCCAGCGGGTACCGTATTCGGGTACCGTACTCGGGCACCGGGTGTGAAGGCCGCCCCTAAGGGCACCCGCACCCCTCCGCCCCCCGGCTTTACCTCAAAGCCTTGATCCATCACTTCCTTGTGACTTGAAATGAAACACGTCTCCGTAAATCTGACTTAATTTTGTCTTTCACTATGTCAAGTATGCTTCACGTATATCTCTAATTCATCAACGTCAGAGCCCATGACTGAGTGACGTTGGAGCTTTATAAAATACTTGGTACCTTATTATAGGGAATAAACGCTTCATGAAATTGAGGTATTGGAAATTAATGCGACTTAAATTAACTCCAACTTAGTGTAAAACAATTTTCAAATAAAGGAAATAAACGTGAAAAATGAAGGATCTTAACGCGACGTTCACAAAACAACAAAACTCGTTGAGACTTGTTGTTCTTGGTTCTTTCCCTAAACGTATGTCAAAACTGTATTAACTGGAAATTAACGCTCCACGTAATTAACGGCACGGAAATCAACGCGATAATTTCATGAAGGGCTAATTTCCTATAATAAGGTATTATACAAACAGGACATACCAGTCTAATAGAGTACAATAAAAACGTTTGCGAACTTTAAAAAATATATATATTCATGCTAAATTTGCCGGCGTTTAAAATTTACCATTAATAATTTTATAAACTGGAATGTTTCAAACACGAGACTACGTTCACTCCATTCGGAAACCGTATACACCCATTAAACAAGACCGATAATACTACATTGAAAAGTGATACAACTTCAAATCATCGTTGCTGATTAATGACTGAAAAAACAACCGGACTTTGCTTCAACTTGAACCAACAAAAATGTCTCAATTTGTGGAAATTAGTAGAAAAAAGCGCTTTGCATAACATGTGCAATACCTGTTTCTATATTCACCTTGCATCTCAAGCCATGAATACAACCAATCAGAGGAATGAAAACCGTTACATATTCTGCGGTATTCCACGGGTTTTGTTGAAATCATGGCTTAATTTTTCTTTGTATTTTTCCGCCTTGTACGGAGTGGAATGAATTCTGAGATACCGGTGGCAAACTAGCATATCTTTGAAAGATAACCTAGTTTCACACGGGTATAAAGAAATACTAATTCCCAAGGGTATCTTAGAATGCATCCCACCTTTACAAGGCGAACTTTCTATTAAATGCTCCACTCATGTAAGTGTCGAGGTTATAACAATGATGGAAATGTTACGCATACACTGACAACATTCACAGTTGTCTGGCCATGGATGGATAACGAGAAAGGAATGGATTGCAACTTGCAAAAGTTAGACTAACCTTCTCAACTTCCGTCACTGTCTCCGAAAAAAGGCCTCAAAATAACAATGGTTTGCATTATTACTTCCGAAATTCACAAAAATCAACCCCCTTTCTGCCAACTTTCATGCTATGTAGTCAGACAGTCTGCTAATCTTTTCCAAAAGATTGACTGGTCTATCCTGGTATAATCAAGATGATAGAGATGTTTTATTGTCTTGGGTATCCTGTTTCTGTAGCTGTCTTCAATGAGAACAGGGATGTAGCGTTCTCTTTTTTCACCTGTAAAATAAGCGGCAATAGCCATCTTAGCGGTTTTGGTAAGAGTGCATTTCGCTTACATAAGCGCCACTCAATATTTAAAAGAGGAGCAAAATACTATGAAGAGTAAATATTAGCAACATCTCTTGACGTTAATGCTACAAGTAAAATGAAGAATTGATTTTTATATACCGATTTACAAATGTAAAAGATGGAAGTTAAGTTAACTTATTTCACTTTGTATATTTTTATGCCCTGAGCACTCCTAGGATAAGTCAAGCTATATTCGTAGATGTTTTTGTTCATTTTATATACTGATTTATATACAGTCTTTTTAAAATATAAGAACGTGTTTTTCACGCTCATGCTGGATATTCTTATTTTTCTGCCAACGTTAGGTTAAAAATATCCTTGAATGTGTACACTCTTAGATGACCCCGAGATTAGAGAGTACTGTATTTATGGCTCGTGTATCGGGTTAAATAACACAAGTGCTTAATAATTTGTAGTACCAGTTTTTATCGTCTTGTAAGCACATTTTAGCCTAGGAAATGGAAAGAAACTAATCTACTCTTCAACGGTTCAATAAAGTTCATTTAAAACGTTGCGATTTTTGTGTATTTTATTTTCCACCAACATGTTTTTAACAGCCTTGAGAATACTCTTAACACATTCTTAACATTTCGCCAATTTCAGCATCTATATTCTTATAAAAAAGACTTATCATGTAAAAAGAGTGGAATACAATAAAACTTGTACTCTGCTTAAACCATTTAAATCTCTGCAAGAGTGACCAAAATCAATTTTCTCCCAACAAAATCAATTCACCATCAGTTAAAAAGGTTATGAGAATAAATGAAATGATCACAAAAGGAAAATGCTCTGATCCTTAATCAAATTCTCTCAACTAATAAACGATGTATGGAGATAAGTTTGAGTAATTCGTATGTGGATACTGAGGTTTGAAGGGTTAATGAGGAGAGATGGTTCAAGATAAAAACAACAATTGTTACTAACTTGCAGACAGGCTCATTGCAATGTGGGATTCAAACGTTGCTCCTTCACTGTCATCAAAATTGCTTGACAGCACAGCTATAAACTTTTTGCACCGTTTCTCTATGGCTACTGCAGTATTTTCAAGGTGATAGCCACCACCAAGGAAGTCACGCTCACTAAAACAAAGCTTCAATTTATAAGGTGGGTTCTCCATTTTTTTGACAAGTTTTTCAACAAAAGCACGGTCCTTCTTGGCAGAACACACAAATGCATGATACCAATCCTGAACTGCAACATAAAACACATGAAAACAGATTATATGTGCAATGTGCCAAGTAAAGCAAGAAAATATACACAAATATATCACTAAGTTTAGCAAGAAAATACCTCTCAGGAAAACAGTGTGATAACCATCCCATGATTTGTCCCATGATGGAAAATATTCACTTAATAGGTAAAATGTGACTATGATGCTGATCAAGTTTAGACCGAAGGTCTTGTCAACAGTTAATCATCATTACAAGATTCATACAAAAAATTGCAACCATTTTTCAAGGACCACATTAGATTTCAAGGACTACCTACCAGGAATGTAATATCACAGATAAGTACAAAAATACACATTTCCTGTCCATTCTAACAGGCTTTTAAGGCTTGAACTGTTTGCCTCACCACCTCCTCTACATTTTTCAGTTCACTTGTCTTAAATTATTGATAGTTGATTCTTGCATAAGCAAAAAACGCTTCATGTAAATCATCTTTAACTGCTCTGAGCTATGATATATATTCTGTCTTTCATTTTAAAAAACACTTTCCAGGCCATGACATTCAAAGTTGAAGAAAATGCAAAAACTTTCCAATGACTCACACTGAAATTCAAGGACTCTTCAAGGAAAAATGGAATTTAAGGACGTCTCAAGGACTTCCCCTAAAATTCAAGGACTTTTCAAGATTGTGTAAACCCTAATTTAGTTGCTTTCTCCCTTTTTTCAGCTGCAAATTTTTTTCTGATTATTTTCAATCAAAAATGCTCTCAAAGACATCTACATGTACACATCTAATTGCAAAAAGGCAACAAGTTTGTGACTCTTCTGCTGTTATGATAATTCGCTCTTGATGTCTCATTTCTAAGTAAAACATCTTCTGAATTTTGCAGATACAATCCTAGAAAAGCGGGCGATTACTAACATCAATATTAAGAAAAGTGGCATGCGCGCTGCCATTTTGGAATAGGTTTAAAAGAAATCAAGTAAAAATGTATGTAAATGAACTAACACTAAAACTACTGTTTTCATTGTCAGTAATGTATAATGAACACACTTACTAGTTCTTAAATCCTCATTCTTTTCTATAAGAAAAAAAGGCAAAAGACATGGGAGAAAGTCTGTAAGTACATCATACATGTGCAACAACCAATAACAGAGAGAATATAACACGACAAGACCATCAAACCTGACTGTTTTTACCCGTAGACCATTTTCTTCAGTGTGTAATAATACTAAAAATATTATATAGTTTAACGTTCAATAGTGGTTCACTTTTCCTTTTTTCTTGATTTCAATAATATAATTTATTAAAAACTTCAGAAATCATTGGATAATGTGATTCTAGAGCTCTGATTGGCTTAGCCATCATGGTATATGAGCCATTATACCATGCTCTCCAAATATGATAACTGTACGCATCTGTTCAAAATTAAGAACAAGCTGAAAATCGGTTGTTGTTACAAGAATAATTTTCTATATTTTGTGGGCATTTTTAATAAAACAATTATTCTACTCGCGCTTGTTGGATATGAGATGATTATAGCCAACTCAACCCTACACACCTCATTGGCTATCTACCAGCTCATCAGCACCGTAGCTAGTATGACGCCAACCGAGGCACTTGCCTCGGTAAAATTTTGACGAATTTCGCCGATCATTTTTATTTTACATAAGCGATCATCGGATATTTTTAACGCATCATGATATTACAAAGAATTCAGCAATTCAGTCAATATCTATGAAAAAATTACCATATCATCTATCTCAAGGGGCTACGTACATTAACTCAAATTTTTTTTGAACAAATACTGATCAAAACCATTGGCGAGGTTAACGGTCACCCAGATTATGTAGCTTGTTTCTGATTATCGCTTTTTAAATTCCACTTAAATTAACTCGAAAAAAAGTTACCGAAAGACCCAGAAAACGCTGCAAATCGCATTTCCGAGAGACTAAAGTTCAAAATTTCTCGGGGGGGGGGGCATGCCCCCGAACCCCCCTAGCAACTCCCGCCTGCCTCGGTTGGCCGTTTGGTCTGGCTACGGCACTGCTCATATCCAACGTGCACTAAGTATGATACTTAGTACATAAATAAATCTTATTCACTTATTGAAAAAAGGTAATAACCAAGTGCATGGAAAATGAAATTGTTCAAACATTGGTCACAATTTTGAGTGTCTTTTTTTCTTTTCACACTACTCTATCTTCAAGTTATGCACAATGAAATTGAGAAGGCTCACTGCACCTTGATGTCTCAGCCTGACCAATCATACCTATGGCTTCGCTATACAACATATTACAGTGTAAATTCACATATTTTAGAGAAAACCCTCTGGCATCCAGGGTACTTTCACTAACATATAAACTAATAATTTATATCCCAGGGAGGGTACTTCCTTATATGAGGCTAATGGGGATGTGCCGTTGGATGGGGTCAGATTTTCATGACTGGATTGACTATAATGGGGTCGCATTTTCAATAGAGTTACTAGCACGGGATCGCACATTTTCTCATTTTTGGGGTAAGAAAGGTCTTCCTATTAGCAGGTAGCAAACGTACCAGAATGTTTGTACTGTTGGTGAAAAGTACAGTGTTCTTCATTCAACGTAAGGTGGATACATAAATAGAAAGTGACTAAGATGGGATCGCAAAAATTACATATTTGCCCAAAACTGACTAAGATGGGGTCTATAATTGGCCACAGAATAGACAATAATGGGGAAGGGGTTCTGAAAGTCCAGCGGCACATACCCAGCAAAAGTTAACCCAAGTACACCCCCCCCCTCCCCACCACCCGGAATATTATATATTTCTGAAACTAAAAGACAGTGTTAAGGATCAAACACTCAAGAGCAAATGAGGAAAACGTCATGTAAATAACTAAATAAATCCATGAAGATTGTTGTACACACCCAGTATTTGTTGTTTTTCCACTGTTTGGTCTTGAGTGCAAGTTGCATCTAAAGGTTCAACGAAACATTAAAAAATTAAAACAAAACAATCAGATAATGAGGCCTTCCAAGGGCTGGAAGTGACAGGGAACATGGCCCAGAAAACTGGCAACAGAAAGCACTAACAATTGACAGGAAAGGAGGAAAGCATTCTGTCAGCGACAATCTTTTTTTAAGTAGTAAAAGCGACATCTGATCCTTTTTATAATTGTCAAATTCTCTTGGCCTTTCTCAAATATGATCAGCCTTCATAAAATAAGTCCATTTCAAGTTTTCAGGCTACATCTCACTGACCTATATATGGCTGAAGTTCCTCTAGCACATCACACCGTTCCATCTCTGTTAGCAAAGAAGTCATCTCTGAAATTTTCCGGTCATTTTCCCGGAATTTTTTTAATAAGTTCATAACAGGATTATTTGTGCTTCCAAGCCACTGAATGTACTGATTTGAGTATCCCATTCTGTCTGCTAATGACCTATAATCTCTTCCAGTGACTGATAATGGTTGTAAAAGCTCCACCAATTTCTGGTAACCTTCAGAAGGTAAATCCTTTAATAGCTTTTCATCACTGGGAAAGGATTCAACTTTGTAAACACAAAAAACAAACAGCAAAGTTAGATTGTAAGAGCTACAAATGTCAAGAGTAAATACATGTATTTAATATTCAAACATGTTCTAACCTAATTTTGCTTGTGAATTCTCCTCAAGGGAGTCTGTGTTCTGTTCTTCTGCATGAATTTCATCAGGCAAATAATCTTTGTCACTCTCAACCATTTCTTTACACAGTGGATCAGCTTTTTCATCTTCGCCATTCTTTGCATCTTGTCCGGTAGATTGCTTTCTTCTTCTGAAAAGTGATCCCATCTTATGCTTCACTTTCTTGACTTTCCCTCTCTCCATCCTTTCAATTAAGAAAACAAGTGACCAAGAGTGTGTAAAAAAACTGACAAAGAGTGTGTAACAGTACAGTAACCATAGTAACGTACATGTAGCTAATATTTTAGTACTGTACTGTAACAAAATAAATGTTATGCAGGGGAGCGAAAAACTTTTGAAAAGGCTTTATTTGGGGGGAGGGGTGGCAATTCTGAAAATGTACACAATTCATGAGGGGAGTGGTACAATTTTTAAGACAGAGAATTGCCATTCTATGTATAGTAAATCTGTTGTTCAACTGCTTTATGATAATTGAAGCAAATCCAAATTTCATTCAAACAAAAAAATCAGGCTGGTGGTTCTTTCCTGGCAAAAAATTGAGACCTCAAGCTGTGCAGTTTTTCTGTCTTCCTTCTTCTGACTTTTGCAGAACAGACTCCAGTAAAAACAAAATTTCATTTAATTTACTAATTCGTTGACTTTTCTTGAACTTCACACCTTTTTTTTATTTTGTTATGCCAGCTGAGATCAGGCAAATAATCTTTGTCACTCTCAACCATTTCTTTATGCTGTGGATCAGCTTTTTTATCTTCGCCATTCCTTGCATCTTGTCTTGTAGTTTGCTTTCTTCTTTTGAAAAGTGATGCCCTCTCACGCTTCACTTTCTTGACTTTCCCTTTCTCCATCCTTTCAATAAAGAAAACAAGTGACCAAGAGTGTGTAAAAAAACTGACAAAGAGTGCGTAACAGTACAGTAACCAAAGTAACGTACATGTAGCTAATAAGTACTGTACTGTAACAAAATAAATGTTATGGATGGGGGACGTCCAATTTTTTGAAGAGGCTTTATTTGGGGGGAGGGGAGGCAATTCTGAAAATGTACACAATTTATGAGGGGAGTGGTATAATTTTTAAGACAGAGAATTTCCATTCTATGTACAGTAAATCTGTTGTTCAACTGCTTTTTAATAATTGAAGAAAATCCAAATTTCATTCAATAACAAACAAAAAAATCAGGCTGGTGGTTCTCTCCTGGCAAAAAATCGGAGACCTCAAGCTGTGCAGTTTTTCTGCGTCCCTTCTTCTGACTTCTGCAGAACAGACTCCAGTAACAAAAAAATTTCATTTAATTTACTAATTCGTTGACTTTTCTCGAACCTCACACCTTTTGTTATGCCAGCTGAGAGACATCTCCACATCACCTGAATCTTTGTTACATTTGGTAGCAGTCATATTGAATGCTTAGTGACCAAACTTGCCTGAAGACCCTATTAACTACTCCTACCTAACCAAGAGTTTATGAAGTCAATGTCCAAGCAAGGAAGGAGAAAAAAAAAACAGATTTTCCCAAACTTAGTCTAGGAGAGGTAAAGTTAAGATATTTTATTATGTAAGGATACATAAAAGGAAACATCAGAGGTTATCCCTATCAAGGATGCTCCCACCGTAAAATATAAAATAAATATAGTACAATGTACAATTTAAGACTAATTAAGAAATGGCTAAAAAATTTACAAAATTTTACAATTCTTTCTATGTTTACTTCAAAATGTGCTGAAATTCTGTTCGTGCACTATCTCTTCAGGAAGAGCGTTTCCTGACTGTTCAATAATTCTAATAAAGAATAAGTGCAAAAACAATTTAATCAAGCTAATGGCTGTCTTAATTTAAATGAATGGTTTGATCTTGATTTTTTTTGGTCCAGTCTTCAATCAAGGAGGTTTTATTTATTCATCTTTGCTACAGTGCTACAAGACTACTCATGGTCTTAATGGCCTCAACTGTAATGATTATTTTGAATTTAATTATTAAATTCAAAATAATCATTACAGTTGAGGCCATTAAAACCATGAGTAGTCTTGTAGCACTCTAGTAAAGATAGATAAGACCTCCTTGATTGAAGAAGGGACGACCCAAGCATCGCCAGTCTTTCTTCATATGGAGAGTCCCTAGATAACATCGATGACATTGATGATATATATCGATGATATATATTTGAAGGGGTTGTCGTTTCACCGTGAAGTAGTTTTCACTTTGTTTTTTGATATGAAGTTCAGTTTCTTCTTAGTTGTTGGCTAAGGTAGTGTTGAAGAGGCCCTGCCAGGGTAAATTCCGACAAGCGACATGACCCAAAAAGTAGCAACAAAGCCTAAAACGAAATGGTGACAAGCGACAACCTCCCTCGGCCAAATTGCGACAGTGACGGCAAAGCCGAGAATATGCGACAAAGAACGGTGGTTTGGCTAATTTATCATCAGTCTGAGTGCCAAGAAGAAGTAATTTTCGTCAATTTTCCTTGCGCTTCAGAGGTTGTCTCTCGTCAGGGAGTTTTAGTAGACCCTCCTGAGCGCGTCGCGTTGACCCGTCGCGTAGTCTTCATTTACGCAACCCCGCACAACTCCTGGGAGACCTTGGGACTAGGTTGTCCGTCAAATAGCTTAATTTACGCACGCTTTACATCTCTTGTAATCACTACTTTCATATAGACCATGACGCACCTTGTTTTCCCCCTCAGAATTTTGCATAACCAATGTTTCCAAATTCTCCAGGGTATTACAGTCGTCCCAAGAGAAATCGAAAACAATGGCTATGCAAAGCGGGGGGTAAACAAGGTGAATTATGGTCTATGTGAAAATGGTGAATACTTTGCTTCTTTCTGAACTTCTCATATCCTTGTCGACCTCTGTCGGACGGTGACGACGGTGGAGAGACCAGGGACCAGGTAACTTAAGCACCGCACAGCGTAGACCACCGTTAACCGGCCTTCACCTACGATTTATCAGGTCAGTTAGTCTTAAAATGTTGAACGTGGATCACTTAGGGTGTGCTGACAGTGTTCCTTTCAGCGAATCCAAAAACGGATTTCTGATCCGAGATTTGCCGGATTTCGCGGTCGAAAGGAACGTGAAATCCGAAATTGGATTTGTGACCTTGGTAACCTTTCGCAAACGCGTGCAATATGCATGACAGCCTGAGCCTCTCAAGAAATGACATGTTTTCTACTGTTTGACAAATTATGCGATTATACCGGGCAGAATTTTGTGGTCAGCAGTTCGAATAACGACGATGGAACATAAACAGATCAAGAAAGTAGCGTGTTAAAGTTGAAAATTATCTAAAGGTTGTCGGCTCAGTTTGATCCAGTTTCATAGCTCGGTTTTCTATGTAACACGATCGACTGCCTATCGCGTCCAAGAGCGAGTTTGTAGAAAGATAGCAGTTATTTGCCCCTTTTACTTATTTGTGTTTTTAAGCAATCTTTAGCGACAAATGGTCAGCACACGGACATTCTACTGTACCACCATGAACAATCTTCTAGTGTTTTCAGATGTTTTACGGCAAATGGCAGCAATTAGGAAACTCTACGGGAATACTTCAACTGGAAGTACAGCTGGATCATCTGACTAATTTCGAATCCATTGCGAATGTGAATGGAACAGCGTAGATGACTAATCCGTTAATCTGGATTCGGATTCTTCGGATTTCAAATCCAATGTGAATCCTTTTTCAAAAAGGATTCACCAGATCAAAAATCCGAATTTGGATTTGCCGAAAGGAACGTGAAATCCGTTTTAAGATCCAAATCCGTTTCTGGATTCACCGAAAGGAACACACCCTTAATTGTGAATGGAGATGTATAGGTGTTCTATACGCGAAAGGTTAACTGAGAAATTGTTCAACTGTAATGGTTTCTTTAAAACCCATCGCTATCCCCCTTTTCTAAAATTCCGACAAAGACAAAGAATTTTCGTTCAATTTCCGACAGCGACGTGAAGCATTAATAAACACCGACACGAGACGTTTTAAAATTCAGACAAGCGACATGGGAGCCCCCCCTGGCAGGGCCTCGTTGAAGTATCTGACATGTTAACATACTTTACTTTTCATTTCTCTTCAGAAAAGATTGATTGATCCTGTATCAAGCAAAGTGCAGACTTACAAACAAATATTTTGATGAACAAATGTGTACCCAAGGAAAGCATATGTACCACTATCATTAAAACAAATTCTAGTTGGTAAGTTCGTAACAATGCCACCATGCATTCTTTAATTACACATGTATCTGCATGACTGAAATAAAGTTCTTAGAATCTTGTGGTCAGTCTCTACTAGATCAAAATGGCTTAGATTCATTTACTTTTTTTTTGCGGTGTTGCCGTGTTGACAGTCCCTCAATGTCCCCCTCTTCCAACGTAAGTTATGGTTTACATGTACATGGCATACAAAAAACCCACGAAATTGAGAATCGAAGGAACAGATCGAATCGTCGTCAAGCGCAAAAACGTAAACGGATTACCGTGAATTCCTTAATCATGGCTATTGTGCTAATTATTACACTCTAGCTGGATATTTGTGATCGCCTATCTGAACGTAAACACAAAATAAGTCTAGAAGGTCATTTACTATTAATATACGCTTACCTTAAAGCTAACTAAGAGCAAAAAAGACAGAATTCCCTGTAGAATCATTCAGGAAGTACTCGAGCTATGGCATGCCGCGGGTAGTACTTGGTGTAAGACTGCCCAAAATGTCCCGAGCCACCGCGCCCACCTTGGTCTGGAATCGGGAATCGGGTATGGTTTTTGAGGGAACTACGGGATTGTATGAACGTCTTTATCATTTCAATTCCAAATGAGTAAGAGAGAAAGAAAAATATGCGAATTCGAAATGGAATTGAAGAATTTTTTTGTTTGCGCTCTAATCTAAGTAATGATAACACAATTTCTGCCTGCCTAATGGCCAGATCTGAAAACGGGTATAGATTTTAGAGATCTGGTGTGAAAAAGGGGGTAGAAAATTACATTTTTTGGTCTGAAATCGGGTCAGGATTTGGAGAACCGGGCGGCACACCGGGGCGGTACACCCCCACCAAGAATTCTCAGGAGTAGTACTAGTTGGATTTTACTAAAGAGCGTTAGCCTGTTCCAGGCGTTCAGATCTTGGGGACGGTGCCAAGAGATATGAAGTTCGGCCCGAAGTAAGATGGCGGGAAAAAAAAAGATCAAGAGAGGAGGGAATACACCCATCACTTTTTGAAGTACGTGCCGATGGAAAAAAACCTGAGAGTAATCTTTTAAACTTTTCGATCTTGTGGCACAATGCGTTTTCTTGTCCACCATAGTTAGGAAGCTACCTATTTCTGACAAGAGATCTCGGGCGCTTTCCATTCACAGGGGCACCCAACGACAATTTTCGGAAGAATATCTGTTCGGAAGACGATTTTAGATCTAGAATTTTCGGAACATTTGTTGTAAAATTTCTTGCTTGCCTGCCTCTCCTATGATTTTCGAACATCAAAAAAATGGTATAATTGCCTATTTTTAACGGATTTTTACCCTAAAAAGGTCACCTAGAATTTTCGGGAGCCTTTTTTCTGGCTGAAATTTTCGAAAAGGTAAGTTTTGATCCCTATAATTTTCGGATCACTAGGCTTTCAGCTAGGAAATCCGAACAGATGAAAAATTTTTAGGGGATGAAAATATGCCTATATCTACCGTTTAAATACTAAAATATGTTTAACAGTGCTATGTCTAAGTGGTTTTGAACTATATTCTCGTTGGGTGCCCCTGCATTCAGTCAAAATTTCCGGAATTTCCGGTTCGGTGGTAAATGGAACACGTTTCGGCGGTTCGTCCCACTGGAAAATTCCCAGAAAAAGTGGAAAATCTAAAAAGGTGGGCCCGTTTTCCCGGTTGAAATTTCCGAACGGAATATCGTGTTCCATTTACGTTTCTCGTAGTTTGTACCAGTTCCAGGGGTGCTTACCATTTGACAGAAAAATCCGGTTGGGGTGCCACGTCCGTTACGGTTTGAATCCAAAAAAGGGGGGAATTTGTATAGCGTGAGTCTGGAACCGAGAAATTGGTTAATGGTAAGCAACATTCCGTTTGGTTCGTACCAACCGGAATGAAAGGACTACCTCAAAACGTACTCCTCAATTTTCGGTTGGAATTTCCGAAAAGTGACCTTACCATTTACGTTACATCCGGAACTTTCGAAATTTTCTGTCAAATGGTAAGCACCCCAGGTCCACCGTCGGGCACCGCGACGTACCGGGGTTTACGACCAAACGGAACAACTTTTTACCAATCGGAAATTCCACTTTTGCTCCCACCGAAATTTCTGGGTTTTTTTCCTAAATGGAAAGCGCCCCTCGACTTAGTGGTTACATGGATAATATTTGTTTGATGTTTGTTAGCAGTTCCCAGGCCCCCGCCACGTGGTAGGACCTGATCAGAAACGAAGTGAAATGTATGGCGGCCTAAATTTTATAATTTTGTGAGTGCTACTGAAGAAAGTGTTTAATTCCATTTGAACACAGCTCTAATAAACCTGTTGTGGAGTTTCTTAGCGTTCACAGACTTAAAATCTGGGAGCCGTCGTTCTTTGACATTCGTTGTGTTGATGTTTGGGTTTGAAGAAGAAAATCGTTCTCAATCCTCGCCTTCAGTATGTGCAAATCTCAAATGTTACCAATTAAATGCGGTGTTCCTCAAGGGTCTCTACTAGGGCCACTGGTATATGTATACGACATACCTTATTATAGGAAATTAACGCTCCATGAAATTAAGGTATTGGAAATTAACGCGACTTAAATTAACGCGAATTTAATGGAAAACGACTTTCGAATAAAGAAAATTAACGCGAAAGAGGAGGCAGAATTTCATAAAAAGGAAATTAACGCGATTATCTTGGCCGAAATCAAAGGAGAAGATATTGACATCACTTCTGACAGCGACAACGATGAAGATGGACTCGAAGTATTGTAAACATTCGCCTTAGCTTTTGTGAAAGATGAAAAATAAAGGGTAAATGGAAAGAAAGAAAGCTTGTAGTTAATGTTTTTCAGGTGTCAAGAATGTCTGGACAGGTTCCAAAATTGGGGTTAAAATACTGGAAATTAAGAGCGCGGAAATTAACGCTCAACAAAATTAACGCGACTTAAATTAACGCGAATTTTAACGATTCGCGTTAATAAGGTATTCTCGTGGTCTAAACATCTCTCTTCCATCCTCTTTGCAGACGACACTAACATTTTCTTCCAGCATAAGAGTATCTGTGATTTAGCAGAAAGTGTAAATCGTGAACTATCTTTGGCGGTTTCCTGGGTCAAAGCTAATAAGCTAACCTTGCATCCTGATAAAACAAAATTTATATAATTTCATCCTCCCAGAAAGAAAATCAACCTCGATAATATTTCTGTAAGTATTGACGAGAACAAAACTAAAAGAGTAGAATGCACTCAGTTCTTAGGTGTTATCATCCCCGAAAACCTTTCATGGCAGGTTCATGTAAAAGCTATTTCATCCAAAGTAGCCAAGTCCATTGGAATTATTATTAAATCACGACAGTTCTTTCTTACTAATACTCTTCTCACATTATACAGCTCCTTAGTGCTCCTATATCTGCAATGCTGTTGTATTGTATGGGCGTCTACGTATTCATCTCATCTTCAACCTCTTTTCCGTCTCCAAAAGAAAGCTTTAAGAATCATTACGCATTTGCCACCACGTGCACACACTCTTCCCTTGTTTACCACACATAGAATCCTTAGTAACGTTTCTCATCTTGAAGAATTAATGTGTACTGTAATGTGTTATGATTGTCGTTTTTCTCTTTATTGTAACTGTATTAGAAGGTAATTTGTTTATATCATCTTATTTCTATGTTAAACCATACATTTGTCTAGTTCTATTTTTTCTCTTGTTGTAGTCGTATATTACTGATTAGGCATTGTTTTTATGTGTGTATTTGTATTGTTGTCAAGGTGTAAGTTAGATAACTCATTGGGTTATTACGTCACCTTCGTTAAATAAAGAACATTGTATTGTATTGTATTGTAATATACTTAACAAATACCAAGTCTCTTCCTTCATATTCCACTAAAAAAATATTCGTGAAAGGGAAAACCTTCTGAAAAAATCCGTGCGTGCCAAGTAGCTTTAAAAAATATTCCTGCACTGGCCCAAGGGAAATGTTAAACGAAAAACAATTCACGCAGCTCAAAAATTCCCCACCCCCTCAAAAATTTTTCTAATGGCCCGTCCGAGATAAAAAAAAAAGTTCACCAAGGATAAAATAAAAGAACAACATTAGCTGTTTCTGGTATATTGTGTACATTACATTAATTTACTTGTCATTTTTTGAGATACAAAAGATTATCTCATATTAATATGAATATAACATGCTGTAAGGTATTACGATGTTTAATTGGAGACGGTGTGACTTGTCATAAAAGAATGTCTGATTTACAGGTTAACAGCTTAAGCACACTTGAAATATCTTAATTGTCAACTTCTACTAAAAAATTCTACAGTACAACAATACTATTAATAGCACCTAACAACTCCATAGTCATGATTTAAGTTGTAAATTTCCTTTTTCATTATCGACAAGTAGTAAAATTTTATCTTACTTTAGGCTGAGGGGAACAGGAGAAGCCATTTCCAAGATCCAAGAACTCTCAATTTCAAGACAAGGGAAGGTCAGGTAGGTAAAGGAGCACCCAAGACAAAGGCCCAAACAGCAGTAGCTCATCCCGGTTTCACTAGCATGAAGCACCTAGGAGTATTGCTACTCCCCCCTGGACGGTATGCTAGTCCATCGCAGGTTTACCCCCCCCCCCCCAGCAGTATGTCGCCGCTACCCATTTATACACCTGGGTGAAGAGAGACAAAGTGGAGTAAAGTTCCTTGTCTAAGGAAAAAACGCGAAAGGCGAGGCTTAAACCTTGCACCTCATGATCCGGAGATCGAGGTGGTTAAAACCACTTGGCCACACACGCCTTCACAAGACAAGGCTTAGAGCAATGAGTTTTACTTGCACGAGAATAAAACATTTTCTCTTAATAGCTTCGCTTTGAAAAAGAGGCTTGGGCAGCTCGGAAATAGACTACCTGTATTGGAGTAACAACCACACAACGCGGCATCAATGACTCAAATGCATATCACAGACTGTAGCTGACGACATAGCAATGAAGAGGACCAGGAGAAGCACATACACTCTTAAGTCTGTACACTATACAAGGTATAAAAAGGTTAAATGATCCAAAATGGTTAGCCATGCACAATAAGGCGGTGTCCTTGGATCTACAGTCACGTGACAAGTTTGTTTGAAATTCTTTGGCAAATACAATGTAAAATTTGTGAAACAGTGCTCTGAGACAAATTACAGAAAAAATTATTGCTCTTACGTGATACCTGATCCAAAAACACCTCCACTGATTGTACATTGGCTATACAGCTATGAGATGTGGGCTCAGTCAACTTAATGACTATTGAAAGAACTTGAGGGGGATAATGAAAATCTTACCAATTAAAATAATACACTTTGATTAAAGTTTTCTCACCCATTCACACTTGACTCACAAACAAAAAAAAGCCTATGAAACATGATCACTCTACCACCTGTGACATTCACAGATAACATTGACGCACAACACGAAAGCGAACAATAGTCCAGTTCCGAATTCTTCGTGGCTGCTGAATAGAAGCACTGAAGACTCATTCATCCAGGGTCAAGCTCGATGCAAAGTAAAATATTCACAAATACCGGCGAGAAGATGCCTGAATTTGAGTTCAAAACAATAGATACAGGTCTTCTTCTCAATGGAATTTGTGAATATATTTACCTTAGGTTGAGGCTAACCCTGTATAAATGAGCCTTCAATGCTTCTATTCAGCGGCCGTGATGAATTTGAAACTGGGCTCATTAGACGAGCCAGAAATACATGCCAGGTATGTAAAATTGGCGCATAAATTAGGCTAAAAATGTTATGTTAAAAAATTATGTGTTTCAAGGTCTCAAAAAACCTTTTGACTACAGGTATGAAGGCTACCAAAAGCCCGGTAGAGGAACAAAACTAGAGAAGAGAATCCAAGAGAACAAGGAGAAAAGAAAGCTATTTTTGAAATTTTGGACTGTTCAGAGCCTTTCCATTTCCTCATTAAAAGACTGACGGAACCTGATAAACAGAGCGCAAGTGCAAAGCATGATGCAAAGGGTGTAGGAGGAGGGCAAATGAAAAAATAGAGAAGCTGTTTCTGTGTTTGGGAAAATGTAGACCTCTTATAGGCTCCTTTTAGCAATAATTATTATTTCTGGTGAAAAATTAAGCAGTGAATGGGTTAAAATAGGAATCTACCAATCAATAAAATTTAGAATTTATAGAGCAAACAACCAAATAACTACCCTGTGAGTAGTGGTTTCTCCAGGCCGGATCCTTTCACAGGGTGCCAAACAACAAAAGAGAAAATTGACTAATTAGCAAGAATCCTTGATTGAACTAGATGTCTTGGGAATTTACAAAATGACATGTTCACCCTCATGGTTGCAATAGCCTCTTCTTAGATACAGAAGATTGTGCATGCAGTTGTAGCTTCATTTTCCATCAGACATATTGCCTGTTACTTGCACTGTTTTACTTCTTCCTAGTTCTTCCTTCATTTTTCATCATAGAATCCGAAGTGTGTTATGCTTTACCATTGCATTCTAGGTTACCCTTGTAACCAAGAGAAGCTAAAAGTTTGTTCCAGAAGTATTTCCTAGCATGTTCTGTTGTGTAGTCCAGATATGTGATGAATCGCAGTGTTGAAGGAATTTGACAGGGTCTGTACAAAATTGGTATTAGGATCATTTTTTTGGCCCCTGGGAAAATAATATGAAAGGATGTTAAGTAAGAAATACAGTGAATTGCTACCTGGTGAAAATACGATTTACCGCATGACTATTTGAACCGGGGCACTTGGAGGTTCAGCAAGTACAAAATCACAATGTTTTTTGAAAACAAATCATTCTTAAGTTTTTTTCCAAATGGACCAATAAAATTCAAGGTTCAACTATGCAACCGTTGAAAACTTCAAAATGGACCTCTCAAGAAACAGCCCTCAAATTCATCAACGTTATTGATCTGTTTGCAAAAAAAACTTGAGAATCGTTTGTTTCCAAAATTCGTTGTGATTGGATAATCTTCAAATAAGTGACACGTTTCAAGAAGTTGCACTTTAACACTTTTTTCATAATATTCTTAAAAATAAGATACACTATACTACTTTATTATGGTAAAGATTTTGTGATCTTGTTTCCATCATTCTTTTTTGCAACTCAGAGTCAATTTAACCTGCTTACAACTTAATAGTAAAATAACAAGATTTCATTACCCCTCCCCCTGTGAAACCTTGGATGAAAGATGTGCCTTTTTTAGTGGGCCTTTTTCATAAATGACATTTTGCATAATAAATGTTTTTAGTTCCTTGTGGGACTTGCAATCATCCCAAGAGAAATTGAAAACAATGCTTATGCAAAATTTTCAAAACTTTCGTAGCCTAAAGGCCCATGCCATGTACCTTATTTCTGCGAGAAAACAACTTATTCCATGGCTATTACCAACAAAATGTAGCCTAACCTGTGGACTATATTTCCTGGATGTAACTGCAATCCTTAATTTTTGAAGAGGAATGGATTGGAATAGGGGAGTAAAAATAAAAAGGCAGGCAGGTATTAGGCCAAACGACAACAATGATGGGGAAGGAGGAAGAAAATATCCCATTTTCTTGTCTGTCCCTTACTCTCTATGTCTACAGTCGAACTATAAAGTTATACTTTTTCCATCTGCTTAAAAGTACTACAGTCAACAGGCTTTTTAGAGGGTGAAAAATCCTGGAAATTCGGTGGTAGACATTGAAACACGTACACTGTGGAAAAATCCAATATTGGAGGTGCCATTTTATTAGACTTTCAAAAAGTCCTTCGTCAGATTTCATATGGCGCGAACGAAGGACTTTTCATACCTGATTAGCCCCAATTTTACCGACCCAAAAACAGGTCGGTGCACTTGGACCAATCAGAGTAGCTCCCAAGGACCCTTGGGGATAAAGCTGTCACTAACAAGTACTAAGCACATTGAAACATGACTTGCGGTCGATTGCGAAGTGGAAGGTGTTGAATGGCCAAACACGACTCATCAGCTTGTGATAGTGTGATACGTGTCCTTATAGTTTTGCTCTAACGAGGATATCTCCCAGCGATTTTGCTCTTTTATATGAAATGATGGGAGGCTCCTTGTATATTTCTCTCAGTAGTGGTTGATCTTGAAGTAAGTGCCATTAGCTCATTAAAATGTTTTTAAGGTTCTGCAAAGCAGGGTGGTATGTGGTAACGAAAGGCAAAATTTTCTTTCACACTTCATTGTTCTTTTGTAAAGCTGACTTCCGTTTGATAAATTTAACCTCAGAGGTGATTTTTTCTATGAGATTGTGAGGGTAACCTCTAGCGCTAAGGCGTTTTTTGAAGTTGTAGATGTTTTCGTAGACGGATTTAGCTGAGGAGTTAGTTCTCAACAGTCTAATGGCTTCGCCCTTTATGAGACCTTTTCTGACCTCATGAGGGTTACAGGAAGAGAAATGCGTGTATTGAAAAGTCTCTGTAGGTTTAAAACGTGTGCGGATGTCAAGGATTCCTTGGTTGTGAAATCTCCTTTCCCAGTATTGACTCGAGATTGAAACAAATTTCTGTTTTTTTCCGGCCCCCTGAGCTCGTCAACTTTCGCCTAAAATCATTGTTAGAGACAACTTTCACACAAAGTAAACAAATTTGCTCCTTCGATGATGGAGATACACACACACGTTCAATAGATTTAGTCGGAGTGGAATCAGCACATTCCGCCATTCAAGTCAAGGACTGGCAAATGAAACCTGAAACCCCAAATGTGAGTCACGCCACTCCCCATTTTTGGCGCGAAATGCAAATGAAAACCTATCTAGCGAGACAAGTCGACCTCTCGCGACTTCGACCTTTTCAGAGACACTCCTTCCCCCGACCCCACCACTGCAAAAAAATACAGCAAAAGCAGGAAATCAGCAATGGTTTCAAAAACAAACCTGGAGAAAGGCTTAAGGCAATTTTGGCCTGGAAGTCTGCAACTTCACATTTGTGAAAGTTTTCTGATAGGATGAGTAGAACTTTATTGCATCGTTCCTCAATAGCTTTGGCTGCAGTTTCCAAGAGATCGGCACCAGGCAAGAAATCCCGATAATCAATGCACACTTTCATGTAGTAGGGCGCTTTTTCCAGATAGTGAAGAATCTCATCAGCAAATGACTTGTCAGGACCAGCATAACAGATGAACACATCATAATGTGGACAAACTAGCAATGACAGAATTAACAGTACGAAATATAGTAAATAAAAACATAAAAAACAAACATAATTCAAATGAGGAAAATTCCAGCCCTAAAAACTTTAATGTAGCGATTTGATTTGAAAAAAATAATGTTTCTAACAGTTTCTAGAAAACTAACACCTAAGACATTTAGTTAGACCAATTAAAGACTTAAAAGACTCCCTGGGAAATTAAAAACTTCCTTGAATAGCTGTTACATCAAACTGTGTTTTAACCAGGGTGAGAGATGAAAATCGCTTTTCATTTAGTCAAGCTGCTGAAGTTTACTAGTCAGAAGCTCTGAGGAGCCAGCCCAAATTATTAAATGGGTTAATTTTTTTTGCCATCTAGTTATTGAAAGAGAGGAGATCATATTGAAAAGCAACACTGAACAAAGAGGCATTCCTTCATATCTTTGGTAACTTTGCATCTCAGGTGAAGTAAATCAAGATAGCCATGCAACACCACACCATTGATCAGTGGCTTGAATTTCAATTTGCGTGGACTTGCATGGATAATTGTGGGACCTTTACTCCTTGCAGAGGTTAGGTGTTGTTGGCAGTTAAATTCTATCCAATCTAATTTTATATCATTGTCACCAGTCAAATTATAAAGTTTATTATCAATGTTTACAAAGTGAGGGGCAATTCATCAATAATACTAGTACCCTAATTATTTTAATGAAGCCCTTTATCTATTTTATAACACAACAAAATTGAAGAACAATAAATCTGATGAAACAACATTCATCTAACTGAAACCTGTCTAATGATGGATTGCGCAGCCAATAAAAAAGAACAAAACTATAATCTTAACTGAGAACTGATATATGCCTCTCATTAAACATTCTTAACATTTACTAAATAGTTTTCCACGGGGCCCGACTAACTTTTTGGGGCTTAGTTTTTTTGTCTTAGGTCTCAGTTTTGTAGATAACCATTCCCAGAAGAAGTTTTCAAATGTCTTTTTCTGGAAATGACATTGAAAAATAACTCTTAATTAGTATGATTTGTTTGTATGATTTATTACATTTTGTGTCATCAGTACTAAGATAATGAAAGATAAACTATTAAAAAGAAAAAGAGGTAAATGACTATCTTACCTGTTTTAATCTCTCTGTTCCTTTCTGCAACAAGAACAAAAAACATTATTAACTTTGATGAAAAAGACCTCTTCTTCTTTTCAGTACATGGTGTCAGAAAAGTCAGATTAAATTACGCTGTGGCTATATGGCCGGTAACCGGTCAAGTTTTTCAAAATACTAAATGGCCAGCAGTTCTATATTCTCAGTAAATTTCACAAAATCGAAAGATTCCAGCTAATCTAAACTATCATATGTCGATTTAGAAAAGTCAAGTGATCCTGAAATGCTTTACAGATCTCAAGTCTAGTGTTTGGTTTGCGCTGGGCTCAGAGAAGGAAATCATGTTTTGTGACACTTAGTAAATTTTTTCAGCTCGACTGTCGGTCAAGGTTTTCAAAACACTAAATGGCCGGCAGTTCTATATTCTTAGTAAATTTCACAAAATTGAAAGATTCCAGTTAATGTAAACTATCATACGTCAATTTAGAAAAGTCAAGCGATCCTGAAATGCTTTACAGATCTCAGGTCTAATGATTGGTTTACGCTGAACCATGTTTTGTGACAGTTTTCAGCTCGACTGCCGGTCAAGGTTTTCAGAATACTCAATGACCGGCAGTCCGTTATTCTCAGTAAATTTCACAAAATCGAAAGGTTCCAGCTAATCTAAACTATCATATGTCGATTTAGAAGAAAAGTCAAGCGATCCTGAAATGCTAGTGTTTGGTTTGCGCTGGGCTCAGGAGGAAATCATGTTTTATGACACTTAAAAATTTTTTCAGCTCGACTGCCGGTCAAGGTTTTCAAAACACTAATTGGCCGGCAGTTCTATATTCCCAGTAAATTTCACAAAATCGAAAAAAACCAGCCATAAGTATAAAAGTGTCCTGACATCTCTTTTCCACGACTCACAGAGGTTACTATCGTCACACCCCGTCAGGCCAGCTGTTTATCTGTTTTTATCGTGCCTGTCACGCCACACTTTGGACAGAAAACAGTAACGAACATCCAAAGACTCGCGACCAACAAGAATATGATATAGAAATCCCATAAAATCGGCTGGTTTGATCAGGATCACGACATGTTATAGTTTAGATTAGCTGGAATTTTTCGATTTTGTGAAATTTACTGAGAATATAGGACTGCCAGCCATTTAGTGTTTTGAAAACCTTGACCGACAGTCGAGCTGAAAACTGTCACAAAACATGGTTCAGCGTAAACCAAACATTAGACTTGAGATCTGTAAAGCATTTCAGGATCACTTAACTTCTCTAAATCAACATATGATAGTTTAGATTAGCTGGAATCTTTCGATTTTTTGAAATTTACTGCGAATATAGAACTGCCGGCCATTTAGTGTTTTGAAAACCTTGACCGGCAGTCAAGCTGAAAAAATTTTCTGTCACAAAACATGATTTCCTCCTCTGAGCCCAGCGCAAACCAAACACTAGACTTGAGATCTGTAAAGCACTTCAGGATCACTTGACTTTTCTAAATCGACATATGATAGTTTAGATTAGCTGGAATCTTTCGATTTTGTGAAATTTACTGAGAATATAGAACTGCTGGCCATTTAGTATTTTGAAAACCTTGACCAGTTACCGGCCATATAGCCACAGCAATTAAATTAAGGGGACAAAAAAAAATACTGTCAACCCCTGTTACATTGCCAACACCCTGGCACTAAAAGTTAGTTCTTAGTGGCTAAATTCTCTAATAGTAGGATGTGAGAAGAATTTTCTTGCAAAAGATTTGCATTAGAGCGGTAGCGATGTATTTATTAACAATATTGATGGCCTGACAGCTCTTCATCAATCATAATGAATTTGTTTGGTGATTGTATGTGGGAATTAGTTAACACCAACAAAAAATCTCACAATCTCTAAATAAATTTGAAAAGGTTTCAATCTCATTCACTCAAACTACCTGTGGTTTTACACTACCAAAAAGGCATTGAAAATCTAGCCATATCAAATGTGTGATTTTTCAAAGTTCAATTAAGGGAAACTTCAACCAATGCGTCAACACCCGAAGGTAACGCAACTCGTAGTCCTCAATATGGAAGCAAGTTCTACTTCCATTTGCTCCAAGACCCCAAGGCTTCAACCCATTGCAAGAAGACTTGAAACACTGTGCCTTATTTGGGCTTAAATGGCCTGTCCACCATCTTGTGTTTGTGATCCCTCCTCATCCCTTTGTCAAAGTTGCTTGCAATTCAAGCCCATGCTCAAAACATGAAGAAACAACTTTGAATGGAGGGGAGGGAGTTGGTGAATGTTATACCTCAGAGATCTGTGACTAGCAGCGATTTGCAGCAAGAAAGGCCGGTTTTTTGTCAGAGTGTCTCAACATTTTTGCAACTGGTTGTTGTTTTCTGGAAAATTCATATAAACAGATATTAACTATATTTGTGCCAGTGTAAATATATGACTTACCAACTTGAGTTTGACGCTGCTCAAATTCCCGTCTTTCTCTTTCCTGCCTCTCAACTGGAGTAGGAGTCTTTTCTGTAGTTGTATCACAATGCAGAAATATTAATGAGAAACATATTAAGTATCAGTGGCTAAAAAAATTCTTAGACAAACTATTTAGTCATGAAATATAAAACTTTCATTTGACGGTTTCCCCAGCTATTCAAAGTTTGAACTCTGGTTACTTTTTGGTGATAGAAACAATGTCAGAGAATATAATGGCATGTTTGTCTCTAAGTTGATATAATTTGAAGACCAGTTTACTGACAGGTGTGTATCATGGTATATCTATCATCTGGGGGCAGTGACATAACATACAACATGAAAAGCACTTCACATGGATGTACCAAACTTGTGGAGTACATTAAAACAATTCACTTCTAAATCACCCTTTTAAAAAATAACTTAACTATGAATGATTCCTAATGCAATAAATAATTTTGCAATCACCTCTACCTCTGAAATCAATAAAAACCTATATCTACTTTCAAATTTTATCTGTCAAATTATATTAGATAGTTACAGACACAATTAACGACAGTTACAGTCTTGGATATGTTGAATTCAGGCTAAAATTTTTAACCTATAATTGGCAACAAAATTGCTGAGACACTGTACTCAAATAGAGTAACTTCATAGAACAAAACAATCCACACCCCTACCCCTCCCCTCCATTCAAAGTTGGGGTGTTTGTTGTTCTCTGCAGGTGGCTTGAACAGCAGTACAACATTGCATGGAGGGGATAGGGGAAGGAAAGCTTTATTATTTGCTCCTTTTAAAATCAGTAAAACGTCAGAAAGGCCTTTTAGGGCAAAGTGTCTGAACTAATTTTGTCGCCAATAGTAGGTTGATTCTCTGTGTCCTTTGCCTTTTAGTCTCCCGTCTCCTGTCTCCTAATTCATGAATAATAAATTATTAGGGCTAGGAGACAAAAGGAAATTGAGAATCAACCTAGGCTAAAATTTAGCCTAGGTTGATTCTCAATTTAGTTGTAAGTAAGACACAGCCTAATGCATCAGTAGTTGTAGCGTTTGATTTCAGACGATTGTGAACGCACACAGGTAGATAATGCTGTGAAAATTAGAAAAACCTCATGAACACCAAAATATATGTGGAAATTATATTATTGTGTTGCAAGGAAAAAGGCAATCAGGCAATAAACTAAGAAAAGAGAACTGCAAGCAGCAGAGGAAGGAATTAGTGTCTGGTTTTGTGATTTGCTTGTGTGTACTGATCTTCATTGTGATAGGACACTACACAAACAACAATTTCCTGTTCTAAATATTTCAGGTGTTCAAGTTTTTCTGAACTTGCAGTCAGTGATAAGCTACCCCTGAGCAGCTAGAAATGGCAGATATCAGACCACTTTACACAGGTTTTAAGAGAGAGATTGAAGTTTGAGATTGAGATTGAAGTTTTTCAAACAGTCTTCCAACATAGAACAGTCTACAGTAATGGTGTTGGTCCATGCCATTCTTCGGTTATTTTCTTCAACATTTTCATGTCTAATGTTTAAGATGCCTTTCTTAGAAGAACACTTAGAAGGTGTTGGAATGAGGGTGGGTAGAAAAGAAAGACCTAAGACCCAAAAACAAAGAGGCCCCCCGCCAAAAAAAAAATTACTTATAAATAGCAAGAAACGGTTATCTCAAGCTGAGGTGTGTAAGAAACAACAAGATCTTCATTAAACTTGACCAGGGTCTTTGTCTTCATTTTCTACACCCCCCCCCCTCTACCCCGATATAGAAAACAAAGACCCCCCTAAAAAACACTTGAAAATGGCTTCAAACAGCTTCTAGACACTAGAGCTGTGTGTCAAGAGACAACAAGATCTTCGTTATCCATAAATTTGACCAGCGTCTGCATTTTTTAATCCTAACTCTAACTTCACTTTCTTCAAACAAACAATATTTCCATCCACCTGTTTTCACTTAGTATTCTTGCGGTGTTTGGAACTCTTCCTAGCCAAAGAAAAATAATATTTTCCTTGTTTAACCAGTCTCTTTTTTCCGTGGTTTCTCAGCCATTTTTACCCTTTTGGCATCCGAACATGAGCCTACAATAATTTTGGGTGTGCACTGGATTACCCTGACTTTGTGAAAGGTTTGCGTTCACTCGTGGCACGCTCTCATTGCGCTCGACTTGTGTTTCAGTTTATTCAATGAGAAAGTCATTAAAAACTCCACTATTTTCCATCGACTGTGATCTCAAAATGTAGCAAATAGCATCTTAGAGGCTCGCGCCTTCAGTGCTCGTAGGCGTGGCCATGTCACTCCAAAAACGTCCCCTTTCGTGGCTACTGCCTCCATTTAGGGAAGGAGGTAGCCACCACGTCATGGTGTTGTGAGTAAGTCTGTAAGTCCATGGGCAGCTTTGAAAAGGGGTTAAAAAATGCTTTTGGTGATTCAATTCGATGGCAGAAGTATTTTGCAGAGAAAATGGAAGCGATTTGGGGCAACAGCTTTAAAATAAGAGGAAACATTGACGTATAAAAACATTTGCGATGCGTCTGCAATGTGCTTCTGCCCCACAGTTCTTAGATTGTGTACCTGATGACCATGCAGTACGGGGTTCAAGCCCTAGCAGTGAAATTTTTTTCTTTTAATTCATAATTTAATTTTCTACAGCACAGTTAGAGGTCTTACAAAATTTAAGACATACAGGAGTCTTTCAGATTTAATAGTACGGCGGTTAACTTGGGGACTGGATTTCAAGAATCTTTGACTCGTTCGGACGGGAAGATGAGCATTTGCTCTTTGACTCCCCAAGATCACGGGGGATATACAAACTGCAGACTGCAACTCGATCTTAAGACTTTTAGTAGAGGCTTTCACAGGATTCACAACGTCTTTAAACCATGCCAATGTTTTATTCAATTTCTGGTTGCAAAACAGTTCATCAATGGACGCTTTAAATGAAACTTAAAAGGTTAAATGATGTTGTAATTAAACAAGGAGTAAATTGAACTGGACTTTGGCCAGACTGACAGGAATAATCATAAAAATTAAGAAGAATATTGATAAGGCGAAGCGGAACTGACTGGCTTGCAAACAATGAACGAGTGTTCAAACCTTCGTCATACTCGCACTTGGAACTTGTAAGATTGCATTTAAACCGATAAAAAAGCAACTACAAATGCACCTCAAATGTTAGACAAAGGAAAGATATTACCTGATTAACAAATTATACAGATAATAAGCTTTTACTAGCCAAAATACATGTGAGCTTCGCAATGATGTTCGATCGATACCGTTTTACTAAATGAAAACGTAAACTTACCTATAAATGGTTCAAGGTCTTGAATCAAATCAAATCGTTCCATTTCACTCAAAAAGGATATTAGTTCTGAGATCGTCTTTCCTCTGTCCTCATAGTCTTTAATCAATTCCATCACAGGGCCTTTATCTTTCTTTGATTCAAAATACAAGATGGTCTCCATCGGGTACCCCATCTTGTCCGCGAGCGTTTTCCAGTCTCGACCCGGATTTGACGGAAGAAGGAGAACGTCCATCTTCCGATGGGCTTCAAAGCTCAAATCTTTCACCAACTTTTCGTCCATTATTCAGGCAAGATTTATCCAGAAACCAACAGAAGAGAGTTCATCCATTATCAACTTGGCGCTCACTTACTGCCCTCAGCGGGCTAGTGGCGCGCGTGGGAGTGGAGGAGGATGCACGCGGGGGGTAGAAACGGAAGTGTTTGGAAAACTTCCTTTTTGATAAAATGCAAGATAAAACGTTATTTAACGTCAACTACCCAGAGGGGTATACAGAAACGGTGAGAATACTAAACGTTCGCAGAGACTATATTTCTCTTGAATCCAAAAGACGTTATTTCATTCTCCAGGAAAAAAATGGCAGTGAGTGAAACGACCGGGAGAAACCCTACTTAGCAGGGGTAGACTGGGGGGAAACCGTCAAACCGGTCGTCTCGCCTACAAGTTGCAAACGTGACGACCCCTTTCTACTTCCTGAAAAGGCTGACGCAGAATAGTTTGACAAATAACAAATTTAGTCGTCGTTACGGCAATCCTTGAGCTGACGAGAGAAGACCAAGGGTGCTTACCATTTGGCGAACAATTCCGGAGAGCCCGTTCGTTACGGGAAGTCGGAAAAATGTGTACCATTTGCTAACTTCTCCTGTTTCCAGTCATCTGCTTGTGCAAGAAAGTTTAGAATCATGGCGCCTTGAGCGTCATTTCCCGTCCTGTTGGTAAAACTCTTACCATTGCAAAGCGGACATAACTGGTTCTTTGGGACAAATAATTATGGTAATTTAAATCAAGATACAACAAAAGAAAAACAAAGCTGCACGCTCTGATTTGGTCAATTACCCATTCTTCCAGTACAACAAGAAAGTTACAAGTGATGCAGATCACGGAATATAATTTCGCGCTGATATTAAGTATGCCTAAAAAAGAGAAAGAAAGGAAAGGTGTCTCTTCCTCTATTGTGAAAACAAGATGAAATATTGTGATAAAAAAAATAAAAACATATCGTTTGGACTCATGTGACTGATATTTTGTACAAAGTAATGAATGAATTACAATTTTGCATAATAATGGTTAGGCCCAGGTTAAGGTTACCTTTCTTTTTTGTGAAAAAGGGCCGAGATTTTACGGGTTCTGAGCGCAGACAGCTAGCAGAATCTATTCCTTCTAAAAAGGTGTTTTTTAGTATTATTTTGTAAGATTCTGTGTATCGAAGTTCGAGTCTTCGCAAAGACTGGTGACACGTAAAAATTATTCTTGGGATAATGTATGTACTTGAAGCTACCTGACCTCGTCCCGTCCCAAGGGTCTTTGTCTTCTAGTTTTCCAGTATGGGAGACCCTGGGAAGACTGGGAACGAAGTTAGGGTACAAAGGAAGGACCCTAAGAAGGGTACGTCACCCCCTAAACGGTAACTAAAGTATTCTGCATCCTTGCAGCCAGCATAAGGCCAGGCTGATTGATGGGCTGGCTGACATTTTGAACCCGAGAATTCCGTTCAAGATTCCAATGCTTGAACTACAGACCTTTACAGTGCCCGGTGCATCCTCGTGACCAGGGCGACGAGGTTGTGCTCGGTGGTTCCTAAGTGATCAGCGAGTAAACGGAACTTACGCTGGGTGCTAGCGCGGTTTCCGGTTTCTGTCAAGTCGCCGCTCGTGGCATCGGTCTACGGCCGAAGATGTGTCGACACCGAAAATTCCCGCCGTGCACGAGAAAAACCTCTGGTACCCAGGGTAGGGGTGATGCGAAGTCGTTGATGTTCTTCATCACATGAACACTAATCTCCTTCGCAGCCGCAAAAGAGAATAACCCCATTAGGGTCGTCACGCAACGCTCTTCCCCTGTGACTAACGGCTGCTAACGCGAAAGGCAATAGACCATTTCCAAGATCCAAAAATTCTCATTTTCAAAACTAGGCTAAGTACAAAACCTATGTTGACTGAAAATGAGGTTTTTTTGTAGGATTTCATGTCAATATCTTCGCGCTTAGCCTCGCCTCGAAACATAGCCTCCCACGCAGACGTTCTTAGGGGTTCGTCACGCGTTCCTGCCCCACCTGGGGCAGGAACGCGTGACGAACCCCTAAGAACGTCTGCGTAGAGGGCTAGTTCACGACGGCCTTCATGTCGACTTCCCCCGTTTACAGAAGAAGACTACCTGAAGGCTAGTGGTGCACATCAAGTGTACTAAACAAATTCTAACGCTGAACCACTGTAGCGTCAGACTTAAGAAAGCCCCAGTTTATTCACCAACCAGTAAGCAAACATTCCAAACAAACTGTTCTTTTAATAGGCCTTCCTTGGAAGTAAAAGACAAGTGGGAGTGCTTTTTCAGATATATTAAACATTGATTTCGATCTTAAATTTATTATGTACATTTCGCTTCCTTAGAATCAATGCATAACTTACATGGCTCCATGTGCCAACACCCCTCATAAACGAACACCTCCTATAAGCGACCAATTTTGCAAAAAAACAAAACTTTCCCAGTCAAAACCTTACACTTGGAATATCTCGTAAGCGCGGCCACTTTTTAGTTTATAGTTTCTATTGTTTATAAGCTCTAGTAAGCGACCACTTGACTCATGGTCTGTTTGTTCGCTGTATCTACTACGCCTCTTATAGTATGCGAAGAACTTTCAGTGAAAACATGGAACCACATATATTATGACTTCCAGTTGCAAGTAGATGTGTCGGGAACTTTTCTCGGAAGAGTCCACCTATGGTTCCAATCTCGTAATGGACCACGAAATCTACGCATTTGGGGTGGTCGCTTACGGGAGGTTTGACTGTAACTTTACAGCAAAACCTGTTAATTTTTCAATCATTTTTCATTCCAAAACAGACGGGAACTGAAAACCTCCAAAAAGGTTGATTACAGCGCACTGCAAGAAAATCACACAGATGATCAGTCTTACTTCCACTTTTTTAGGAATCTTTCAAAAGTCGAGGTCAAACCGAGAAATGTTCATCTTCATAAGGGGTTCCACAACAGCTCAGTTGTAACTGATTAACTTCCATTAGCGATGGAAATAGTACACATGAACGCCTGTTTCCAGTATGGTATGTCTCCTTTCATTTGTAGTAATTCTCAAATCCGGCTTTCGACGGATGTCTGGTGCGTTTTCCGGAAACTGCTCGTGAAATCTTCGACGAGCTTCAGTTTTACTCCAACTGGTCTGCAAATCCAAGAGCGCGGTACTCGGCCTCGTCTCTCCGAGCTTAGCTGATCGAAACCACTTCGGGTACAGGTCGCTGTTGGTCGACCCTGTCTTCGCCTGGTCGGACGTTTGGCTCGGCATATTGTTCACAACAGGGGAGGTTGGTCGCTTAGATACTTCTGGGGCAGTAAAAGGTCTCGCTTCGCTAAAATGCTTTGAATTCATTTGATTGGTAATGGAGGAATAGTAGAGATGAGGATGAGCCAGAGCGAATGCATGTACATCTGAATATTCTCCATTTGGATTAACAAGGTTATGCTGTAGATATCCATCACTGTATCTAGGACCCGCAGTTAAATCCAGGATTTCTCTACTTGCAAAGCAGCTCCCGTGGGTCTTGTTAACCTGATCAGACTTCTCCGCTGTTTCTTCGTCTTCACCTTCACTGTCCGTGATCCACAGCTCAGTACCATGGCCCACAATCACTTTCTTTTTCCTTTTTGCTGCTTTCTTTTTCACTTGAGCTCGCCGTCCTTCTAGCGGATTCGGCGAGTCCAATTGATTCTTGAAGTGCTCTTTCTGTTTGAAAGAATGCCAAAAAAAATGGGATAGCAGATGTAAGGAAAAATTATAGTGACGAGTATATTTCATGGTTTCTTTCTCAGCTTTATCAGTTACGTAAGATTACTAAGCCCCAAAATCTACGACAGCACTTAACGTCTGAAATAGAGTTTACTCGTGCAACAAAGTCAAGAAGCTAAACTAAAGAGCTTTCAAAAAGACATGAAGAATTTCTTAAAATTATACAGCGCTGAATTAGTGTTTGATGATGGAAAAAAAATGCTTTACATTCCTTTGAATACAATGAAAACAAAGCTTGATTAGCAGCAACAAAGACATCTCATTCTTCTTTGTCTTCTTACAAAAAGAGGTGGAAATTTTTTCCAAACAAATTGTTAAACAAATCCTTAGATCAGAGTGCAACAAAGGCCTTTTGTCGGTGTTTATTTCGTTGCCTCTTCCATGTGGACGCCATAATATTTTTAAACACCAACTTCACATTTCTTGTAAATCACTTACCAATACATCTGGCCTCCCGCTGCAGATCGAATCAAAGTTGTCCAGTTTTAGAATATTTTGAGGTCCATTCCCTGTAAACTGTTGTTGGTAATGTGTCTGCCAATACCCTCTCTGTACATTGAACAATGCATTCGCTGTCCGAGGGGACACTGCCATCTGCCTGCTTCTTTCCGGGGTGTTAGGTAGTACTGAGGTGGGAGGGGTAGGGTAGTAATTTTGCCTCTGAAGTTCCGGGCCTTTTACCAGCTTGTTTTGAAAGAACAGGACGAACAAGTTAGTCACGTTTCAACAGTCTCTCGGAGAATCCTATTCAAAATATAAAGAGGTCTGTTCGAAGTCTAATTATAAATTCCTTGGAAGGGGTGGAATTGGAGAGTTTTTCCCCTGGTATTCCTTGTTATGAAATGAAGATTGATAATGCTAAATGAGTTGAAGCTATTCGTTAAAAACCGAAACAGCGAAATTTGATGAGATGTTGACTTGCAGTGTCGACTGTACCTTTCTCACACGAGTTGCGTGTGAAGGCAACTTAACCTATACCGTTCTGTGCTACAGTCTTTTCACTCTTTCCTTACCTGTAGAAGATTATGTTCCGGCCAAATCAAAGGCTTCTTCTCAGATTCCCTCACAACGTTTATCAGCTCCCTTCGATCAAAATGGCCCTTGGTCTTTTCAAGTACGCTTGGATCTGGTGCAGAGGCCGGAGCTGTCGGGGGTAATGTAGGGTGAAGCCTAAGAGCGTGCTTTCCTTTCCTGTGGTCATCTGGTGAATCCAGCGATGGAAACACTTGAAACTTGGGCATGTGGGAGGAATATGGATGCTCTGCCGGAAATCCCAGGGGGATTTGGATTTTTCTAATGGCAAATAGTTAAGAAGCGACAATCAGCGACTGTAATCAATCCTCGTTCATTCCTGAACAGTTTATCGAATAGCTTTTCGCGTCGACGCGAAAAGCTATTCGCTGTAGTATAAACAGCAACGACCCGGGACTGGAACAAGTTGTTCACACACATTCAAACTCGTGCCACGCCGGCGCGGTAAAGCCGAGAGGGTTTGGTGAACTTAATTCCAGTTCTCAGTGGGTTCCAGTCCTCGCTCCTACTTATTCACTTCCGTTGTTACAGTGATATGGGCATCCCCGCGTTTTGGGCGTCCCCATTCCCCAAACCCTAGTGATACGGGTATCCCTTCTCATATTACCTTAGCGATTAGGGTTAGGGTTACAGGGGATGCCCTTATCACCAGGGTTTTCGGAATGGGGATGCTCATACCACTGTGACAGCGCCACTGTCGCCCGTACCAAAGTGTGCTACAAAACCTATACGATACGTGGGGAAGCCTTCCAAAGAACTAAAGCATTATGGTCTGACTGAAGCATGGTTCGTTGGTTCGTACGATGCAAGTGATTTCAAATCTAAGGCGTTATGACATAAACTGCGCGCAACCCCTCAGGCTTTACAAACAGGCTAAGTGCCAGAGACGGGGAGAGGGGGAACTGAGACGAGAGGAAAACGGGAGAGAGTCATCCAGCGCCCTGGGGACGAGGCTGGAGTCACCTCCTCCCCAGTTCCTCCTCTGTTGGCCCAATATTTGCTCATTCGTTCCTCACGACAATACTTTTTACAGGGACCACAGGAACTCTGGTTTGGAGGACTCGAACAAAGAGGGGCTTAGTATGAAACGTTATCAACAGGCTTACCCCATTTCTGACTTCTCTGGACTGGGTAGCCTGCAAATTAACAAGCAAAAGTTAGTTGTGAGTCGCTTGGAGAAACAACTTTGCTAACCAGGTCAGGTGGAGAAATTTTTGTACTCCAAAGCCGTTTATTGTAATATATGTCAGAATCTATTGATAACAGTCATTATCATCATCATCATCATCATCATCATCATCATCTTCATCTTTGTCATCATCACCATCATCGTCTATCGTCATCACCACTATCATCATCAGATCTTTAAATACTGTACTGCCGTCAAAAAGTTACTTCCTTGCAATCGCTTCAGTTTTTTACATCCATTTAAAAGGTTTTCTTAAGACTATTACGAAACCAGCTCCGTCAAAAACTTCTTCCTCTGAGAAAGAAAAAATCATAAGAGATTTGTCGCCCAAACAACCACCAAAATGCTTCTATGGACCGTTTTCACATGACATTATGTCCGTCATATTGGTGTCCCAAAAACAATAAAATGGCGGCCAGTGGTGTCCCAAACCAATTATGTGGGAACTGGATCTTATTTGGACTCCAAACAAACAAACAAATGTAAAGGCAAATAAGTTTATTATTTGGGACGGCTTGGCGAGAACAAACCCTGCACAGCACGTATATAAATACAACAATAGGTGATTAAATAATGTACGACACTCGTAAACTAGCTTTCACAAAAAGAAAGGACTGCTACAACTAGTCACCCCCCCCCCCCAATTAAGCACGCTTAGGCTGGGGAAACTAATAAAACTCTGATCAATGGATAACTGGGACAGGGAACACTCTGTAGAAGCACAGAGGCTGACAGCGGGAAAACTGGGAATTATCTTAATGTACCCAACAAAGTATGTAGCCCAGTTGCTAGAAAGGCTGCCAGATGATGATGATGATGATGATGATACCTTTATTAAAGTGTCAAGACTGTAATAGCGGTGTATAACCACTAAGTGGGGACACTAAAATAAATTTAAAAAATAAATCAATTAATAAATTAATTAAAATTAAGAAAAACTATGTACAGTATAAGCAAGTGTGAAATTCGAGAGAATTATATACAATATGTACAAATGTATCCATTATCTTATAAAAAAATAAGAAATAAAAGATTAAGAAGTGCAAAGAGAGCAGTTAGAGCAGTTATTGTCAGCTAATAGCATGCTAAGATCCACTTTTCTTAAGTTATATTTGAAGGAGGACAACGTGGAAGCTTTTTTCACGTTACTAGGAACAGAACTCCATACCCTTGGGCCCATATACCTGAGCGAGTGCTTTCCAAAGGAGACTGTGTTGAATCTGGGTATAGTGAAGTCATGATTGCGCAGTTCATACTTAATTGCAGGCTGTTCAAAGAGAGTGCTAATGTAGGTTGGGCACATGTTGTTTTTAACTTTATACATGAGAATAGCTATGTCCTGTAGTCGCCGGTTGTGTAGAGTCGATAGCCCAGCCATAGATAGTAATTGACCATAGGACGAATGTTTATCACAATATATAGCCCTAAGTGCTCTTTCCTGGATACGCTCTAGTCGTCTAGAATCACTAGCACGGCAAAAATGCCATATAAGGTGACAGTAGGTTAAATACGGAAGAACAGCTGCCTTATATAACTGTAAGGCTAGGGAAGGGCATTTAGGGTAAACAAATGGATTACGACCCTGGCTAGAGGTCTGTAACATTGCCTGCAATCTAACTGTGTCAAACTAGACTTATGTGGCCGCCTAAAGAGCTGTTCCGGGACAGCTGACCTAAGCATACATAGAAACTAAATATATTAAGTAAAGGAGCAGGTGCAAAACTGTGATAACTGTACAAGTACATAAAATAAGAAACGGGATAAAACTAGCAGAGCTAAGCTACTGCTTAGAAACTGAAATAAATGCGGTCAGACGGAGGCCAGAAAAAACCTGCCCAAAAAAACGCCGAAGGGAAAAAATGCGGGCAGGAAATTTGGGTAGGAACCAAGGCTCCAGCTCAAAGCCCTTTCTACGGGACTGTACAGTGTAATCAAGAATAGGTTGCTCCTAAAAATTAAATAAAACAAAAAATTAACAAAACTCGGCCAAAGAGAGGTTGGTTCAGATACCTAGATCACGTACACGTGATATACACAGCCTTATATACCCCTGATATGACTACCCATGGTGCCCCGGCCTAGTCAGGCCCTGTTGTATCTCGTGCCGTTAAAATATTTATTTCTGCCTTCTTCGCGGGTTCATTCGTCAGAAATAGCATTTTCTTTATATAAACGCCTTTTTTTGTCGCAATAAATTTGCATAGTTGCTGGCCAAGTGAGTTAAAACGCTAGCTTTATACCAACACATGGAATGAATTACTGAAGAAAAAGGCGGTAAATTGTAAATTTGCATTTTGTTGAATACACCACGCTGTAATACATTATTGGTTCATTACATTATTGGTTTAGCTTACAGACTATTGTTCACGATGAAATAAATTACAATTCAAACAACTCCAACATACACACGTACATTTTGACTAAGTGCTGTTTTGTTGCAGTTCCTACACCACATAAGCAGGGCAATAGATTTTTTATCCCTTAAAAACGTATTAAAAAGCGTGAAAAGAAAGAAGCCGCATTCAACAAACGGAACACAAATGGCGATTGCACTACAATCATTAATCATTCGTGATTCAATTGGCGTTATGTTACCATGGTGACAGACTTAAAAAGACCAACCAGAAAATGCCCCAGGGGTCAATCTACGTGTCGCGCTAAAGTAATAATCAGGGAGTGTCTTGCCGAGCTCGAGACGCAGAGATTCAACGCAAGGGCAGTCAATCAACATGGCGGCTAACTCAGAAGAATCCAGTCACGATTTGTACGCTGTGCAGCTTTATGATAAAGAGTATCTGAGGCCAAGAACGACCGACCTGCATGGTCTACAGTTGCCTGAAAAGGAGACATTTTCTATCCGTGTCGATCCAGCAATGTTGGACGACAACAAAGAGTACTCCGTAGCGAAACGTCTGGAACAGCTCGAGAAACGCCTCCAAGGAGGGAAGAACAGGGAAAAACGTGGAACCTTTCGCAAAGAAAACCTGCTACTCATCGATTTGGAGAGAACTACCGCGCTCGGCGATCTGATCGCTGGAGAAATAGCCGTGTTCGCCTTGAAAACATTCAAGGAAAAAGGCGAGAAACGTTACATGGAGTTTACATTGACCAAAAGTGCCTCGGACGACCTGCGACAGAGGGACAAGCAGAGAAGGTTAGAAGCCGCTATGAAAATCGCATTCGCTAACTATGTTTACTGGAGTCGCGTTTACCAAGAGATCGAGAAAAAAACGGATAAATCTGCGTTTGAACAAGCCCGACAAGAAGCTTTGGAGGACTACCTTCGCAATCCACTCGAATGCCAAGGGGTCGTGTACTCGTACCTTGTAATCGACGAGTCACAAACGGAAGACAAGAAATATCAGTTCTACATCGGCAAGGCTGAGGGCGAGTTTACGAAACAGATTAAGGAACATAACACCTCTGGAAACAAGCCTCTGTTGGAGTTAGCATTACAAGACAAGGCACTCTGGCCAGATGAAGATCAGCACTTGAAGAGAAAATTTAAGGAATCACTACCAAAGTCACCGAAGAAGGGTGAAGCACACGCTACAGATCACTTTCCAAAGCTAAGCTACGAACCTAAAGTTGTTGTAATCACTCTGGACTTCGGATACACGGAGGACTTTGCAGACGCTTTCAAGAGCTCCATCGACAGCGAAGATACGGCTGAAAAGCTTGCACAGAGCTACGCTCAATACTTTGGAGCCAAAAGTCCGATCGGACTAAATGGATGAAACTTATCTATCACGTTAATAGGCCTCGTAGTAAGTTAAATTGAACAATACACCACTTTCTTTTGTCAGTACTTTATGACTGTCAGTTTAATGAATGGAAATTTCTGTTGCTGGTGTTGGAATTATGAATATTGTTAGACACGAATCGATGTAGATTCTCATGAGAAATGCTGTGTGTATTGTTTTACAAAGTCGACGTTTACAGCATTTAGCTAGATGATATTCTAGATACTCTAGGCATGACCAAGAAGGCGTTATCAGAGCAACACCTTGTTCATTCCATACGTTACTTTTACAAAACAACAGAGCAGTAACAGCCAAAACAAGCAAAGTGATTTATTACCATAAAATGTGCGCCACGTTTTAGCAGTCAATATTTTGAATTCACAAAGAAACGAACACGACAAAGATTTTAAAATTACAGAAATAGTATTTGTGGAAGTTTCACGAACGAAAGATCTTTGTAGGCGTCAATAAATTACATAGACGAAAAATGGCCCGCAGCGTACAATATGAGGCTCTGGACTTCCCGTTCTAAGTTCAATATCTTTTATAACAATTGAGCTTAAGTAATTTATTATTCTACTTAAACGATTGCAACACAATTTTTTGGCATTTGAAAGTTCACCCAAATTTCTACGTATTTGGGCGTAATATTTGTGATTGGTTGAAAATATTTTTTGAAGAATCCAATGCGTGACATTAGCGAAGAATCTTTCATCGCTTGAAACCAGGGTGTGAATTTTACGGAAACGTTTAAGAATGCTTCGTATATAATTTATGGAAATAAGTCGAACTTAAGCCCATCTGTATTGATAACTTATAACTGTGATGGTTTTTGGATATAATTTTCTTGGTCAGTGAATTAAAATGCGCTCCACTGAGTCAATGCCGAAAAAAAAACATCGACAACGGGCGTTATTCCTATAAGTGTTGTTTGGAAGAGAAAACAATAAACCTTCACCATAAAAATGTTTTACATATTTTATTACTGATTTCAGTGTAAGCATTTTTGCCCTTTTTTCTGTTTTCGATCCCGAGTTTTACTCAAATTGGACTATTTTCAAAGTGGGCTTCATCGAGTTTAGTGTAAACTATTTAGCACCTATTGTAGGTATATTTTGAGATGCAGTTCATCTTAAGTGATGCGGTGAGCGACGAACTTACGACATGTAAATTCGCAATTTGGAAACCGCTAGCGTGTAAACAAAACATCACGCGCTTCCTTTGTTTGCTGGTTCATAATTCTAGCTTTCTTACTCACTATTAAATCCTTCATTTGTCTAACGCAAAACGGAACAGAGTCGTACGATTATTATCTTTCTTGTTATTAAACTGCTGTGGTTAGAGGTTTGTAGACCCTGTTAGAGTTTGAACCCCAAGATGAAGTTGTGGTTTCGTATGCAAACAAAATGGGATACGTTCTTCAATAACCCATCAACATTTAGGAAAGTATTGTTTGATTACCATTATAAAAAAGGCGAACAGTTCGCAGTTTCTGTTATGCTACAACGTATTGTGCGAAAAAATACGACCGCAAATCACGCCAGTTCAACAACAGTCATCAGTTATTTATTTTCGGGTTTGACCACAGTCACCACATTACCCCAAAATGGTCGAGTATTACTACACTTGCTGTGTTACTTACAGTTCGTCATTTTTCCGCAAGTTGCTTTTCTTTAAAAGCGTGAGATCGTAGTATTGCTCTATCGGGATACCACTGAAAAAAAAAACAGCAATAAAAACATTCAGCCTGCCTCCTAAAGATCGTATTAGTCACAAAATAACCCAGTAACGACTAACCACAAAGCCATCGCTACAAATGGCTTGTATACCTGTAAGGTTTAGCAACAAAAAGGAGATATTTCGCTATTTCCCATTTTAACTCACGGAACACGAATAGATCGCACTGAACAAACTCGACGACCTTATTTGGTTACAAGTAAATCACGCGTTTTAAAAGAAGGAAACATTGATGAATTTTGTCCATTGGATAACGAGTTGTCATTGCTAAAGAAAAAACCATTATCCTTTAAATGTTCAGGTCGTCACTGAGACACAGACAGTCCTAACTGGTCGAGTTCAATTTTCTCGAAAAAAATTTCTATTAGGCAGTTTGATTGCTCAATTAAGCAGATAACAAAGTTTATACTGGGAATTCGCGATGAAATGGTCCGCGACGTATGCATTAATTCGAGTTAATTCTTGTTCAAGGTAAATCGCTCCGAAATCTCGTTATCTTCCCAGTTTATATTGGACTAAGTTTATCTTCCGTTTATGAAACAGTACCAGAATAAGACGATTGGCCACCAACAGCATAACATAATTTGTTCCATTTTAAAGCAAATACTACAGAAGTGTTACGTTACGAATTGAAAGCCGCATTCAGTGATACGTATAAAAACAGTATACGAAGCAATTCCTTAGTTACAGCGATATTAGACATATCGGAAAATAGCCATATTTTTAAGAAAGCACACGGAAATATGAACATAAAACACCAACTACCAATGAGGAGTGTTCTTTTTTTTTCGTTTCGCCATTGACAAGGACATATCGTGTGGGTCAGAAAAGCGAAGAGGCAAAGGCGGGAGATCGGGCGCGGCCGAGAGAGAGAATAAGCTCTTGGCTCTGTACAAGAAAGAGAGGAGAGCCGTTCGCGTTCTCGATCTCGTGAGCCAGATTTCCCGAAGGCAAAGCGCAGGCGATTGTTCAGATATACTAAAACATGCTGTTTTTAAGTGACTGAGGTTCTCATGGCGTTTATGATCGCGCAAGGATCGTGTCAAAGACGTTAAAAACCATGGCTGTTTTTGTGAAACAAAATATCCCGTTTCCGCAGGAACAGATAAAAGGCTTCCGTATGCGAGGACAGAATCAGTTATTGGCCTCTGCTTTCTACTTTTAACACATGCGCAATATACAGTGCATACAGATATTTCATTTAACTTTGTCGGATCGCGGAAAGCCTACGCGACGACAGCGTGATGAAGCAACAGGGGTAACTTTATATTGAAGAAAATTACCAAACTCAGCCATGAAGCAAAGTTCTATTGTCATGAAATTCCACTGGCAAAGGTAAACGTTTGTGACCTTTTATACCATTCTATAACCACGAAATTGTAACGAAATTTTTACACGGGAATCCACCAGGAAATTTTCAGTGGACAAAAACCTTGTACCGGAATAATTTTAAAAATATTGCATTCTTTTTTACATTTTTCAAGGGCTTAAGATGTAATAAATCATCTGTAGTAACACCAAAGAAAATTTCTCATGGAAGTCCGAGAAAATGAATGTCAAATTTCACAAGAATAGTGAGTACACAGATAAAATTCTGAAGATTTCATGTGTAAGAAATAATCCTGTGAAATTTGACAGTGACAGTGGATTCCGTCTTAAATAAACGGCTACAATGTAAACAGCTACCAACATTGTCGCGTAGCTTGCAGCCTATATAAATCCGACAACGTTGATTGAAACAGCTGTATGCACGGGTTAAAGGACAGAGTGTTTGCACTGTTCTCATTGATATTTAACCCTCAACACGCCGTCTTCTCCGAGTCAATGACAAATTTATCTATATATAGCTTAGTTCAAAATACTTCATATTTAATATTTTAGTGTCTGGCACTCATTCTGTTTTCTACATTGCAGGTGGAGCAGGATGTGCTCTCTCCAAACTTTCTTGAACTCCTTTGGCTGACTCTCAAATCCTTCCACAAATGAGTTTTTCTCTAATCATCCCCACCCCTCCCTAGCCTTTTCCCAAGGATCCGAGATGCATACACCCTTCTCCTGGCCATGGCTTAAATTCTAGTAAGTAATTCTGTTGTTTGTTAGTAGTAGTAAGTAGTAGTAGTCTCCTTGGGCAGTAAGTGATAGAAGGGGGTGGGGAGGGGAGGTATTTGGGGGTTAGCCAATATATTTTCTGCAATAACGTAAGAAAAATTGGCAAATACTGAAACACCGAGTCAAAAAAGGATGAAATACCGATACCGCATTTATGATCGGTCACACCTACTTAATGTTGCATCTTTCGCCAACATCTTGAACAACCTCAGCCATTGCGAGAAAATGTGAGAAGACCTTCAATGACCAGTGCAAAGATCGAAAAGCCCGGCAAATGGATGAAACACTAATCACACTGTAGATTAACTGCCAGAAATTGTGTTATCATTTACTACACTTACTGTGTTTGTCCTTGACCTGTGTTAGACAGGAGAGCGCAAATGAAGACAATGAACGGTACCGTAATACCGTGAAGGATCGTCACTTACCGAATACCATCAGCCAAAAGTGAGAAAAACCGCATACCGCAGGGCTACATGATGCCGCAATACCGCACATTAAAATTAGAATTACTTTTTTACCGGGCCATAATAGCTTAATCAAAAATTAAACACAAACAGCGGTGGTAAACATAGTGAACTGGGGCATTTTTCATATTAACTTAACGTTTCGTATGCTAGTCACCTGCATCATGTTTATTTCCACAAGTGACCGTTAAAGATTATGACAAAACTATTTTAAAATACAAAAGTGATAAGGGGTCTGGAGGTGAGATTAAGAAAAATCTTAGCAGTTCAAAATATATCAAGCAAAAGCCAATTAATAAAGCATCAGCTTTTTGACATTAAGATCTTGGGATGTTTTATTTTTTTTACAGTAATAAACAGATTTGCATAATATCTAGCCTGCGAGAAAGCTCTTCTATTTGGGCGTGCGAAGCGAACCGTGCGAAAACACGAGAGCAGGCGGTGATGCCGCAACAGGCTCTTATAATTTATTATTTGTACTTCGCCCAGACGAAGGAAAATACCATTGGCTGAATAATGACGTTTCTCTCGCGCGTTTATTTTTCACTAAATCTCCCAAATGGAGAGCTTGCTTCAGTGCAGGCTACATATAATATCCTGGCTTCTCACCGCGGAAATGGCATGTCCCCTCCTCCGTAGTGTCTGTGTCCCTTCTGTACCCTGGTGGGGGGCTCCTGCTTGGGTCGAAATTCCTTTGGAAGCTGAATAGGACCAAAGCCTCCATAGCTTAAACTGCGACCCCAAGGAACTTTTGACGGTCGGCTAGTCCGAGAGAGATAGCGATCAAAACTGCACGAGGAAACAAAAGAAACAAATACGAGATAAGAGATACAATGCAGAAAAATTCACCCTTGTGAGAAGTGCGTTCTCGAGAAACGGGCTCCTCGGCCGAGTTGTTTGGCGTTTACGACGATTATCAGGTTTCGTTGCCATGACAATAGCTATCCCTCCTTTACTTTACCTCAAAATAGAAGCTAATTATGTTTTAAGCATTTCGGCCCACAATGCTTTCCTCTGCCCTCTCAAACAAATGAATGCGTTTGATTTGCTCTCTCTGAGCGCCTTTACGAGCTGGCGCCACGTTTATCACGGAGTTTATGGCGGATTTTTTTCTTTTTTTGACGGAAGTAATTTTCTCGATATTGATCCCGTCTGGTTTTCTCCTTGCTATTCTAAGCAATTGCATTCAAAATTCTCCCGTTCCAGAAGGTTTGTTTCAGATAAATGCAGGCGAAACAATATACCAATATGGAGTACCGTGGTTGTCCTTAGATATGTTAATAGGGAGCTTAGGCAACGACGATGGCGACGTCAACGAGAGCTGCAAAAAAGCAATGGGTTTAAATTGGCAAAATAACAACTTTACACGTGCATCACGCTTTTTTGTACATTTCTTTGCCGTCACTACACGACTACGACGTGAAAATGCGCAAATTCACGTTTTGTGGAGGACTTGAACACAACTGGACAACGACTTTCTTTTTCTTTTCTTGAACTCTGAGACAGTACTTTTAGAACTCAACTTCCGAAATAATTGCCAACATTTGAAGAATTGACCGAGATGGAATAAGCGCGATAAAGTTTGACGCAGCGCGAATTCACTTTTTAATTGACGTTTCCGTACTGTCGTCGTCGTTGCTGCGTTCCCTAACTTGAACACTGTAGTTGTTTTTTTTTAATATTTGGTCCATGATTCACAATGTTCTGAACCATCTTCCCGGGGTTTGATTCACGCCTATCTTCCCTCTTATCTTCAGATTCGCTTTCTGTCTAACAATCAGCTTCGTCAAAACTTAATGTGAAGTAAACTGCAAAATTTCGACCGAGGAACCATTTTTATGGCAGATTTTTTTCCAAAACGTTTTTTCTTCGGATCACGAATGAAAATCGCAAACATAAAGTGCCATAGAGTAAGTAGGAATTGTCTTACCCCAAAAAACAATATCAAAGAACAGCAGTGAAACTGAAAAACATGCAGCTTCTGCTACAATCAACAAATCGAAGCAATTGTGTTGTTAAGTTATGGTTAATAAATTATAAAACATGTACATGGGCAACAGTCGAGAGGATGTCTTGTAAAAAGAAAGCAGATCCTGCAAAACACCGTTTACTTTTCTGGTTACTTGTCCAAATTGCTTGACTGATGTTATTCACAATAATCCGATGCTCTGTTTAGAAAAAGGAGCCCCGCACCTCTCAGTCTTAAATAGCTGCACAGGGAGCTTTCAAAGGTGTCGCCAAGTCAATTGAATCACCTGCTTCATGTTAAATAAAAGAACTTCAGACACCTAGCTATGATTGATCCTCACTTGAGTTACTATCCTGGCAAAACTCTGGGGTAAAACTGAAAAAATTACTGAAGTTTGTGGAAGAAAATAAGAGAAAAAGGATGAGGCGATGAATTTTACATCAGGACAAGAGATACACAAACCAAACGACATCACGGAAAGTTTAAAGCTATCGAATAGTTGGCTTATCCGTAAGAGCGAATATTTAAACTAAGACAGTTAAATTATACTGGTTTTGCTATGAAAAATTACTTACGACCAAATTAAAACTTTGCGAGTTAAAAATAAAAATTATCCAACCAAAAAGGAAGAAATTTAAATTGATTTGATATAAACGGAATTGAAGCTATCTATTTAAGAAGTGACATTGACCTGTGTTACACTGTATAGGCTTTCAGACTTCAGGCATTAAAGTTATACATTCATACCACTAAAAAGCATTGCAAAACCTGAACATTACACTATACGGTAGCGAAAGTTACAGTAATGAGTATGCTAAGCCTTTCCCCGAAGAATAACACGTTCTCAAATCAACACAATGGACCACTTAGCAACGTGTTAGCAACAGTGGTGCATGGTCTATTTCACTCAAGAGCGACTCCCGGCGCCTCGTAAAACCTCAAATCAGCTAACTTTAAGGCAAATACAAAGCAAGAAAAAACGACCTGATTTGACTTCAAATTAAATCACATACAATATTATTACTTACTGGTCTTGGGAAACAGTAATCCTTTCATAATACTGCGGGGTATGTAGAAAATGCGACTCAAAATTCTTCGACAAGTAATTTACCCCTTGATGCTCTTTATAGAGCGCTTGTTGAAACGCTGTCGTCATTATTATAAAGTTGCCAATGTTCTTCTCTCCGGCCGATGAATTTCCGTTCTACTACATGGTGAATTTTGAAATAGTTTCACTAAAGTTTGGAAGTTTTTACAGATTTTATCGCCAACATCCGGTAACACTGCATATACAATGAAGAGCTATAATTCATAAACATAACTTTACCAAGGAGACGCAGGCGGTCTGATTGGTTTACCAAACAAAAGCGTGATAAGCTATTGTTAGAAACTACTTACATTAACGAAGAAATAATTAACATCTAGAATAATTATCGCACTCATCCTACACACCGCTTTAGGCGAGGTTTTAACTTTCCCAGCGTCCAGATAAAAAGACATACTGAATCACTTATTCTGCCCCAAAATTCTAAATATACTGTAAAATTAAGCTAATTTTAAAAAGGGAAAACTATCGTTGTGTTGGTACTCTGGATAAAGAAATTCGAGGGGGTTAATAACTTATCAAATCGAGGAACGCAATAGCGGTTTGTTACAGTAATCGTTCATTCTTCATTGTAGAACGCTTTCTCGTCTCGGTATGAACTAACTGCCTTCTGGTTATACAAGACTTCTGGGCTTACTGCTGTCTCCTCATCAAGTCTACAATCTCTTTTTTTCACGAGTTAGTCACTGACCGCGAACCGAAAAAATTGACATTGTTTACTGCAAGGATAAGGACTTCTCCACAGGGAATTCTTACAATTGAAAATTATGTTTATTATCTTGTCTGGTGATGCGGAAAATTAGTCAGAATTGTTTCTTCGGTCACCGAAGCCAAAAGGCGATAGGTGACGTCACAAGTCTCACTTGACTACACAGGAAGGTGGTACTGGTAACCTTGGCGAATTTTGTTTAGTGTTCGCCGATTTAGAAGTGAGCAATACTGACAGGATTTTAACCAAAATATCAGACCCAGATGTTTTACAAGACTAAGATCTTCTAATATCGTCATGTGATCAACTGTTCTAAGGCCAGAAGCTTGTAAATGGCGGCCGCGGTGGGTCATCTTTCTAAACTACAACAGGAACTCTACCGTGAAAAACATGGCTTTGATAAGCTCTCCAGAAACTTTCAGTCCGCGCCGGTTCACGATCCGTCAAACTTTCGCCGCATAACAACATATCCTGATCGGTAAGTAAAACAATAATTCATAAACTTTCTTTAAACTAGATATCTAGCAGCTGGATTTTAAATAATGTATGATATTTAATTCCAAACAAAGGGCTGCAAATTCCACATGAATACAAAAAAATAGTATTCTTTTCGAATCAAGGGCCCATTATAATTTGCTTTTTTACACTTATGAACAGCCATTTCTAGATTTCCACTTCACCAGGTGCAAATATTCTTAGCCATTACAAGCAGCGGTTCGCGAGAGATCACGCAATCACCAAGACTAAGTCACGCCAAAGTTACAGCTGCTTGTTTGATGGTCACGCTTGCAGTGCAAACATGAAACCTATCAGAATCAGTCTTAAAAAGCAAAAAAAGTGATATTATGTTTGGCACCCTTGGCATAAGCAATGAAAAACTGACTAAACGGCCGGGAAAAAATAGAAATATGACGACAAGAAGTATCTGCAGCATTTCACATAAAAATAGACGGAAACGTTTTGAGGAAAAGAGTTTGAAAACTTCATGTTAATGGCTCTCGAGTCTTTGTAGCTGTTATATTGTAAAGCTTGACATATAATTTTGAATCTTACCTTTTTCGTCCATTTCTCATCACACTGGAAATTTTGATGTGCCCATTAACCTAATCCCCTAAACGCACAGATCAAACCCAGTAACCATTACCACAGGTGTCCTAAGCTCACGTTATGATTATGGAAAGTACATGTAAAACAATAGAGTTGGTGTCGCGTTACAGGCGACCGTTGAGACGTTGTATGAGAAAAAAAACACCGAGGTCTGCGAACGCTAAATATCATCATATAATAGATAAAGAGGACTTACCTATGATGTATTCCTGTGTTTTTTTTGGTGTGAATCCATCGATTTAGTAGTTTTTTGGTTATTATACCCCTGTCACTCCATTACTTTGTCTTATGAATGGAGTGACACACAATAACAACCAAAAAACCACTAAATAGATGAATTCACAAAAAAAAACACAGGAATACGTAAAGGTAACTCTCCTTTAATTATTTTATGGAGAAAAAGGTAAAATATGATGATATTTAAGCATTTGCAGAACTCAGTACTTTACTTCTCACCCAAAGTCTTAATGGTCATCTGTAACGTGGCACCAACTCTCTTGTGAGAAAATAAATTTACATCCCACACTTGTAACGTGAGCTTGGGATGCCTGTGCCATTACTAGAAAAAGACAGGAAGAATAGCCAGGGGCTTACTGAAGCTGGTGTCTGTTTAAAATGGGGGTCTGTGGGGAGAAATGATGACCTGAAATATGTCTGCATTAATTTTGTTACTAGGCTAGGAGAACACACCGGGGGGGGGGGGGGAGAGCACTACTCTATTTGGCTAGTACCAGTATGTGGCACTGAACAGGGTGTTGTTTTCACTTTGAATTTTGAGCAGGGTATAAAATTTCACTATCAAATATCTTGAACGATGATCTCCTGACTGGGTGCCTTTTTGGACAGCCTTTAACAGGGTGTAAAAGTTGGCAATAAACTGCCTAATTTTGTGCTACAAAAAATCTTCCAACAAAATCTAATTCCATGGTGTTGGTCCAAAAAGTACACATAGTAATGTATGCAAAACAAAATGAACCACAAAGGACTCCTCTCTTAAACAGGGTAGTAAAACGGGTTAGTGTTAAGAGTTAAGGATTGAAAACCTCAGTGGCACACTTCTACCCAAACTTCTCTTGAGTACCCCCCAGGGGGTACTACCCTAGAAGCTCACACCTTTGATCCTCATAAAATGAAAAATGAAAGTGCCCTTAAGTTCTTTTAAAAGTTACAGATATTTTATCTTATCTGCAGTAATTTCCAAAGGGTTTATAATACAATTATTATTGCAAATATTAATTAACCCATTCACCCCTGGAAATTTTGCCACAAAACGCATATTTCTGAAGCTAGTCAAGTAGTTTTCTGGTCACTGTCGTGCTATAAAGAGCTAAGACCTACCATAGGGCCATTTACAGGTTGTACACTTCGCAGCCCTCTGATCCAGATGCAAAATATTAGCTCATGAAGTTTGGGCATGCACAGAAAGGCTTAACTTTTACTTTCTGCTTTCTCTGACCTCCCCTCTTTTTTCGCTTTTCTTGCCTCATTTTTTTCTTTTGTTCGGCATTTAGTAGGCTTTATTTTGGTGGAAAACGTTTTTAAGAAAGCATTCAGGATCTTAGAATTAGATGAAAGGAAAGGTAGATGGGTTAAAGTGGAACAAGATTTTCATGGAAATTTTCAGGTCAATGTTACTTGGGTTTTTTTGCCTTTTTCTCCGGCGTCCTTGATTGAATCGTGCTCATTCTGGTCTGGTTTTAAAGATCTCTTCACTCTGCACAAGTTGTCAGACAAGGATGTCCTCAACCATTAAAACTGTTGACGTCACAACGGGTAGAAGGGACATGGATCTGCACAGGCGGCTCAGGGGTGAATGGGCTAATAACATCATAAATGGGGATGTAACATGATCGGTGAGATGTACCAATCAATTCCAAAAACCGCCCATCCCCTCCCCAGGCATACCCCAGGCATTTGACTGGAGTTTTGCTCCATACAGTGGAGAATTTGACCCAAAATGAGGCTTGCATCCATTCATGTGATAATTTAAGTACTTTTAAATCTCTCCTTAAGACTTATCTTTTTAGGAAAGCTTATTATTGTTAGTATGGCCATTTTTATCTCAATTTTAGTTCATTTACTATTTGATTATTTATTTAGTAATCGTTTGGTATGTTAATATTTACTTAATTGTTTGGAATGTTGTGTAAAGCGCCTAGAGCAGGATTGAATAGGTGCTATACAAATTTTAATTATTATTGTGGTTTGGCTTGCCCAGTCGGGCATTTAACTTTCATTTCAAAATGCTGGTCAGCAACGCAAGCAAAAGGATTTCACAATTCTTTCCACATTCAGCATGTGCACTGTGTTCACAGGTCAATGCTCCTATATTCATTGTTTTGTTGGAGCATTTGAGAGTCTTTGAAAAAGCCTGTTAATTAAATGTGGACTTTCTGCAATGAACAATTTTAATGAATGAAGACAGCTTTCTGAAAACTTAGATATTTCGGTTATGCTTAGAGGGATATTTACTTTTGAATAAATGGTTTGATGTATGGGAAAATGTTTGAATGGTCACTGGTGGGTGGGGATGTTGACGCTTGTTGAAGCACTAGCCATTGGGGCATTTGACCATCTAGACTGCCACCATACCCAAGAATTTGACCAAAATTTTTCAAAAAAGTCAAATGCCTGGGGGTGGGGGGCATGGGCAGTTTAGGAATTGACTGGTACATAACCCACCAAAATTTTTGCAGATATTCTCGTCACCTTGAACAAGCTGATATCCACGTCAAATGTCCATGGGGACGGGCACGGAGCTATGCAGGTGAGGCTCCTGTGTATCTTCCTGATAATCATCGGCCAAAGTGGGAGCCACCAGCCTTCCTACAGAAAGGACACAGACACTATGGTAGTGGAGTAACTCCTCATCCAAGGTGATTAAATAGATATTTAGTATTACATTAATAGCCCATCACCAACAGATCGGTGTGGGTAAGGTTCCTGGACAAACTGAGCGACCGTGAGAGCAGCAACCACCAGGCACTGTCACTGGGTGGCATGGCAAGTGGGTACCTATCACACATCATGCTGACTTCTTTTTAGGCCATCACACCTCACAGGGAAAAAAATTAGCCATCTTGCCATAGCGTAAATGCAGATGTACAATTATTACAGTAAGTTAGCATGGCAATGTCTTAACTCATTGAATGAATCAGCTCTAATAAATTGTTTTCAGCATCCTTTTTGGGTAGGATTGTGCATTAACAGTTAATAATTATTGAAGGACCTTAACTGCAGTACAAAAGTGAGCTCTGTGAATCTGGTGTTGTTCAAATATTAACCATATAATTTTAACCTTTATTCGCTGATCTGAGAATAGAGGTCATGATACAATTTTGACTGGAGATTAGAGGTCAAGGAACAAGAAAAGCACCAGAAGATTATTTCATAAATATCTGTTTTTAATGTTTGAGCTTCTATGTTTCAAGTAATATTCAGCGGTCTCTGAAATCTAATAGGAAAATCACGGGTCACGCATATTTGTGAATATAGTAAATCATGCACCACTCACGCAGATGCAATTTGGCCTGATCACGCATCACACAGATAATTTAGGACCCATGATGTAGAGAGAAGCATAACCGGAGATAAGTCTGACAGATCTGCAGACTAGATCTACCTGAAAACTCCAAAACTACCTCCCCTTCCCTTGAAATATGCATAATGAATGCACACCAGTATTAGAAGGATCCATGCATTTGGATTTTGCAGCTATTTTGAACAACCTAAACTTAAAAAATGTTAGATTTTGCCTGGGTACCTTGTCACCAGCCCAATATCCCCACGAAAGACCTGCCAACCCCTGATCAAGGGAAATCTGGAGACTAATGAAAAAAAATTAGGAGATAATTCTACAAAACGCAGTGAGAGTCTCATTTTTTTCCAGAACGAAATTAAATGGACCCTTTTTCCATTGGGTGATTTAAGTATTATTTAAATATTACCTTGTTTTAGTGTTACACTTGTAACAAGATGCAACTTTCTACAATGAGGGACAAAAGTGTTGACACACTTCCGTAAAATGGCCCCTTTTTGCATAGTGGATATACTAGTCTTATCCTCTTCCCCTGTCTACCCCAACCCCTTCTCCCCCAAAATCAATGTTGAATTTTGGACCCTCAAGTCTTTTTTTCACGTCAGACAACATTGATTCGGGGGGTGAGGGGATTTACGGCGTTTAAAAAGAATGAAATAATAGATGAATTAAATGTTTGTTAAAAGCACCCGTTTTAAACAAGTGTGTCAACTACTTTTGTCCCTGATTGTAGTTCTTTTGATGACTTGAAGAGGCCAGTCGGAAGAGGTCATAATTGGGACGAAACTTACAGTAAAGGGTCATCGTTTCTTCCGGATAGTAGCTAACTTCATGGCCAAAGTTTTAGACAAAGTGCTGTAAAGGCTTAAACAGCCCGGGGGGGAGGGGGGTACTTCTTTATAAGAGGCTAATGGGGATGTGCCGCTGGATGGGGTCACATTTTCACGACTTGATTGACTATAATGGGGTCGCATTTTCAATCGAGTTACCAGAATGGGGTCGCACATTTTCTGATTTTGGGGGTAAGACAGTTCTTTATATTTATGGTTAGCAAACGTACCAGAATGTTTGTACTGTTGGTGAAAAGTAGAGTGTTCTTCACTTGATATAAGGTAGATACATTAAAAGAAAGTGACTAAGTTGGGATCGCAAAAATTACACATTTTCCCAAGAGTGACTAATATGGGGTCTATAATAATATTGGCCACAGAAATATAGACTATAATGGGGTAGGGGTTCTGAGAGGTCAGCAGCACATACCCAGCAAAATTAACTCAAGTAGCCCCCCTGGGTTAAACAGGCACTAGCATTCCCCACGATATTTCTGTTTTTATTCGACAATGTAGCATTTCATTTTAAGCCCTGGTTTTTCAAACAATGGAACGTTGGATGGCACTATCCATCGGATAAATCACTATCCAGCAGATAAGTGTTAGGAAAACCGATTGCTCCTATCCACTGGATAGAGATTTATCCAGTGGATAGAGACACAGCTTTAGCAGAGATCTTTCTTTAATCGTTTTTTTAATCCAGTGGATATCCCCCTTGGGATCTGTGGTCTTAAAAATAACTCGAGACTAATTACCTATGGAATTGGGTGTGTATGGAGGATGCCTTCTCTGTCCCCGTTATCCACCTTTTGAACAACTGGGCCCAGAATGGTATTTCTCAAAAAACCCGTGAGATTGGGAGTCTCCTCCTGAGGCCGAGTGAAAAGTTTAAAAAAAGTGAGACTCATGGCAGAATCTTGAGAGTTGGCAGGTCTGGCTATTGTCATGCAAATTATTGTTTTGTCCGCCAACGTGGCCGGGATATCTTGTCACGTGGAAGAAAGCCTGCAGTCTCTACAACTCTTCGCATATTTTTAAAGGTGATCTCCCCTGTGATCTGTCCAGAAGATCATTAGAAGTATTTATTCCCGAAAAGATGAGAAAGTCACATACCTCGGATTAATTTCCTGAACGAGGAGCGCTCATTTTTCAACGTTCTGCAGGAAGGAACTCGGAAGCATATAAGAAAGAAAGAATTCACTCTTTTTTGCGATGATATGAAAAAAGTGGCCGGTATTTTGCATTTAAGCTCACATAGGAACAATTCTTCGTGAATGAAGGAACACTGTATGTACCCCACGAGAAAGGCACCCCAGTTTCTTCTTCAACGATCAAATCCACCACGCCACCACTCAACATCAACACCGACTCAACACATTACTCGAACATTGCTCAACACCTCACTGTATACGATTGGGATCCAGGCCACAACCATACGTCACTGTAACTCGAGGTCATGTGACATCGTTTTATGAAACTGAAAGTTATGATTTTGCTTTCGAAAAACGATTAGAGGGTCATATCTTAGGCAAAATAACAGTGATCTGGTTTTCACCCGCACCATTTTCTGGAAAAGAGTAAGTTCGTAAATGGTCACGTGACTAAAACGTGATTTTTTTTTTAATTATGAATTTTTTCTTTCTGGACACAACTTTGTACTTAAACTTCAAGGAAAATGTCGAAAGATGGTGTGGTAATGTTAACAGCACATCTGAGCGTAACTATCAAACTTTTAACAAGCTACAAGCAAAAAGCATTTTTAGCCGCCATGTTGGAGGGCAAGAGTATGCCCTCCAACATGTCGGTCAATACAAATCATGCTACTTTGTTGATAAATGAAAGTGCCATAAAATATCTCCCTTAAATGCGTTTCCTCTCAAATTTCGGGCGTAAGATAATTTTTATACACTCCGTCAATTTTTGGCATCAGCAAGATTCCAACTCATTGTTTAAAGGAAGCGTTGGTCACGTGACCTCGCTATGCAAGTGGCCTATTTTGTTGCAACTGATAAGTAGAGAAGCTAAGAGTCTAAATTCAGTTAAGTGGAAAATGGGGAGTGTGGACGGTGTGGAAAATTCCACTAAACCTCTAAATTTGTTCTAGCCTGTAAACAGGCTCTCTGTTTGGTGAAAGGGTGAAAAAATCGCAAAGAGAGGGAAAGGAACACCTTTCCCTTCCCTCCTCTCGCGATTTTTTCACCCTTTCCTCAAACAGAGAGCCTGTTTACAGGCTAAATTTGTTCAGAGCTGTGTTGTTTTTATGCTGGACCAGAGGCACGAAATTATTTTGCCATATTTTAGCAAAAATGTTTCCCCAAAATAGTGCCGATTCTCGATTAAAACCCATAGTTCAAAAAGACTCACTGAGCCGTTCACCATTTGTTTTATAAGGCAATGACAAGAAAAAAACATTCACATTTTTTTTGCAGAGTAGTAGTGTTGGTAGTACCCTCTCACTTTAGGGGAGTCGTATTTCTCCCCCCCAATAAACGCCTGTAAGGAGCTAAGAAATACGAATCCCCTAAAAATGTCTGCGTGGGAGGCTAAGGTCCTCTGCCTTGTGAGGGAATGTAGAGAGGAGGGCCAGAAAAGGTTATCCTTCCCGGACGAGGGTGTCATGCGGGCGCTATAGCGTGTATACTGAATCCCTCTTTGCAAAGTCTCTTCGTAAAAAGTTGTTTTCGGTGAATAAGTGAATGCAGATCGTACTTACATACCTGCCGCCCGCAATGCCCGCTGGCATGAAAGGTAGCAACGAAAGTCCCACTCCTGTCTGTTCTGGGCCAGCTTCCGGATGGTACCCCGTTTGTCGCCAGGTGTTCTTGGGTCTGCCTCTCTAGTGCTTGCCCTCTGGTGTCGACTGTAGGGTTGTGCGGGTTATGTTACCAGAGCACGTGCCCATTCCACCTCCACCTTCTCCTCATGATGATGATCGCCATTCTGTCTCATACGTTGTCTTCACATTCCAAAGTCCTATCCTGGTCTTGAATTTAGAGAGTTTTGGACTTCCATCATCCTGTCACTAGTTACCTGCCGGCTTTCACCACTGTCATTCATCCGAGTTTTTTCTGGTAACTGTGAAAGCCCGTTAAATCCAGTTGTTTTGGTTCCTTCTGTTGCTGTTTCCGTAACAAAAGACTTTTTACGGGACTGGATTGTTAGTCCAGTGCCCAACCCCCAACCTGGAGGGTTAGTGGATTACTTTTCTTCTGATCTCTACCCTTCCACCTGTCCGGAATGGGTGACCCTGCCAGCTCCCACCACCATAGCTCTCCGGGTCACTGAGGTACACAAGCCCCCTGACCTCAACAAGGTAATGATCCCCCACGAAGAATGAGAATTGTAAAACTGTTTAAAGGTATCCTGAATGACGTTTCTTCGTTGCCCTTAAATAAAACCTCTGCAAACGATGAGGTGAAAAAACTATAACAGCGTGATAACTAGTACTGCTTTGAACGGACGCTAACTTTTGTCATGCATGTATAACCTCCGTTGTCTTGACTGAAAGATGTCAATCTTGGCCAATTTTTGGAGAAAATATTTTAATGATGCTCGAATTTCCGCTCATAAAACGGTAATTGCCTGTTCCAGCCGTGATCAGTTCAAGGTTTCCCTGAGTACTCGCGCTTTTCTTTCCTCTTAGGTGTTTCAATAGGTTTTATAAACCCTCTATTTTAGGTCCGGTGTGTGGCACTTTGCGCGCGCTCTCGCGCGCTCGTAAAATTCGTCGAAAGAAAAACGGTTGTGGACAGTCTACGGAGTTCAAAACTACGGAGTTCAGTCTACGGAGTTCAAAACCCATGTTTGTTTCCATGGCAACAATGACGAAAACCTGGAGCTTGTAGACTCGGTATCACGTTGTGCGACGCCCCTCCTCGGCTGTAATCTAAACAAATGGACTTCAAGAAAGTCTATGGAGCTTGCTACATTACCCGACATCGTCATACTAGAGTTTCCAAACTACGCCGAAAATTATGCTTGCAAAATAGACCAATGTGAAATCTAGGGAAGAAACAATTCTGTCAAAACTTTTGCCTTCTTAGGAGATTGATAAGAACGTCTCCTTGGTGAAACCCGTGAAGCATAAGTTTTGCGCATCACTGCAGATATTAAACCTATTCACAACGCACCTCAAGAGCCACATCACCTGGGCATGCCCCCCCTGTACCACTTGTGATGTAATCAACGCTGGACACTAACTCGTGCAAGAGGACATAGATTTTCCAAATCATGCGCCGAACGCTGTCATAAAGGCTAGTCAGTATATGGGGAAAAAATCATACAACCTTGACTAGAACATTGAAATACAAAATTTGCTTGATTTCTTTTTGCAAAAAGTAAAAAGAAGTAAACCTTTGTATATAGTGGTTCTAGCTGCTTTACAGGCACTCCACTTGAATTCCTGAATCAGAAACAAGTACAGAAAACTAACCTAACTGAAACATAACGTGGCTAAAAACCCAACTGAGAGGAGCAACCAGTTGGCTCAAAAGGATGAAATTTGCGTTGAAATGGGGACTGCCGAGAAAAAGGCCTGAGCGGGACTCGAACTGGGACCACCAAACTGCGTGTCCGACGCCCTGACCATATGGCCATGCAAAAACCCATATCCCGTTGAAAATTACAATCCAGGATCTCACTACCTCTTTCCTTTAACATCCGAATACCGGGCCCTGAACTTGATAAATATCAGACTCCCCTGATCCATCCATAATTACTGGGATCTTAACATTAAACTTAAACTTTTTTTGTTCCAGAGGTCTTCCACTTCAGCAGTTCTACAACTTGACACAACTTAAACGAAGTAAAGTGAGATGGAATGACGAATTGTAAGTAAAAACAACAAAAGAGAAACTTTTATCCAAGTGGTCATGATTTTTAGAGAGAGATTATTGCTTTTCGTAAGCGTAGTCAGCAGTCCCCAAGCAGGGGGTTATACCCCGTAGAATAACTAAAAGGGGATGTTCCGTCCAAAAGGGATACCTGTTTTAGGTTAGAGCTGTGTAATAGTAGATGAGTTTCACTAGTTAGAGTTTAGAAAAGACAAGGCAAACTGTCCGTGATATTGAGGTGTTCGTATTAAGCGGGTGTCCGTAACGTGGGGTTTGACTTTATCTTGAACAGGTGTATCTAATGGTCCATTAATTGGGAGTGATGAATTGAATGGTTAAATGGTTGAATGGGTTAATTCAATTTCGTTTTAAAATGCGAAACGAGGAACATATTCTGTTCACGTTATATAAAAGAAGGTAATCGGTATGTTGTTTGTAGCAAGGGTCATCCGTACAAAACAAAGGTGCCGGATGCTACATGGTGGAACTACTCAGCCTGCTGGTTTCGATAAATACGTGAAAAAACGAGGCTAGCTGTCTGTGACGATTTGGACATCTGGACCGAGTATCCTCTTACATAACTATTTCCACTTTAGCCGGCGTAGCTGGCAGTTTTTTTGGTGTGATTTTTCTTTTGTGATTCGTAAAGTAAGAGATTCAGCTGCGCGAAGGCTGAAACGAGGACGAAAAAAAAAAACGTTGTGGGAGGGGGCGAGGGGTGAAGGCAGTGAGAAAAACCACTGCCTTCTCCCCTCGCCTCCTCCCCCATCGTTTTCTGTTTCGACCTTGGTTCAGCATTCGCGCGGCTGAAACTTTTACTTTGCGAACCGTAAAAGAAACACACCGCAAAAACTGCCAGCTACGCAGGCTATTTCCACTCGATTGACACTGTGAAACTGCCTTTTCGAAATCTATGACGGAAGCAAGTATGCTGTAGTTAAGGGTGGGTTTAGAGCAGGAGGTGACGTCCAAGGAGATACTTGACGTCCGCAAAGCGGAAGTAATTCCTTTCTATTTATCATTTCTGTCTAACTGAGCGATGAAACTCAAGTTGGTTTGCAGTTAAGTTAAGACTTCAATGTGGTTGTTTGTGGTAAGTTAGAGAGCCTTGCTGACTACCATGAGATCTGCCCGCTGATTAAAAGGTTTTCGAACTATGTTCAACAAATGAAATGGCAAAGTGTTAAGAGTCCAGACTAAGAAACAATTTTCTCTTCTCAGGTTACCAAGGCCAACTACTGCAGATGTACAGTAAGTACAAGTTAAAACGAATACGGGCTCAATCTATTTTCCCCTTTAGCAAACTC